TAGTAGCTGTCAGATACATTTGCCAATAGTACTTTGCCCCATACCCAAGGCAGAGAGAGAAATATTTGCTGAAATAATTATAAATTATGAAAGAAAATAAATAATACACAACTTAAGTAAACTTGATTTGAAATTTTCTGAAGATAAACTTATATTTTGTAACCCACTAAGGTTGATAAATGTTTATTTAGTAGAAGTGTAAACTAAATTTCCTAGATTTCCTACCACATTTGTATCTTTCCGCTTAGTGTACTGTGTTTCCGCTGGTTTCCCCCCTCTTTTCGCGTTGCTTAGTCACTCGCTGGGCCCGTGGCAAGTCGGTGGCGAAGAGCCACTTGGTCTGGCGTCTATAGAAAAGTATCTAACAGATACAGATACGGCCAGCAAGTACAGTTTGGCGGGCGGGGAGTGGCGTGCGAAAGTGTGTCAATGCGCAAACGTCAGAGCAGCTGATCGGCCAGCGAGAGCGTTAGTTTTCCAGAGAGAGAAGAAGAGAGAGAGCGAGTGGCTCTCTCGCGATCGCTTTTGTTGGTAAACAAAAATCACGACCAACACGTATGATCGCTCTCTCGCTCTCTCTCAGCTGGTGGAGCATAATGTTTTTGGCGCTGCCTGGCTTTTGTTTACTGCTGCTGCCAGCGATCGTGGCTTTTTGCGTTTTAAAAAAATACATAATTATGGGCTTAGATACGCTCCCGATCGCTGCCCTCTCTCCGCTCTTTCGTTACGCTCTCGCACAGATACACTCATACGGTGATGGGGGACTCCTCCGTTTGAGATACTTTTGAGGCTTCAGCTGCGATCGCTGGCTGGCATTCGCCTTTGATATTTGAAAGCCAACGCAACAGCAAGCAGCAGCAGCAGCAGCGACGAGTTCGAGTGCTGCAGAAGGAAAGTGAAAACCAAGGAAAAAGATTAGGTAAATACAAACAAAACAAGCCACAAAATAGACCAAAAAAAGTGTGAAATTAGCCCCGAAAAAAAATAGAGAGAGAGTGAGAGAACGTTTGGCCAAACTGCAGCAGCCACAGAAACACACAGGTAAAGATACAGATACCAGTGCAGGCGAACACACAGCCGCAGATACTTTTGTAGCTTTTGTTCTTGCGTCCACTTTTGAAATTCAAATGCGCTTCCGCTGGCTTCAGTTGGCAAACGAGTGTCGACTAGGCAGTACCTTTTCTGGGATCCGCTGTATCTGTATCCGTAACCGTATCCGTATCCGTGACCGTGGTTCTCCGTGAATTTAACCGATATTTTTCGTGTGTTTTATTATCCCGTGCTAAGTTTTCCAAATCCACCAGGTGAGAATCATCATATTTTCCAAATCGTATGCAAAATTCTGGCACTGCCAAGGTCGCCACTGACGTCACTTTGCTCGTCTTGCATAATTCCGCATTATGCCATATAAAGCGAACCCCTTTCCCAAAAGCACTCAAGTGTTTGTTACAGATTGGCATTTGTTATTTTCTGCTTTTGTTTATGTGTTGTTTGTTTTTCCTTTCTATCCCAAAAAAAGTAACAAACAAAAACACGAAATTCCATCAACAACAAAGGAACTTTTGCACTTTGACAGGGGAGAGAGAGAGAGGGAGAGCTTAAAGCTAATCAGATACGATTTGACTGATATGAATATATGCCCACATATATGTAGATATCGGACTGTGTGTGTTTCTCTATATAGATTGGCTATTGGTTTGTACTTAAAAAGAAAGCTTTAGATATTGTTCTTTGTTTGAAATACTTGTTGAAGCAAAAATACATTTTTCGGGGCTCTCTTTTTAGGTTTTGGTGAAAGATTGCCAAAGAGATATGTATTTCAATAGGGAAAGTACAAAGTTTAAACTAACCAAATGGTGAAATTATAAAATGAGGTTAAAGTTCTAAAGGGATTTATTTTCTAATGAAATCATTAAGAAACCCTTTGTTAAAAATACATTTCTTTATTTAATTCCTTTTTGTTAACTTCCCCTTTCGGTCCATCAATCTTTGTTTAGCTCTCGTTTATTCTGTGCCCCGATCAGTGCATCTGTCGGATCAACTAAATTAGTTCAAGTTCATTAGCCCAGCCCCGGACATCAGGGGGGAAGGGGGGTTAGACTACAATCAATTGAACAAAAGCCTGAACTTTCGACTGGCGGCTCGTTTGCTGCACACGCCACTCTGGTCGGACCTAGACTATATAGTAAACAATAGTATACAAATAGGAATTATTAGCATAGTTGGAGCTGTCTGGCGAATTCGTCTGGGGTGCGGCTTATCGGACCTCAAATGAGTTGGCGAATATTTTGTGTGTTGTTTTTCTTTTTTGTATAGTTATCAGTTAGGCAAACTTGTTCCAAAGGCCCAAACATTGTTTTGTTTACTTAAAAGCGAACAATGCCAGAGCATTGTGAAGACAGCGATATTCTAGGTATCGAAGTAAGAGTTAGATAACATATTGAATATCATTAGTTAAATATGGAATAATATTTAGTCCATAAAATATCTGAACATAAAGGGTTTCCCTCTGATGTAGGCTAGTGTTATCTATCGATCAAGGTCAAAGTCGCCAAGAAAATCAAATATATATTGTGTGGCTAAAATAAGCACTATGATATGGCAATTGTCAATGCAGCTAGAATATATATATATATATATTCAGAGCACATCTATCTATTGTATTTCAAGGTTGTTTTTGTTTCGCTGTCAATGGGCAGATGTTACAAAAGTGAAATTATATTTACTGGCAAACAAAATAGGCTAGAAGAGGCACATATCTCGGGGTCCATGACCAATCGTTATCAAGAGTGACTGAGCCTGAGCCTGAACCTGAGCCTGTGCCATAAAAGTAAGACCCCCTTGGAGCCGATTTCCCCCCTACGTGTTTATTAATAAAATGCCAGCACGGATCGTTGCTGCCACCGCCGTTTAGTTGTGCAATGCAAATTTATTTCGACTGCAAAATATTTCGCCTCTAATTCGCATAGCTGCATATATGTGCTAAATATGCATTGACGAGTGCCAAAGTCACCGCAAAAAATATGGCCTGGCATTTTGAGGTCAAGCGGGGCAGCTCTTTGGATAATACTTAATATATAAATCTATTCGTATGCACAAGGCACTTCCTTAATAATCTAATGGCAATTATCAGAATTTATTTCCACCTCGCCAGTCCAATGGCCCCGCCATCAAATTTGATTGTCAAACTTTCGCTGACATTTTGACTCGGGTCTGCCCCATCAAGCCCAATTTTCGTACGCTTTTCTGTCTCTGCCGGAGATTTCACTTTGTTAGTTTGCTGCTTTTCACGTTTTCCGTTTTTGCGGTCAAATTGCAAATTGCCGTGGCAATTGTCTCTGCAAGTCCAGCTCCAGCTTCAGCTCTAGCTCCAACTCTAACTTTAGCTACATTTCTATTTATTTTCCTTTTGTTAGTGCTTATGGCTTTTTCCTCCGAGTTTTCCATTTTCCGTGCGCAATTTGATCGACAAAAATATGCCAGTCGAGTTTGCTAGGCATCTTTATGACGATGCGATAATCAGCTGAACATAGGAAAATGCACCGAAAAAAAGCTATAGATATTTTAAGAAGATATTTTTAAATAGTTAAATGATTAAAGGTGACATTTTGTAAAAGATTCAAGTTGATTAAATGTATTTTTTTGGTAGTAACTTAAACCTTTCTAATTCAACTGCTTTTCTATAGTTTTTATCTCCTAATAATTATCCTTTGTCATAGAATATTTCTCTGTGTGTGCCTTTTGCCAGCGATTTAGTTCAATTCATCTGGGGAAGAGATATTATATATGTATGTACTATATATACGGGCATGGCTTGGTACACATTTTCCTATTGTCATGACGTGAGCTCGATTCAAATTGCATACCGAGTACACTCGGCGATTGTGTGTGCCATATATAATTGCCTCGATCATAAGCTCGGCGCATGCACACACCGCTGGAAAGCCATGAGCGGGAGACTCTCAGCTGGGAAAACTTAATGGGCAGTGCCTGCGATACTTTACGGCAGTGCCCCCATCTATTATACATATGTACCGAGAGTTGTCAGCACGGTGCTACAGAAGAAATCTGATGAATGTAATCAAAACGTAATTGGCGACTCTGCTTAATTTGCGTCGAGGAAATTTCACTTTCGCAATCGAATCCGAAACCGCATTTCCATTAATTCCAACGCGAGCTCTATATATACATATATTGTATTTTGAATAATGTGGAATTGATGCAATGAAAATTAATTGGCATCTTTAGGCTAGGAAACTTGTGGCATTTTGTGTTGCTCAGTAGTTCACACTTTAATTAAATTTTAGGAGAAAAATGAGTGAGTTCCAAGGAAAGGCAATTAAATGAATGACTATGGAAAATGGGAATTCAAACTGTATGATTCAGATCGGATACTCTATCTAAATTTGGTTTAGTTTATTAAAATCATAAGAATAAATTTCTTATAAATTGTGTTCAAGAAACTAAATTGGAAATTAAAACTTCCTTGATCTTAAAGCAACAATTTATTTTCATAAACTGTTTGAACAAGAATCTTTATGGGCCTAAAATTAACCATCCAGCTTAAAAAACCTAATCAACGAGAATTAGTTTGAGTCAATTAAAAGTGAATTATATATTTTTCATATAATTTACTTCTTATTTTATTCAATTTTCATGTCTTTTTCAATGTAATCTTCCTTTTAGAATCTTATATTCCTGTATCCATTTGTATATAATCCCTGTTCTAATTGCCTCTAAGCCTTCTTTAATAAGCCCTCTGTACCCTTTGTCATATTGTATTTAAAAAAGAAAGTATCATGTTGGATTAAAACCTGTCTGCCTGTTGGCAGAGTATAGGAAGTGCAATTAAATGAAATTAAGTAGCCGCCCCATTGAACCGCGTGCGCCCACGCAAACAAGCTGCTTACTGCGGGGGCTTCCGAAAGGGGGTGGTGATTACGCAATATGCGCACAATTTGCTAAGCTCATTTCGCATTTTCCCATTTCTTTCGTTGCAGCTTCTACGCTAAAGCAAAAAAAGAAAAGCAAAACAAGAAGCGAAACAGCGTACAAAACAACAAGAATTAAATAAAAGACTGAGCAACGTTCAAGCAAAAATCCAAGGAACAAAATACCAACAGCAACATAAGCAATCTCCAATTTGTCTCTCTAACTGTGAAAATAATAAGCCCCACAAAAGCAGCAGCAGAAAACCAGCGAAACTTTGATCTCAACACCCCCGCAAAGCAATATAGAGCCATCTAACGCCGGATCAGAGCTCCGAAAACCCGTATAATGCTAAGCAGCCTCGCCTCCTATCTCTTTGGATCGCCAGCGACAGCCGATTCAAGCAGCCAGGAAGCGAATCCCGCCCAGCAATCCAACTCGAATCCAACTAGCTCCGACCCAGCCACCGATCCTGCCACGGCCGGAGATGTAATCGAGGTCACCTCATCGACGCCCTCGGTAGCGGGCAGCCAGCGGGGTCAGCCGGCGGTGCGCTCCTCCAACGGTAAAAGGGGTCGCAACAAGCGCGGCAAGCAGCAGCGGAACCACCAGCTGCAGCAACAGCAGCAGCAGCAGCAGCAGCAGCAGAGGAAGCAGCCGGCGACTATTACCAAGTTGCTGACGCCCTCGGGTGAGACCATTGACGATGACTTCGATGAGGATGAGTGGTACATCGTGGAGAAGGAAGGTGAGTGTTGCCTAGCAAGACTTTAACCCACCGGAGGAATCATCTTAATCTTGTTCCAGACGAGGAGGATGACTCCCTGCCGCGCAGTGACTCCGAGGAGGAGCTCTCCGTCGTCGAGGTGACGCAGCAGCAGAGGGGATCCACCGCCTCGGCCGCCTCAACGGGCGGCCATGGCCAAGCGGCATCCTCCCGCCGGCGGCAGCACCTCAACTCGCATTCCCTGTACAGCGGGCCGCGGCCACAGCAGCAGCGCAATTATCTGCAGCGCTCGCGTGTCGCCCGCCCGCTGAGCATCAGCACCCACAGCCCGCCCAGAAGTGTGCCGCCCGTCCAGGGACTTCCGCTTCCGCTGGGTCTGCCTCTGCAGCTGGCACTTCCGGTGACACTGGACACTGACAATGTCACCCAATCGCTGTACGTGGCCTCGCCCAGCGGCAGCGACCAGGCGGTGACCCAGGGTGCCGGTGCCGGTGCTGGCGTGCTGATGGAGGAGTCCTGGTACGTAACACCGCCACCATGCTTCACCTCGATTGGGCCAATCAATATGGAAACATCACCATTTGAGAATCTATTGATTGAGCATCCAAGGTTGGTGATCTTTATAGTACACAACTCCAGTCTCCCCATTGAACCTTGTCCCCTCCCCCAAGAACCAACCGCAATTTACAGCCAAAAACGCACGCCAATAATATAGTTTACTATATTTATTTGTTATAAATTTGACTAATGGAGAATGTTTTTCTTTTGCTTGCAGCATGTCCGTTTATCGTAGTATTAGGTCCACCCAGGAGGGCACCGAAAGTTTTGTTAATCTTGATCTCGGGCTGTCGTCGGAGTTGCAGGCGGAACCGGAAGCGGCTGTGGAGGAAGCGGAACCGGAAGCCGGGCCAGAGCCACAGAGCCAGGTTCTGCGGGAGCAGCGCAATAATAGCGCTCGCTACGATCGCCATGCGGCCGCTCAGCTGAAGCAGCAGACGCTGGCTCGTCAGAGCCAGAAGGTAAGGATCAACGGGATTATAATATATATATCTTAAATTAATATATTAATCTGCTTTTAGAGCAACAACAAGAAGCAGCACCAGCAGCTTTGCCGCAGCGCCATTAAGCGGGCCAATAAGGTGCGCGACTTCCAGGCCAAGGCCAACCGCCCCCGCCGCTCGGAGATGCAGCATTGCAAGCTGGTCAGCGGTGCCAACAACAACCGCAGCAAGTGCTGCTACTAGGCACACACACACCGCACACACCTGCAATCGCACCCGCACACCCACCAGCTCCCCTCCCCCCAGCCACGCCCCCAAAACACACACACCCCTCCCGCACTGGAGGAGCATTACAATCATGGCATGGATTTTAATTAGTATTTTAACTTAACCAACCCAAGATGAAACGAGAAAATCGGCAAGCGAAATGTGAAGGAAATGCCACAAAAATATATCAAAATCTAGCAGCTACGAAAAACAAAACACATACGTTTAATTAAACTTAATAATTAATTGTGTAAAAAACGAAAAACAAAAGCCACAAAAAAAATTAACTATCTGTGTAAATGCGTAGATTTTAACGTTTGCCGTTTCTATTTCAAAACTTATATGAGAAAAAATACCAAAAAATGCAATAAAATTTTCAAAATGAATATGCAAAAAAACCCATAAGAAAAACGAAACAAAACAAATGACAAAAAAAATTTAATTATGTATATGAAATAAGCAAGCGATTTTGTTACTATAGCAGTTTTATTTATTTAATCTTAACAATCAAAATGAAACACACACATGATAACTTAATGGTATGATTTGCAAAACATTTTATGTTTACCTTTTGATTGAGCAATCTCTGATGGATCTTTATTTGAGTTGAGAAAGTATGAATTTTGTGTGTAAAGTGTATGCTTATCGACATGTAGGATATAATGTATTAAACCCCCGATGCACCAGATGTAATGTTCTATATTGTATGCCTGATTATATATATATATAAATATGTTGGAAATGCGCGTGCGTATGTATGAAACAAAAATGTGCGAAAATGACAAACAACAACAAACAAAAAAATGATAAAATTATATATAACAAAAGAAAAAAAATCACAATAAAAAATGATTATGCTAAAACTAACAAAAGGAGTTTTAATTTCATCTATATCTCTTAAATTCTATATCGAAACCTAAGGTTTTTAATTTAAATCGAATGATTATCATACAAAGTTTTCGTTTTATTATAGATTTTAACCAATTATTTATTAAAAAACAGAAATGAGAAGTTCCTTGTAAAATATGCAATGATTTGATTGTATTACATCAACTTTACCCTATTAATTTCCTCAACAATCTCTTTTAAATGTGGGTCAGTTGGCGGTTAAACTCAGGAGTTGTCACGGTGGATGGTCAAGGGTTAACCTTGCTGGGATATTGATATAAGGTTTTAATGGCGTTTACATCAGGGTCAAATTGGATGGCAGGCGGACGAGCCTTTCACAACGCCTTAAGTGCCAAGTAACTAATTAGTGATTTGTATTTCAACGCAGACACGCTTGGCAAACGGAGGCAATTAAAAGAGAGCCTAACCTGCAGATCCGCACTCGACAGTTAGGTGCCGTTGACCTTGGCCAAAAGGTAAGGGGTTGCCCAGCTCCAGCTCCAGCTCCTCCAACTTTAGCTCCCATCTTCAGCTTCATCTCTGGGTTCCACCTGTTCCTTCACCAACTTCCGCGATGCAGAGCGCGTCTAACGGCGAACCACAACGAAAGTAAATCAGCAAATGGAATCATCACAGGCGGTCTCTGCGAGATTCTTTCACAACAACCTGCAGCAGGCGGAGAAGAAGAGCCTCTGATGGAGCCCTGAGAGCCACCAGAATGCGGTTCGCTGGCTCTGCTCTTTTACACAGAGAGAAACAAGGTGATTTTCTTTATAATAAGAATAATTTTGGGGTACCCAGAGCTGGCAAAGAAATCTGTTCTTAGATCACATCGAATTTGAATTATAAATCTGCAAGAGGTGTACTTGAAATGTTTTAATTTTCTAGAAACGATCATAAAATTTACTATAAGAAATACACAAGTATATCTTTTATTAATGGACGCTATAAAAGTTAACAAAACATATTTTTACTTACACAAAGAAAATAGTTTGATCTTCTTATAGCATACTATCTTTATAGGTTTAAGAAATATATTTTGTTGGTCAATTCACTCATTAGTTTTGGTGTTTTAATCTATTCTTATGACATCTATAGCTATCAACCATATTAAATCTATTTGCTTTCATTTAAATATTTCAAAATAAATTGGTTTTCAAGAATAAATATTGTATTGACATACATATATGAAGTTGAAATCTAGTTTTTAAAAATGTTAATGTTCTCTATGCCTACTTTTGGAGTCCTTAAACTCTATTAGAACACTAACCATCACAAAATGAAAAGGAAAGTAAACTGACTTCGAGAAGCCGGAGTTTATTAACCCTTGCATTTTGAAATTGAATTATTGGATTGAATCGAGAATAGATCATAGCTAAGTATTCGCTTTCTTTGAATCGTATTTATTAATACATTTTGCATTAAGTTTAAAAAGCTGATATGTCAAACTCATAGCTAGATCGACTTGGCTGTTGATGCTGAGTAAGAATATGAATATTTTATGCCTAATATATAATACCCTGCAAGGTTAAAAATGCTGAAAATTCGCTTCTCTGTAGCCACTGAAACGGATGGGATATGTGGCTAGATGGATGGATGGAGGAAAACTCTATAAAGATCCGTGCGAGCCGCGCTTGGCTTCACACCTGCTCGCAACGCGAAGAGCTGCAAACCAGCCGCTGAGTCCGCGATAACCTGGTAACTCGGAAAAGTCCAAAGAGGTAACCGGCAACGGTACTCGGTACTCGGAACTCCGTTCGGACCAACTATTATGTAAGATTGGGCAATCCGGCGAACGAAAACACACATCCACATACTCGCACCCAACTCCCACACACACCCCCAGTCGGCGGCGGCGGCGGCGGCGCTGATTCTATTTGGCAAGTTGCACTTGAGTGATTTTTCGGGCTTCCAAAAAGCAAAACGGAAAACCAACAAACCTCTGAGCAGACGTGCAATATGTAAAGCGAGCCACCTAAACGGCGTAGCCCCAATGACGTAGCCGAGAAAAGCCGAGACAAAAGCTGGCAGCCAAAATCGCGCAATATCAAAACCATTATCGAAAGTGAAACCCCAACAAAAAATCCAAAAAAAAAAAGGTAAAGAGCGACTGAGAGCCAGAAAAACCCCGTTTTGTAGCGATTTGCGACGGATCGTCAACTTTTATGGCCAACGTCGCGAGGATTTGCTAAGCCCAAAGTGGAAATGGGCCAAGTTGTTCGGTGTCAGTTGGTCAAAGTGCGTGCCGAGCTGTGAACAGTGAACAGTGAACCGTGATTCGTAATAGTGGGTGTTAACAAGAAAAGCGCGTTGGAAAAGCAAAAATCAGTTGAGCAGGTCAGTACGGGCAGTGCTGGAAAAAGCTAAAAGGAAACGGATTAAATTCAGAAAAACTGTCTTTAAAGAGGTGAGTAATTAATGTAGAATATTTACATTATTAAAATGAAGACGTGCTTGGTGATTTCTTTAAAAAAACTATAATAGTTTACTATATAAAACAGTAGATATAAAGGTATTCGAATTTAAAGTCTACTTATGTATTCTGTAGTTCCTGGGTTTAAGTTAAATTAAAATTTAAAGCTAGATGAAAAAACATCTGAATTACGTTGTTAAAATACACTTTTCTTAACCTTTTATCAAAAATTACTTAAATTTTGTTGACTATTTGAAATTCATTTAAGTTTTATCCTATTACAAATTTTTCTATTGAAATATTCAGAGTATTTCACATTTCTACAACTATAAATAAATGTTAAACATTGAATTCATTTTGATACAAACTTACAAGTTCTAAAAATATATATTGTGATATTGGAAACATCCAAAAATGTTACTAGTATCTGAAGAATATTTCTATGCTCAATTTCAAATTAAATAAAAATATCAAAGGAGCAAAAAAATAGTTCCCAAACCATCCAAATCCTTACTATTTTCGGAAAATCTGTCATTAAACCGGTATTCGCAGGAAAGCTCATAACGTGCTCTTAACCGTTAGGTGCCAGTATTGGCAATTAATGCCGTTGGCCAGCAAGGGGCGAAGGAAAACGGCTCAAGGTCAGCCGAATGCGATTAACCATAATTATAGAGCCAAGTGTAGGAGCAACGGCAGCAGAACAACGGCAATGCGAGTGGCGGGCGAATAATGAAAGCCAAAAACCGAAACCAAAAGCCCAAGAAGAAGCGGCAACTATTGCATAACAAGAGCCAACAACAGAGTTAAGCGAAAAATAAAACAATAAACAAACATAGAAAAAAAAACACACTAGCAACAAGAAGTTGGAGTAATTATAACAACAATTAAGCAAACGGCGTGCGTTTTTACAGCTAAGCGAAAAGTCAGCCAAGCATTTGGCGGGGATCGTTCATTAAAATGTAATCCAAGTTTAAGCGCAGACTTAAATCAGAGACTATGTTCTCTGCAGGGGCCATAATTAAACCATCGCCATGGATGACAGTTTTATGCCTTTGACCTTAACGCCTGACAAACCGAGTTACAAGATGATAGTGCCTACCTCCACATGTCATTGTTCTATCGGCGACATTGATATGGCATAGAATACCTAGAGTCCAACGGAAGTGCCTTTAATGCTTCTCGAGAGAATAACTATTTATGACGGATGTGTTTTATGGGGTTTTATTTAAGACTAATATACTTGATGGTGATTTTAATAAGGGTACTGATTTAAATAATGAGATCACAAGGGGGACAATAATGAGGTATTTCTAAATAGCTGTGGTTAGTTTTTATTTTATGAATTAATATATATAGTATACAGAACAGCAAATATGAAGTACAGCTTCTTAGCTTCATAACCTTACTCAATATAGATACTCATCGTAGGATCTTATAGTCACCTTCACAATTTTATTGTTCATCATAAATCATGTTAAGGGCGTTTCAGCCTCCCTGTCTGAGATCTCCCAAGTCTTGAACATTGGCCACAATTAATTTATGAAGCAAACAAACTTCCTTCCTGCCAACACGCACGTTGGTGTAACCAGTAAACCAGCGGCGGACAACACTTGAGTGACCACTAGCAAGGTCGGCGTCCGCTCCAAGCATGACGATAATTATGATACCGATTCGCATTCCGATAATATTGAATGGTCGCCTATGTGACTTCATCTTGGTTCTCCTCTTGCAGCCACCGGACAGTCGAGTGATGGACATGGCGATGTACAGATTGCCAAGGCGGGCGATGGCCAAGAAGAAGACGAAGATTCTGTGGCCGGTTCTACTTGTGGTACTTGTCGGATTGCAGGTAAGGAACCTTTCACCTCACGTACGTTGCCCAAGCGGGTTGCACAAGCCTGGCCAGATGGGAAATCTAATCTAGTTAACAGTTCTTGGAGTGAACTTCCCGATTAGGCCACATGAACCGTGACCGATCGTTGGCCAATCTCTTGGCCCGTCTCTCTAACGGATATGCTCTGCTCTAATGCAGATTGCGTATCGACCGCGAGCGGAAGAAGCTTTTGTCTAGCCAAAAATTATGTGGCTTTGTTGCCATTGCTATTGCCACTGCTGCTGATGCAGCACTTTTGATTCCACAAAAAGTGAACAAAAAGACGAAAGACTTAAGACACAAACTTGCGCGAGTGATTTATTGCATTGCGTATACGCCCCACGTGCCGCACGCACTTTTGTGAATATTTTTTCTTGTTATTTCTTGCAGTTTGTAAGCACTTTGGAGCAGAGCACGGACTACTCAGTGGTCAGCAAGGCGGCCGGAGTGGCCACCACCACGTCAGCACCACCCACAGTGGTGGCTCCGCTGCGCATTTTTAAGGGACGCATCCAAACCACAACTCCATCATCGAGAAGTTCGACTGGCAGTCGTCCTTTGGCCGCAGGAGCGGAAGCCCAGCAGGAGCTGGTTGGCATCTCCTCCAAGTCATACATTTCAGGACCCACCACGCAGTCCTCCAAGTTATCGAAAAGGGCAGGATTGGCGGGTCCTAAAAAGTTTCCCAAGGATGTGCGCAATCGCAGCAGCAATGCCGTGGAGCGGAATAAGTTGCAGCATGAGGTGGTGAGTCTTTAGAGGAGAATTACTTAAGGAATTGCAATTATTTCTATCTAATTATTAATTAAAAAGCCCGACCACGTGCCCGACTCCTCTGGCTTTGTACCCCATCGCATTGGGCATCCCGTACATTTGGATTATGGTTCCACTGGCGTGGATTCAAGTGGAGCTCCCACTGGCAGTGGAGGATACCATGCAGTGCCCTACGAGGGCAGCAAGTGGCAGGAGGAGTATTGGGATCAGGAATATGCAGGACATCAGCATCAGCATAATGGCACCAGAGTGCAGCGTAAGGAGATACATTTTCTTCTAGAGATATGTATAATCTTTAATATATTCTATCTGGACAGATATTGAAGCCGAGTGCCAGGATGACTACATGAAGATACGCATAGGGTTTAATGGCTCCTTTAGTGGCTTGCTGTACTCAGCTGGTTATGCTTATGATCCGGACTGTATGTATATCAATGGATCTGGTCGAGATTACTATGAGTTTTATATACAATTGAATCGGTGTGGAACTTTGGGCAAGAATTCCTTACAAGAGGAGAGTCGCAAGAATCCCACAGTAAGTATAATTAAACCCTTTATAAAATCAGCTTTTAAGGTTTTGTTTTCGTACAGAACTTTATGTGGAATACGGTGACAGTTCAGTATAATCCACTGATAGAAGAGGAGTACGATGAGCACTTCAAGGTCACCTGCGAGTATGGCTATGATTTCTGGAAGACTGTGACCTTTCCGTTTCTAGATGTGGAGTGAGTTTAACCAACCCTTAGGATTAAATTTATTATCTAAATTGCTTATTAAATAAATATTTTTATGATCATCAATAGAGTGGCCACTGGCAATCCCGTGGTATTCACTTTGAGTCCACCCGAGTGCTATATGGAGATTCAGAATGGTTATGGCATTGGTGGTCCCCGGGTGACCGGACCAGTGCGCGTCGGCGATCCCCTGACTCTGATCATCTATATGAGAAGCAAATATGGTAATTAAATAGATAAAACATATAATCGAAGTGACTGATCAATGGCGATTCACAGATGGCTTCGATATTGTGGTCAACGACTGCTACGCCCACAATGGCGCCAACAAGCGGATACAGCTCATCGATCAGCATGGCTGTCCGGTGGATGACAAGCTCATCTCACGCTTCAGAGGCTCCTGGTCGGATTCCGGTGTCTATGAGACGCAGGTGTACGCCTACATGAAGACCTTCCGCTTCACTGGATCGCCGGCGCTCTACATCGAGTGCGATGTGCGCATGTGTCATGGCAGGTGTCCGGTGGGTAATTTATATTTAATTAATTAATTACATAAACTAATTTATAATCTATGTCATTTGACAGAGTCAGCCGTGTCACTGGAGAAATCTGAAGGCAGTGACCAAGCGGGATACCTCCAATATGACAGCCACGAATCTCTCATTGCCACCTTTGTCCACTGTGGACAGTGAAGGCATCACCACAGAGAATCCACCATCCGCACCATCGCTCTCGGAGAATGTTAATCTCTTCCAGTCGCTGCGTGTCCTGCAGGAGGGCGAGACAGATGGGGATGATGTGTTTGCCCATCGGCAGACGAAGCCTTTGGCTCCGCACCAGACTTGCCTGAAGACATCCACTTTCTCGGCCCTAACTGCTGGCTGCTCGGCGGTGCTGTGTGTGCTCACTGTAACACTCTTCATTGCCTGCTCGCGGTTAAAACGCCGCAAGGAATCCTCACTGTACGACTCCTACATAGCGCACAAGGGTCAAATCGATTGAAGGAGCGCCAACTCCGAATTTGGTTTCGTTTCTGAGCACATTGTGTATATAGCTTATGGCCCACGAAATTCTGTTTTAGTTAGCCCTAAGTTTGCTGTAGTCTTTTTTGTAGGTTCTGTGTGCTAGCCTTAAGTCAATATTTTGCCAACTTCAATTGCGGGAGGGGAGAGAGAGCCCGTAATGTGTGAAATTCTACATTTCAAATGTTCTTCATTTCTTACCAATAAAGTATTTAAAGAAATGTTCCGGAGGAAACTGTTGAGTTTTTACTTAAATAATTATTAGATTTGTAATGGAAACTAAGGGGAGAAAAGCATAAATTTAAAGGTATTGCCTTAATTATACATTTATCTACTGATTATTTTAATCAAATATCAATACAAATTTAGGGGAAATAGTTTGTTTTAAAAAGCTTTACATTTCTTTATTATTTTTTAAGAAAATGTATTGATTAATATTTTTGAAACTTTAGGATCTTCAATTAATTTGGCATTTCCATGATAACCATACATCAAACTAACCCTTCTCATTTTCTACAGTACTCTAATATTTTAGACTTTATTACATATTTTAAAGCTGTAGTTTTATAAGGAATTTTCTCATTAAGAAATTCTTTACCATGTGCGGTTTCTTAATAAATAGAATACCTGCTATGACTAAACACTTAAGAACACATATTAAAATAAATATTACTAAGCACAAAAAATTAGATAAAACAAATTAAATACTTTCATATAGTACTAAATTGAATTTACATGTATATATATTTTTTAGATCTGCCAAATTTTCTAGTCTTTCCTTAGGCTGGCTTTTAAAATACAACCCTGCTGTTATTTACGATAAATGAGTGCCCGCTTTTAGGCACTCAACTAATTTCTGTGTAATTTGCTTATATTCGTCAGTGGAGCATCATTTTGTAGCTTGAAGTTTAAGGCAGTTTATGCCACCACACGGGGCAGGTATAAGGAAGTCGAAGGTGATCGCGACTCGTGCCACCTGTTGCACTTCCTCATGGGACTTGTGACTTGCAACTGGCTTTGTCCTCAGCCATTGACACATCCATTTTTGTGGGGATTTCAGTGCCGCTATTTATGAAGCCACTAGAGAGATTTATGTGTGTTGCGACTGAAAGTATTTATTTATTTATTTATTTTGTTGTGGTTATTGTTGTTTTTTTTTTAGTTTTTCATTTTGTGGATCGTGCACCTAGCCGCATGATTTTTGCTTCTCAGTTTGACACAAATTTTCGACTGCGGCGCGCCGCAAAACATTGCCCAAAGTGTTAATATGGTTGAGGACTTTTAATATTGCCCAACTGGCACTGTGGCAGCAACTAGCCACATTAGCAGCAGCCGCAGAAATACATACACTGCTAATTGTGCAATTTTCGATTATTATTGTTTTGGCAAACGGACCACGGCTTGGGTTCTTGGGTGTAAAAATTAACACGGAATCTGGCTGGCGACTCTGGCTAATTAATTTATTTGGCTGTGCGAAAACAAACAACAGAGTTGTGGGCATAAAAACAATCCGAATGTTTATGATATCACATTACAGAATATGGCAGCCCATTCACACACGATTTTGCATACAATGTGTCGTATCTTTTTTGTTATTTGTTTTTTTTTTGCTCATTTATGATTAATGGCAGTTTAAGCTGCGAGTGAGCAAAACACACTAATTGAATCATAAGCTGGAAGTGGCCCTCTGAAACTGAAATTGAAATTAAAATTCCTCCACTGTCCCTGTCCCTGCCCCAGTCATTGGGTGTTTTTTTGGATAATAGATACTATATGCTCAGGCCCCACCCTGAAGAGATTTCTCCTCTTTGCCTTTTCTAGGCCATCTCCAGCACGTAGATCTGAGATCTGCGATCTGCAAAGAGGCGACAGCGACCTTGGCGGGGCAAAGTGTTTCAATCGGATGCAGCTAAAATAATTAAATAAAAATTTATGAAGATACAGAAATTAATTTGATGTAATTTGCGTTGGCGTTGCCATTGATTTTATCTGTTCTTCGGTTGTGTGTTTTTTCTCTACTCGCTGGTGACACCAAAATGGCAGCCAAATTGCGCCAACGGAGCCGCACAAAGGCTCCAAAGATGTGCTTTTTATGCGCTCCACGGCGACCTTAGCGTTTTTGCCCATCGAAGCAACAGTGAGCCGTATGTCTCATAAGTTGCACGTTCGTGGCCTGAGTTTTTCGTCTCAAGTCTTTCGTTTTTCGTGTTCGTCTTTCATCTGTAGTTGCATTGTATTGCGCTGTCATGCGCACATGAAAATCATCATCAGCCATAGGCAGAGGCAGTCGAAAGCCAAATAACCACACAGAAAAAATTGAGCACATTTGAACTAAATATTTACATTGTCTACATTTACATTATTATTTTATGTTTTTCCGTTTAAAATATTATATAAAATAAAAATAAAAAATAAAAATAAAATATATTATAGTAAAATTCTATCATGTACTATATAGAAATATTTATTTCCATATTAAATTTTGAAACTTTTAAATAGGAAAGCCTTTAGAAAGGTGGTAGGTGATTTACTTACTATAACATTTCAAATATATTGAACTGTATCAAGTTTATTATATATTCCAAACAAAACTCTATAAAATTTATTTCTGTGCAACATCAGTGACTTCAGCAACTCCAGCGACATCATCAATGCAAAAATATGCTTTCATTACCAAACGTCTAGCATTATATGGCCTGCATAATGTTTTCCTTCAGTCGAATCATCATTGACTATTTACCAGTTTTCCCTCTATGCAGAGAATCTTCAAACGTTTTTCGGTGTTGAAGTTGAAAATTGAGTTTTCATAGTACACCCAAAGATATTAAATAAATTGTGCTGCTATCAATCAATTCACGGAAGTTAACAGGCAATATAATTCGTAATTTGTAATGTAATTAAAGGTTGGGACAGGCGCTGACAGCACCATGAGAGTTCGAAAAGGTCATAATTACTGGCCCAGCCATAAAAGAGGTTTTTGAGAAAATGCTTACCTCATTCTATTCAACTGTAACAAATGTATGCAAAGATTTATAAATACTATATTTCTAGCTCCATAAAATTAAGCAGTAAAATAATATGTGCAGTTAAGAAAATGTTAATTTATTTTATCATTAATTTGCAGCGATGGATTATACAACGTTAAAATACTTAAATATAGAAAAGGCACTGCTTATTTAGCTCTGGTAAACTAATGTAAAAAATCCGGAATGCCCTTGCATTTTTGTGCAAGTTAATTTAAAACATTTGGGCGCCATGAGGAACTGCGATTTGTTAATGATACTCAGCAGCGATTAGGCGCGGCTAGAAAAGCTATGAAAAACTATGAAATAACAAATTAAAGCCCCACCCACATGACCTTTCGAGGCGTTGCCATTGTTCGTCGCTCAGCTCGCAGTGATGTTTGCTTAATTTATAGGCCCAAGTTTTGTGTCATAATTATACATTTTTTATAACACAATAAAGCTGCGATCAGATGGCGGAAGCATTCTACCATTTACTTTCCGGAGCCACTGTGCTGGAAATTTCTGCAGCCCTGGAGGTCGAGCACATGTAAACAGAAATCATCAACAGCTGATGCTTTTGTTTACAAACTAAGGGAAAGTGGGTGGTGGAAAACCCACCCTCACGGTGGCAGGGAGCTTTCCACAATTTCCCTCTCATTTATCCGAGATTTTCACGCATGCTCAGTGGCTTTCACTCAGATTTCGGCTGCTGCGCGCGTGAAAGTCGCAATCCCATTGATTTTTATCCAGAATCCCGAAGTAGAGTTCTTAATCCGCACCTAAACTGACGGCTCCAGTTCAAGACGAGAAATTTTGGCAAGAAAATTGCCTGAAAATCAGTGAAAATTAAGCAGAAAATTTGCAAGAAATATTTAAAATCAAGAGAAGCATAAGCTAAGGTGAAGTGTTGTAGTTTTCAAGGCAATTTCGAGAGTTTAAGCCTGATATTGGATATCCTTTGTGTGCCTGCAGTTTTTGGGGCGTGGGCCCAGCGAAACCTCTGCTCAAAACAGTCAGCAATGTCCCTGGAGTAAAAGGAAAATAAAGGAAGTAACGGAAGACGTGAAAGAACCATGACATCCTCTGGAAAATCCTGGCTGCTGGGCAGCATCCTTGTGCTCCTGGCCATCGCCTTAGGTACGTACGTTGAGGGCCACGGCGAGGGGAGTGGACTTGGCTCCCCTCTTCGGGATGGGTGGTTATGTAATAAAAAAAGAAATACATGAAGCGACCTCAAGAACTCTGTTTAAACTCTGCTAACCATTTCTTCGACCCCGTAAACCAAAAAAAAAAAAAAGAAAAGAAAAACCTATCTCTCTATTTTTCCTCTCTTAGCTAGCTTACGAATTTACAGCAATGATTTGATTTTTTCTTAAATTCACGCTTTGCGCTGGCAGCGCCGCCTTAACAAGTTCTCCAAGCTCTCATTGCCACCACCACCAAGAACCTAGAACCAAGGACCAACTTCAGCTCCTGGCATCCAACGTTCTGTGTATATAGCTTATAGCCACACTATTCCCCAACCTGAACAACAAAGTATAGATCTGTCTGCTACAACAACTGCCACACAACCACCGACAACTTTCGCTGAGAAATGAGAAAATGAGACTTGGAGAATCTGCCAAAGCGTCGCTGCTGCAGCGCTGCAAACGAAAAAAACAATAATAATTATAAAAAATACCGAAAAAATTATAACCGAACCACAACTGCGCTAGTCATTCAACTGAGCCATCTATCAAACTCTATGTAAACTATATCTATATATACATATATATTCCGTAATCTCAAGTAGAAACTCCTCATAGCACAAACCACTTGCACTCTGTTTCAAGTGCTGCCCCAGTCTAGCATCTTCTGGATTAGCTCTATCTCTCTATATAGACCCTTATAACCTTAGCTTAGCTTTAGCTATCTATCTTGCTCTCGCTCTTTTTCTCACTGTCTCTGTCGCTCCCGCTCTCTCCGCCTCTCTCTCTCTCTCTCTCTTTGTCTCACTCCAATGCTCGACAACTGTAAACCCGAACCAAAACTATACTTCCAGTACACCTGCATACTCCAAATCTATAAGTAATGATAAATATACATATATATAATCCCAGCTATATCTGCTTTTGTAATTACCAATTTCTCCAGAGTCCCCCTCTGTATCTGTCTCGTTCTCTCACTCTCTCTATGTCTGACTCCCGCTCTTTCTCTCTCTCTCTCACTGTCTCTTTATGTCCACCTCCCCATCCCCCCTGACTATGTATCTATGAAAAGCGTGGTAGCCAAGGTCCTTTATGAGGACCGCAGGATGGGTGGTGGCGTACAGCATCCAGACCGACCACAGCAACCGAAATGAACAAAACCGAAAAGAAAAAGAATAAGAAAAGAAACAGAAAACAGCAAAGAAATGAAAATGCAATGAACCGAACCAACCAAATGCATATATATATACGTGTATTTAAAGATTTCTGTATCAACTGCCGAATCTTAATTCATACTCCTTCTCTTCTGAGCAGTCCAAGAAGTAACGAAAAGAAAAGCAAATAGTAATTGTAGACCAAGTCATGTATCGTTTAGACAGAACCCCCCTCCATTAATGGTACAAGAAATATAAAAATATAGTACATTCACCATACTCACATTAACACACTCACTCACTCACACACATATCCGACATTCGCTTAGCGTTCATCGTAAAAGCACCACCCCCAAAAGTCATTTCATTTTCCTAGCGCTAAGTGCAGCTCAAAAAAAAAGAAGTTACAAAACTCACGCACTCTCTCAGTAGCAGCTCCAGTAGCGTGCTCCATATATATAAGAGACCACACACACACGTGCTCGACAAGGATAACCCGGTCACACACACACGCAGCTTAGAGTGTGGGTAACAGCATCCCTGAGCTTTCCTCTCTCTCTCTCTCTGTCGCTCGTTCTCTCACCTTCTGAAGGATGTGTGTTTGAAGGAGCTTTTTCTCGGATAAAATTCGCTCAGCTGTTAAGCAACGGTTAAGCGCGACTATATGGCCATCTCTGTCCCGCCTAGAAGTAGCAAAAAAAGAAGAAGATGCCGAAATTCCCGTTAGGCTCCTGGTAGTTGTCCCTGCTGGGGGGCCATTCAACGTTGCACTTTGTAAAGCACTAATTATCGAATTTAGATAGTTAAAAACCCTGTTTAAATAGTGTTGTATTTTTTTTTGTAAAGCCAGGCTCTAGGACTGTGAGAACCACGAGGCACTTGCATTGGACCAACCGCTATGCAGGGGGTGGTGGCTCATTCGGAACCACCTCTCCTGCGCATAGTTCTGGTCTAATGGAAGTGCCTCCCATTGCGGCGTATATCCAACGTAGGCCAACAACAGAGACAAGCAACAACATCAACAGTGCCGACACACAGTAAACACCCACAGTATGCACCACCACCACTACCACCACAGAACCAATATAAACCACAATCGAGCGGCTCTCATGCGTCGTCCATATTTGTTTAACTTTCCAAATCAAAATTCCAAACTAAAATTGATGCTGAAGTTGATGACAATGATTCGGTATAAAGTCTGAAAATGCCTCTGTCCTATCTGCCTTTCTCTCTCTGTCTCTCTCTCTATTACTCTCTCTTTCTCTATCTGTCTATCTCTCTCGCTCTGCCTCTGTCTAAATCTATCTGTCTATAAGCTAAATCATACCAAAGCCCATTAAAAAAGAAAAATGAAAAAGAACAACAAGAAAAACTAAAACAAAGAATACAACAACTTTGCTCATCCGTTCGTTTCTTTGTTTCTCTGTATTTTCTTTCATTGCTTACCTTTTAAATATAACTTTTGTTTTATTATATCCACTATTTGTGTTACCAAAATCCTTTATCCTTGTCTTCCAACCGTTGTTTTTTGTCTGGTTTTGTCTTGCATTATCGTTTGATTCCGTTTTCGTTTTCGTTTCCGTTTCCGTTTCGATTCCCGTTTCCGTTTCCGTTTTTCGTTGTGTTTTTTAGTCAGTGCATCCGAAGATGAAGAGCGCTTGGTGCGTGACCTCTTTCGAGGCTACAATAAACTCATACGACCCGTACAGAATATGACACAAAAAGTTGGAGTAAGATTTGGTTTGGCGTTCGTACAGCTAATCAATGTCGTAAGTGTTCTCAAAATCAAATTTGTCAATCAAAAATACAACCTGAATAATAACAATAAGATTATGCTAATTAAAAAGAAAAAACAAAAATACAAAATGCAAAACTAACATTCGTAGAGTGTAAATGTGTTTTCGAGTTCTGTTCCTAACAATTCTTCAGTTTCGTTGCTGTCATAATCGTCCATCTTGAAACGCCGATGCATAAAAATTCCATCGACAGTCAGAAGAACACACTCATCATACACACACACACACACACACACACACACCCACACTCACAATCAACGTTTCAGTTTCGGTTATGCTTTGTAAATAATTACATTACGTACACGTTGTCTTGACTTTGTATGTTTGTAGTGAACTTGATGCTAGAAAATCAAATACAAAATACAAATACTAACCCTAAACAATTAAGATTAAACAAGCAAAACAAACTAACCAACTAACTAACTAACTAACCAACTAAAGTAAAGCCACATGCGAAATAATGTCTTAACTACCTTCCCACCCGCTCTCTCTCTCGATTTCTCGATTGTGTACGCAAATTCGATTCGATTTCGATTCGTTTCGAATCTCAAATGCAAATCGTACCACGTATCACGTACTCCGTACTCCGTACGCCGTAATCCGTACACCGTACTCCGTACACCGTACTCCGTTCCGTTCTCTCACACCACCAAACCACCAACCAACCAACCAACCAACCAACCAACCAACCAACCAACCAACCAATCTACCAACCAATCAACCAACCAAATAACCAACAACCAACCACCAAACCACCACCATCTGATCACAATCAAAACCGATACAATCGAATTCCCGAAACCGAAAACGAATATCGAAAATCGAAACCGATCAAGAATGAGAAAAATCAAATTATGAAATCAAACGTTTGGTTACGTTTGGTTTGGTACGACTACCAGCTGCAGTGGGATGAGGCCGACTACGGCGGCATCGGGGTGTTGCGTCTGCCCCCCGACAAGGTTTGGAAGCCGGACATAGTGCTCTTCAATAAGTGAGTAAATGGCCACATTTTCTAGCTAACCCAACAACTCCAACTCTGTACACTAACCAAAGACAATAAAAAAAGTAGGCGAAAGCAGAGTTACCAGTCCGTGCTTTCCACCGCAATAGGTCCTGTTTATCCTTGAAATACTAATCCCTTTCTGTTCCGCCTCTCCTCCCAGTGCCGATGGCAACTACGAAGTGCGTTACAAGTCCAACGTCCTGATCTATCCCACGGGAGAGGTCCTCTGGGTGCCGCCGGCCATCTACCAGAGTTCCTGCACCATCGATGTGACCTACTTCCCCTTCGACCAGCAGACCTGCATCATGAAGTTTGGCTCCTGGACCTTCAACGGCGACCAAGTGTCACTGGCTCTTTACAACAACAAGAACTTTGTGGATCTCTCCGATTACTGGAAATCCGGCACATGGGACATCATTGAGGTGCCCGCCTACCTTAATGTCTACGAAGGCGAAGGCAACCATCCCACGGAGACGGACATCACCTTCTACATCATCATCCGGCGCAAGACCCTCTTCTACACGGTCAACTTGATCTTGCCCACGGTGCTCATCTCATTCCTCTGCGTGCTGGTCTTCTACCTGCCAGCCGAGGCCGGCGAGAAGGTAAGCTGGAAGCTCTGTTCGAATCTTGTTTGGAGCGGGTCACGGGGTGGGGTCAAGTCAACATTACACTCTCAGAAAAAAACACATTTACAAAGTATTTCTTATGTAGCAAGTTTCCTAATTAACACAGAGGCGACACGTTCTCGCTCACTGTTTCGGGTCAACTGTGGGATGTGGGGTCACGGCTATTGCCCGATCGCTTAATTAAGATGTTTATCCCCAGGTAACGCTTGGCATTAGCATTCTGCTGTCACTGGTTGTGTTCCTGTTGCTTGTGTCGAAAATTCTACCACCGACGTCGCTGGTGCTGCCACTGATCGCCAAGTATCTGCTGTTCACCTTCATCATGAACACGGTGTCCATCCTGGTGACCGTGATCATCATCAATTGGAATTTCCGGGGTCCACGCACTCACCGCATGCCCATGTACATTCGCTCCATCTTCCTGCACTACCTGCCCGCCTTCCTGTTCATGAAGCGGCCGCGCAAGACTCGTCTGCGCTGGATGATGGAGATGCCCGGGATGAGCATGCCCGCCCATCCCCATCCCTCGTACGGCTCGCCGGCGGAGCTGCCCAAGCATATCAGTGCCATCGGTGGCAAGCAGTCCAAGATGGAGGTCATGGAGCTGTCCGACCTGCATCATCCCAACTGCAAGATCAACCGCAAGGTCAACAGCGGTGCAGAGCTGGGCCTGGGCGATGGCTGTCGCCGGGAGAGTGAGTCCTCCGACTCCATTCTGCTTTCTCCAGAGGCTAGCAAGGCCACCGAGGCGGTGGAGTTCATTGCCGAGCACTTACGCAACGAGGATCTGTACATACAGGTTGGGAATAACTCCTTACTGAAGTAAGGTAAAGTAAAGTATTAACAAATAAATCCTTAATTTTCAGACCCGCGAGGACTGGAAGTACGTGGCCATGGTGATCGATCGCTTGCAGCTGTACATCTTCTTCATAGTGACCACTGCTGGCACAGTGGGTATTCTGATGGACGCCCCGCACATCTTCGAGTACGTGGACCAGGATCGCATCATCGAGATCTACAGGGGAAAGTAAGGAGGAGCGAGGAGTTGTCGGAGCAGCCCGGGGCTGATAGAAATGGTTAACAGCATTGCAAACGCAACAATAATAAGCAGACACGAGGTATTGGGAACGGAAGAGAACAATGAAAAATTGCAACAATTAATGCGGATTTTTAGATTTTAATAATTAATAATGAACACTAAACGATACTTGCTTGCGCAGCATTAACACCTAAACTAACTAATATCAACTCTTTTTGGTAAACACACACGAATCGGAACACTAAACACTGAACAGTCGTCAAGTAACACGAAGGCAAATAACTCACCAGCAACAATGTTAAACAAAGTAAATCAAAAGAAACAAAAGAAAAACAAACAAAACCTAGTGGAATTGTGAGTAACTTTATAATTTTTAAAACGAACTTAGCTAATATAGACCTACATATATATATAGAATGAAGCTTAGTTTAAGTGCAATAAACAGTGGAACTTTGTTATGTTGTGCCAGACTTAAACTTAAGTAATTCCATTTTACGCATGAGATCTAAGAATGGAAGCCCAGTGAATCGATTTGTAAATGCTTCTCTAATTAATCGGTGCCTCCAGGTCACCTGAAACCAATAAAAATGCAAAGGTTAATTAACAAATCAAGCTATGTATGCATTTAGTATCGATTATAGTTGCCCGCATCGCGCATACGCCGCGTATTACGCGCCAAGTCAATTGGCTTATTAACTAATTGTTATGGGCATAACATTTTATTGACCAACTGGAGAATGTCGATTCAAATGAGCATCGATTGTTCAGTTTTGCCCACGGCAATAAGCATCAGCCAATTATGTAAGCACGATTCTAGTAGATCTTGGCCATATGTGATAGTCCCGCTGAAAGTTCGCACATTAATCATACGCCCACGTGGCCGGTGGTGTGAATTATGTCGGACCTAATTGGCCAAACACACAAATGGCCAGGAATCCCCTTCGGTTCCTGGTTGTAGTTCTCTTGGTACAGCTTCTCCAGCCATCTCCCCTACCTGTAGCCAGAGATCTCCTCCATCTTCGCCAGTGACTACATCAAAGGTTGCAGCATCGCCATCATCACGGCACTGATGACGACGAGCCAAAGCCACTCGGGCCGAGAGACGTTTGAGCCAAAACTCGTCTCGCTGGCTGACTCAAAACTTCGGCATCCGCTGAGCGGTCGGAGCGCCGACTTGGCCAACTTAGGGGCTGCTCCCGGCCAGGCCGGTATAAATGCGCCAAGGGAGAACATTTGGGCACCATTCGATTTCTGATTTTGCAACGAAGACGTCGCCTCGTCTCCCAAGCCACCTGGATAAGTCATCTCGTGTGCGGTTCGTCTGCGAAACCGGTCATAATTCGATCCGCTGTTTCGTTTTTGTGTAGTGTCGCGTCGCGTTGGGAAAACTCGGAAAACCCGCGCTTAGCTGCAACCCAGTAGAAATGGTGAGTAATTGACCAGCTAGCCAGCCAACCCGGACTCTTGTCATCCTCATCCGTCATTCGTGTTTCTCTGCAGCGCTGCTTCCTGCCCCTGGTGGCCCTGCTCTTGGCAGCGGGTGTCCACGCGGATGTGTCCCACCTGGACACGGATCTTCAGGAGGATGGCTACCATTACAAGCAGCCCTCGGTGCCTTTTCCGCCGCCGGACTCCGGAAACGGCATTGAGGACTCGGGCATAGGAGGCCCAGGACCTGGACCGGCGCCCACTGCCCCGGCTCCATCGTACGGTCCGCCGCAGACGCAGCCACCACGTCCGCCGCCGCAGCCCACTCCTACAGCTCCAGCTCCTTCTTATGGACCTCCTCAGACACAGCCACCTCGTCCTCCACCACAGCCCACTCCTACGGCTCCGGCTCCGTCTTATGGACCTCCGCAGACGCAGCCACCTCGTCCTGCGCCTCAGCCAGTGCCCACTCAGCCTGCTCCTTATAGACCTCCACAGCCTCAGCCTCCTTCGCCGCAGCCTGGACCCGAGTATCTTCCTCCGGACCAGCCCAAACCACGTCCCACCCCATCGCGCCCGCAGCCACCACCACCACCACCTCCCAGGCCGCAACCCACTCCAGGATATGGACCACCGCCGGCACCACCGTCGCCTCCCAGGCCGCAACCCACTCCAGGATATGGACCACCACCGGCACCTCCAGCACCCCCAGCACCCACTCCAGGATACGGACCACCACCAACGCAGCAGCCGCCACGTCCCCAGCCTCCGCGTCCCCAGCCTCCCAGGCCCCAACCTCCTAGCCCACCGCCGCCACCACGACCCTCGCCAGGAGCTGAGTACCTGCCGCCTCCCGGAGAGAACGAGGTGACTCCGCCGCAACCACAGCCCACTGCTCCGGCTCCAGAGTACGGACCACCACCATCCTCGCCACCTGCACCGCCACCAGGACCCACTTATCAGCCACGTCCGCCCACTCCGCCAAGTCCACCTGCACCGACCTACCAGCCCCGCCCACCGGCACCAAGTCCCCCTGCACCACCACCAGGACCCACTTATCAGCCGCGTCCTCCGGCACCACCAGCACCAACCTATCAGCCACAGCCACCTTCGCCTCCGGCACCACCAGCACCCACTTATCAGCCCCGTCCACCAGCACCACCGGCACCACCCACTCCGGAGTACGGACCACCACCCACCAGCGGCGGAGAGGAGGCTGGATCCCTGGGACCCGATGGCTACAACTACAATAAGCCTGCCAGACCCTTTACCTTTTAGAAAAGCGGCTCTTGTGCCCGACACTGTCCGATGATCTACCATTGGACCCACAGCCCGCAACTCAAATCTTTTCCAAATAAAAACAAATCTCGAAAGCCAAAGCCAAAGCTGGATACGTCACTCACTCGGGGGATTCGCTACCAGGTCAATGTCCCAGCTTGCATGGCATATGACCTTCTGGGTAATCAGTTTTTGACAGCAGCAAATGCATTGAAAGAAAAAATCATTAAAGAAAATGTGGTCTTTCAATAGATGCCATAAAAGATTAATTTGCTATTAAAAAAGGGATATAGTCTAGTCACTGTTTTGAGTTTTTAAAAAGGCTTCCTCTGGTTTCTTATCCTATTTGTTGACTGTCACAAATTATCCCTAGAAATTAATGTTTTGATTTTTATTTTAAAAGAAGGGAAGAATTAAAATTATAAAAGCATTGTATTTCACACATTATCTGTTATTCATTTTCTTATATAACAATTTAATTGTATCGCTTTTATTTTATTTTATTGCAACTTTTCTTTAAATTTCAAGGAACATGGCAAAAAATTATGTATTTAAGTTATGGAATTATCTGAGCAGATTATTTTTTCAAGTAGGCAGATGGCCTAGCCAAAATATCAACAGTTCAAGAGCAATCTCCAGACTGCACCACCCAGTGGAGCACGGAGCACGGAGCCGGCGGCTGGTGTCCAGTTGGTAGGTCAAATCAATCAAACCTGGGGGCGCCATAAATCAGAGGCGGAAATTCCGAGAGCGTCAAGCAGCCGTGAACGTTCTCAGGCCGCCGTTGTTTGCAATATCTAACTATAAAACCATAACGACCATATCTATATATACGTATATATTTATAGGTATATATTTTTGCGAGAGCCCATAACGACTGCAACTGCATCGCCGCATCCATACATGGGCCACTCAAGGTGCCGTCTGAGCCAAAATAAATATGAGCAACTGCGAGCCGATCGATGATCAGCTCCACGATCGACGACGGCTCAATTCCCACCGACTCTCAGCCCGTTGCCAGGTTCATCAGTCATTTAGTCAATATGTCGGCGGGCCTAGTCAATAAATTGAGTTAGCCGTGGCAACTTCATTAGGTTGCCCAAAAATAAAGATAAACAAGAAAAACTGCAGTGGCTTCGTCGTCGTCTTTGTCGTCGTTGTTGTTGTGGGTTGTGCAACGATTTTCCAATAGGGCTAAGAGGGGGTGGCTATGGCATTAGGGGGTACTGCCACTAATTACATAAGCACTTGCACGGCGGCCTTCAATTTCGCTGGACAGAAGGCGCCCTAAGCCCGGCCCGATCTGAGCCATTTGATTAACGTCTTAACGAGCGGCCGGCCAGGCCTGGCCTGGCTTGGGTGTGATTTATGTTGTCAGCCATCGGATCTGCAGCTGCACTTAGTCTTGGCTTTTTGCGTGATTTATGATTGCAGCATGGCACTTGAAAAGATTCGGCATGACAAGGGATTCGCCACGCATTGTTTGCTTTGCCTCGATAATTATGCGATGGCAATTACTGAAATCCAAATAGAGGCAAAATGGCTGGACGGCATAGGCCCGAAACTCGCTCACCCGCTGACCTTAACTAATTTCGCCCATATTAACAAGATGGAAGGGTGTGCTGTAGCTGGTGATTCCGCTTACGATTCCGATTCTCATTCCATCCGGGTGTAAATTTCCCAAACAAGCTATTAATATTCCCCAACCGCCGCAGTCAAAACGAACACGCAAATGTAAATGCGAGTATATAAATATTAAGTCATTCTAAATAAAATGAAAGCAACAAAAATCAAAATTAGAAAAAAATCATCATCATTTTACCCGAGGGCGAAATTCTCATCTCGTCTTCTTCATCGTTAATCTCAAATTTCCAATTAATTCTTCAAAACTTATTCCGACAGGGGCTAATCGAAAATATTAATGGACATATTATAATTATGACTTAATAGACAGAGAATAAAGTCACACAATGATTTATGTCTATGCCAAGAGTCGTAAACTTAAAAATAGCACCTGTTCCCGCCTCTCAAGAAGTCTCGCAAAATATTGCGCATACGCAACGTGCGCCGGCGATATTCTTGCGAGTTACGATGCGTTCGCTGCATTACGTGGCGTTACGTTCGCCGCCTTGTAAATCAATCACTGGCGAAATTGCCCTTGGCACACTTTAGAGACCATTTTTTTTTTTCTATTTCCCTCATCTTTGGGTGTTTTTTTGTTTTTTTACCCTGTTGTCTCGGCTCATAACTGTTCAATTGTAAAACTGGCAACGCACTCAAACGTTTTCGTCTTCGAGGCATTGCGTACGATGATTTGTGTCGACGGCACCGCCAAGCGAAATATGAATCAACCCGTCAGCGGTGTTCGAGTGGATCCGTGAGGGGGAAAATGCAAACAAAAGCGAAGGAATGCCGATGAAAATCACTCACGCATGCAAATGCACAAAGAAAAATTAAGAAAAGCTACTAGAATCATTTTTAAATTGCTTACTTAATTGATTTATTGTTCTTTATACATTTAAGAGACTTACATGTAACCTAACCTAAGTCAGTCGCTTGACTCTCCTCAATAGTTTTTAAGTAATTCATTTATAATTTGTAAAGTAATTTATACATAATTTTAATACATCTCTATACAATATTGGAAAAGGTTTTCCTTAAGAAGAAATTCTACATTTTAAAATAATTTAATTTCATTTCATTCCTAAGGTGACTTTATAACGAATTTAATGTTTAGTTTGTAAGTGCCACTAATTTATGTCTTTTATTTTGTTACTGTGTCAATCATGATGGTTGGCTTAATTAAAGTTTCGCCTAAGTGTATGCTAAGAAATTGGTGAACAAATTATTTAAAGACAAGCTGAAGCTAAAGTTTTATTGGTTGCCTACTATTTTGCTGATTTATGTTACAATTATAAGTTTATATAAAGCTCGCTATAAGCTTTATGGTTTATTTATTTATTTTAGTTTGCTGCTTTAACTCTGGTTTTCGCTGTTTATTAAAGCTTAAACCGATAAAGTCTTTACTATGTTTATTATGATAACTAATGATAATAAAAGATGACTTTTTAAGTATTCATTAAAAGCTTTTTCTGTATAGATAGTCTTGTAACAAACTAAAAATTATTATTTATGATTTCAATTAATTCAATTATTGTTATTTTATATTCACCATAACTTAATAGGCAATCATTAATCCAAATTATCTACAGCCTCGAATCATGCAGATTTCGGCTTGATGCCGTTACTATTTTTAAACGCTTTTGCTATTTTTAAAATGATTAATATATTTTAATATTTTCCATAGGCATTCATATAAATTGATATGAACCAAAAACCTCGATTTATGCAGAGTTTACCATAATAATGTCTTCAGTATTTTTAGACATTTATTGCCATTTTCGAGATGATTCATTTGAATATTCGATCGGCAATCAGCATACACCTCGATTTAAGCCAACTGATGTCTCAATTTATAGCTCTGCACGCGAAATTCCGCATAATCCATTTGCTGCTACAACTTCCTTGTCCAATTGACCGATATTGCCGCCCCGCCGAATAATAAATCCCCGCGCCACCCCGTCCTCAAGTCGCATGGCTGTATCGCATTAACAGCAAATTAATCAATTGCTAATAGATGTTTAACAACTGTTAACCTTCCCGGCGAGCATTCATTCAAGTGGCTTGCGAATAAATCAAGCCGCAGACAGCGGCGATTTATGATTAAACGCTGCGATTCTGCTGAGCGTGAACAAAATCGTTTAGCAGCCAAAAATTGGCAATTACTCGGTTTTGCTTTGGCCCGGCCAATGGGCTCTCCCGGCCAAGTCGGCTCGTGGCCTAAAGTGAATAGCCAGAAAATTGGCTTAGCCTTTGTTCAGGATGATTGCCCGTGTAAGCGATTTCGGAGACTTTTCAAGATTTTCAATGCAGAGCGCTGTGGGCGCCAACGATTAGCATAATACCAAGGCATTGGCCATACATTTTGCCCGCTCTATTAAATTTTAATTATAAAACGAACAAAACGCCAACATTAATCAAGCAACGGCGACACCGAATAAATGCAGAAAAAAGCGTCAAATATGAAGACAAGTGGATTAGTCTAGATCGATCCAAAATTCATTCATTTTCATTCAGTAAGCCCCAGAGGGCGGCTTTGTCACGCAAATTTATTGAATGTTTGCTTCTGACTGGCTTTAAAAGTGCACTGAAAAAAATGCAGACTAAATGAAACAAAAGAAGAATTGAATGGATAAAAGGATATATATCATATTTTACTAATCGATTATTTATTTAATGAGTAAATTGTAAGAGTGTAAGATTATTTATTCTAAGTCTATTTATATTTCATTAAGTGTCTTCTTCATATTTTAAATGTTAAGAGGTGTTTATAAATATATTTGTGTTTCTCTAACGAATCATCTTTATTGCACATAATTTTTCACAAGACTTCCTTATCTTCAACTTTACTATATTAATTGTGCTTAGTTATAGCCACTAATTTTGTCAAGTGTTAGTTAGTGTTGCCTTAAAAGATGCTGGCCAGCGTGAAGCAATTAACGGCATATAGTCTGGGCCACCGATCCATGTGGGTCGTTGTCTTGAGCACTGACAGCACTTGTCACACCAATCCATAATGGATGTCAAAACAGACAAGAAAAGGAAAAAATCAGCAGCTTCGACAGCAGCCGTCACAATGGATCACCGGCACCAGCTCCAAAAAAGCTGGCCCGAATCTATGCAAATGCAGAGTCAACAATGGCCAAGACGACGAATCCGATTGAAAAGGCAACACGCATAGCAGTTAATCCAATGTTTACAATCTCTTTACAAATTTCGACCTTGGCCTTACAGAGACAAAGCGCAGCAAACGGCATCCGAGTGGAAACAATGTCATAGCAGTTAGTCAAATCACCGGAGAATCCTCATTTGAATGGCTTTGGCAGATGATGATCCTCATCTCTGCCTCTCTGACTCAGAATCCGAGAAGAATTTTACAGAAATCCGCAGACAGAGCGGCGACTGGGGCCCAAGAAGAAGAACGAACCTTCATCATCGCTTTCAGCCCCGTGGGGCTAATCATTATCGTCATAATCTCTTGCCGAAAAAAAGAATCAAAGAAACGGGTTCTGCTAATGGCCATTAACCGTCCACCAAGCCTTAAATGCGACCATAATAATCAGCATTTGCATTTGTGCAAATTGACTAGAATGGCTTATACTTATAAAAATAGAGATATAAATATATATACGTATATATTATTAAATACCAACCCCCCTTTTGTGTTCTTCCCAAGCGAAAACAAGTTGTTCATAGCGATTTGCGACATCTATTTGTCACCGAACTAGATCGGCATGAATGAAATCTGATCGATCGCCTGTTTGCCTGACTCGTGGCTGCCCCTTTCGAATTAGCTCCATTAGCCGTAAAAGCTTAATGCCATTTTTATTGGGGTAATTTTTCAGAACTGAATTCCATCGATTACAGCATCTTTGAATCTTTAGCCGGCAGAGTATTCTCGGGTATACTCTTTTAAGGAGAAGTGTTTCCGTCTCCGTATTTGCCGTATTTGTATTTTTGTACCTTCTCTCTAAATGCTTATCGCGGTCTTAATGCTTTGCCTCTGCCTAATGAAGTGGAGAATGTGACCTCTATTTGTGAATTATAACTAACCAGATTGGTTTCAAGTTCCCAATGCAGGCCAAATTCTTATTTTATTACCATAAAATTAGTCATATTGGACCAAATTCCATAATCAATTTGTTTTTATGATTCTATTTCAAAAATATAACCTTTTGCGGCTTATAGGAAATACATTTAGGGGCTTTTAACAAGTTGAATGGTTTTTAGAACAGAAATTTAGTTTATATACAGGAGCTTATATTATTATAGAAGGTAAAGGAACTAATTTTTGTCCATAATAGATAAACTACTAATTAGTGATTTTAATGTTGACTTTAAAAGGAAATTTCTGTATTTTTATGGAAGTTTTTAAAGAAAAATTAAACTTAAATAGAACTATTTATTTAATTTACATAAATTTTATTTTGTTGGTGAGTATATAATCAATAAATATAAATATAGTAAACACGAACTTATAATATCATATATCAAGCATTATAAATCACTTCTGTTTTATGACAATATCCACTTTGTATAGTCGCTGAAATTTAATTCTCACTTAAAGTTTTGCTCGTGTGGATATTTATTATTGATTATATTCAGAGTCAAAGTTCGAAATGCCAGCTCACCTGGCTGGCTTCAACGATTTTTGGCGGCACGAGCCGGCCAAAAAGGTGCCAAAAAGTGGCTAAATTGCTCAGGTTCACAGCCACCGACGTCGCGACGTCTCTTTTTTTTGTCTTTGGACGATGCTTTTGGCCCCTCAGGCGGCATCGATTTCATTGTTTGCTGTTGTTGCGAAACAAATTATAGAGGGAGATAATAAAAAACTAATTATTAAGTTAAACAATGATTAGATGAGGCTCTTCTGTGGCCATTCTCATTCCCATTCTCGGCCCCCTTTCAATTCCCATTCCCGCTCGGCTATTATTCTATCTCGATTCTGGCTAATTTCAATAATTAATTTATGCTTCCCATTAAATGTTAACGTTCTTCTGCGGACGCTTTCACTGTGCGCGTGTCCCGGTGCCCGCCGGTTTGTCTGCGACTGGCGATCGATTGGAACCAGAATAATCTTTGGAGAATCTGCCTTGCCTTGGCGACGGCCAAATAAAAAATAAATAAATAATTATATTATAAAACCCGATGGCTTCTATCCCGAGAGTTTGCCGTCAGACTGTAGGTCAAGTGGCTGATGTACGATAATTGTTAAGCCATTTATTTCGTCAAATGCAGAGGCGGAAACGAGACTAAGCATCAGCGTTCGTGGTCTATTTTAAGACAATTTATTGAGGCGGTTATAAATCTGTCAAGTACCTCCACTTTTGGAGGTGTTGCAATAAATATTTCTGGGCCTAGATCACCACCAAGATGCCATGTCGAAGGGGTCGCCCGACTGGGCCAACCTGTTTGACGCCCCTTTCGAAATACATATTTCGACAAGAGCATTGCAGAGTTTCCAATTGTCTCTTCAAGATGATATATTTGCCGTGCCTCGCTTGTTGTTTGTTATAATTTTTTGCGTAAAAATATTGAATATTCATAATGCCTCCTCTCCGGTCTGTTTCGTGAATGTGAATGTGCGGAAGCTTGTACAAATATAAAAATTCCATAAAACATTTACGAAGCATTGTGTCGAGACTCGTGATAAAAATAGACGGGAAAGCGAGACTAGCTTGAGAATGAGAATCTTCGCATTTCGACAAGGTCAATAATCATATAATGATTACAGCCAAGAACTAGCTAAATTCTCTAACCAAAACCACTCATAGCTTCCTCTGTAGTTCTTTTTATGAAGACAGATGTCAAGAAGTGACACGAAGCGCAGAAAATGTTTTATATTTCTACTATTCACACGCGCATATTCAAATGCTAAGATAACGAGGCGTGTCTTGCCCAAACAGAGAGAGATCGCTTGGTAACCGATGCCCAGGTGGGCATCTATTGTGGTCCTTATCAGGTGATGCGAATCGCTTGTAAACACACGCCTCGTCAGACAACAAATAGCTTGGAAATTCGTATTTATGGCCGTGTTTAACCCCGACTGGACAACAGGTCGTATGCTTAATATGTCTGAATGCTTAGAGCAAAACAAAACGATTCTCGGGGAGGCACGTGAAGGCGACTGGATTCTGGCTATCGGCAGGCATAGGGTCATAAATTAAGAGAATTTTCGATTACCGGCATTTAGCCGAAGCTCCTACGGCGGCTCATGGCTTTTGATTCACTCGCTGCGATCTCTCGATTTCTGGTTCCTATATGCAAATTAATCGAAATTGTCGTTGTCGTTGTCGCTTCGGTTCCGGCCCCAAAAGACACGATGATGGAAAGATCACAAAACATATTGATATTATATATGGGCATTAACATAAATAAGAGTTTGGTGATATAAATGTTATCACTGGCTGGGAACTGCATCGAAACATATAAAACATATATCGGCCCCGCCCTTGTCATTGATTTATGCCACTCCTTGATTACCGATCGATCCGATCCGATCCGATCCGAGGGAAGAACGATGCTTTTCTCATACAAATGACACATTTTGCAAGTCAAATGTCGCTGACTCAATAGACAATGGCCGCAAATGGCATAAGCAGCCAATAATGAATGTTTCGCGGGAGATCAAAATTTATGAATGTGAAACCCAAGACGCCAGCGGACCAAAGCATTATTAATTAAATTTTAAATTTTCTAATAACCGTAAAAACACACAATAAATTGTTTCTTTTTTTGTTCATTACTAGATTTTATGGTGGGATTATATAATATGCTGCATATATGTATGTGTGTTTCCCATATTCCTCGTCTTGGCTGCCGTTGACAAATGTACCATCAATCAATGCAGGTGAAAGGCACCCGAAATGATGTCACATGACCGGGCCAGAACTATTTTAAACTGGGCTCCAATACAGTGGTCTTTAGTGGTGTGCACATTCATGGTAACGTCTTTACAATGTCGAAAACATATTAACCATTTCCTGTGTTTGTGCCACTTAATCTTTTTGGGGTAGACCTTGATATCGAACAAATCATTTTTATTGGCACTGCATCTTTGGCTCAAGTGGCTTCATTCACTTGACGGTGGCAGGTGAATGTATTTCCCCACACACACACGGACGAGAAACGGAAATGATGTATGCCCAAAAGCCGTTAAATTCGCTTATTGTTGCCACTAAGGTCAAGAGAAGATACAAACAATCATGCCAGCCGACTATCAAATGGCCGAAAGAGAGGGCTACCAGATGGGCAAACAATCCAAATCCGAATTGACATGATAAAGTCAAAATATGTTTATTGAATGGCTTAAGTGTTGAGTATAATAATCAGCAGCAGTGATGCGTTTTGCTTATCCCATACTCATGACTAATCTTCCCTGTTGGTTAGGTTTTTTTGGGGAGTTTAGCATACTTGCATGGAGCCACTTGGGTTGGAAAAATATTATTCTAGCAAAATGTTATGCAAATTATTTCAAGCAGGAGTCAAGACAAAAGACTTAGGCAACGAACCTCAATTGAGGCACGCGCTGTGCGGCGACAGCAGGCGATAGAATCAGAGTATCTGCACAGAGGGAAATTTGTAGGGACGAGTTTGTATTCCTAAGTCATGAAACTATTTAGTATTTTAAGCAAAATCAGTCAAATAAGACTATTTTGACTTTTTTCTATTAACCAAAACAAAAGACTTAGGCAACGAACTTTTTTGGTAAGCAAAACATGTTCTTGAAGGATTGAGGGTAAGCAAGTCACAAATCACTAGTAAAACTTGTGAAAAGTAAGGAAAAGAATTTATAATTTATGATGGTATTTTTAAGCTAATTTAATGCATTCCTTGTTAATTTTTCCCAGTGCATATTTACGATCTTTTGCTTGTCTTGTGACCTGTCCGTGCGTCATGGCTCATGACGACACCAAAGTGATTGTCCAAAAGGGACCAACCAGCCCTCAAGACCCATCAGCAGCCTCTTCTAGCCGCCGTTTCTTCTCATTTCGTTTCATTTAATTTAAATTTTGATTTGAATTGGCGATGCTGTATTTTGTTTAGTTGTCGTTGTTGCTGTTGCTGTTGTTACTGGTGCTGAGCGGTGCCGCTTCTGCTTCTGCTGTTAGTATTTTGTTGTTACCTTATTTATAACGCCGTGTGCGGTTTGTGTCTCATCGGGTTTCGGTCTCGGTCTCGGTCTCGGATTTTGGCGGTCAGACCAGACTCTCTTAGACCCACGTACCGAACTGATCCGAACCGGACGGATTGGACCGAACCGGCGATATAGTATAAATTTCATACCCACTGACCAGCTCATCATCATTTGTGCTTTGAACTTCTTAAAAGTAAATTGCTCGTCCGCATCTGCCCGAGAAAATTTCGTGACTATCCCAAAAAACACCAAAAAACAAATATGGTATGTGATCCTGGCAATGACATGGACCCCGTGTCCTAGTGATCCTCTCCGCTAACCAAGCAGGATATGAATTATGGACAAAACCAAAAGTGAATTGTGAATAAAACATGAAATTAAAAAAGCGAACCCGAAATAACTATTACTGTTAAGTGCTCCCCAACCCAAGCTCAAGTGCTCGAAAACGACTTCATCAACGCGCTGTCCCGACTCGAGTGGCCCTCGGGATTCGATTCGATTCACTTCACACCCGTGCCGGAGACACGCACATAATTATGCTCCAGAAATAGATCCAAAAATAGCAGCACCTCTCACTAAAACTCACTTTTTTGTATTCCTTATATGTTACCCTGTAGATACAGGTATAAACGTTATGGTGTCATGTTGGCACAAACGTTCAAGGGAATTGGATACATTAAAGCCACAATAATTTATAATCCTTAAAGGATTTCGTGACTTAATATGTTCCACATTTCCTTATTTTATTTCATAAATTTCTTTAGAAAAGAATATACAATTTATATAGAGTCCTTAAACTTCCTTCCTAATTAACTTCCTTGTACAAGAGTCCAGGAAATCAAGATATAAGTCTTGTTATTAATTTGTAATAATATAATAAGTATCTTTGAACTAATTATGAGATTTGTATTAAATTTCAACTAGTTCCAAGCTCATTAACACTTTTTTAGCTGAAACTAAAGTGCGCTCATAATAATTTTGAGGTAGTAAAGTAAACATAGCTTTATTTTGCAGTGCAAAAAAATATATTTTATGAGTTCACACTGGGTTCACGAACTTTACTATACTAGTTTAGTGTAAATTTTAATCATAATCAAATACATTATATATTTCCCTCCATATGCTTGCAGAAATTCTTCATGCTGTTGGCCTTGGCCCTCGTGGGTGTTGCTTGTGGCGCCCAGCTGCCCGACTCTGCCACCCAGGGACCCAATCCTCAGGATATTGCTACTCCAGAGCCCGAGTACATTGACATTGAGGATCCTGCCCCGGTGGCCTCCGCTCCTGCCCCCCGTCCCGTTGCTGCCCCGGCTCCTCGTCCTGTGATCGCTGCTCCAGCACCCATTGCCCGTCCCGTGGCTCGTCCCGTGGTCCAGTCCTTCATCCAGCAGCCCGTGCACCAGCAGCAGATCCTCCAGCGTGCCCAGTATCTGGCGCCAGTGGCCCAGCAGATCCAGGTGGCTCCCGTGCAGCAGCTGGCGGGGCACACGTACAGCAGCAGGGCCGGCTACCAGTACCGTCGTCCAGTCTATGTAAGACGCTTCTACCGCCTGCGCCGCTATTAAGATGGGCGGCTAGCTCTTAACTATATTTAATACATGCTCGACAATCCTAGTAATCCCTCCTATATTTTGTCGTTTCTCTTCCTTCTCCCACTCCGAACTCCGAACTATCCGCACCAAAACTCCAACCCAACACCCAATCCAATCCAATCCAATCCAATCGAAACCGAATCAAGCATTAACCAATACCTAAAACCACGCACCCATTACCACGCACTGAAAAACCCACTCCAACTATCCAACTATCAAAACTATCCAACTATCGTTACCTAATACAAACCTAATCCTAGAACGAAACCATCAAAGAAACGACGAACAAGAACAAGAACAAGCCAAGATCAAAAGCATAAAGAGCGAAGTACAAAGAGACAAATGATGTTCTTAAGACAAAGATCGAAAAAACGAAGTATTCAGTTATTGTTGAATTGCCAAGTAAAGTACGAATAAATAAACGTAAATTATTTGTAAAAGAAAAAAAAAATGATAAACAAATTTCAATTCCGAGTTATTTCATTCACCTGCCAAGGCCAATCAGTCTTAGCCGGGGTATCGCATCGCAACGGGCCTTAATTGTATTATTCACAGCTCATCAAGGCGCAATAAAGTGTGTCGAAATTGTAGAAGATTCGTTCTCGATTTGATGAGTGCCCCCCGTCGGCGTGGGTTCCTCATTAATCACGGAATGCCATGAGGAAAATCTATCTTGAGATCTCTGATATCTCCGGCATTTGCATACGGAAGCTGCGCAGAAGTACTTGTGGGCAAAGTATTTGCGCACCGTCTTATTACCTTAATATATACAGTATAATATAAATACAACTATAAATATATGTATGTGGTTTAATTTCAGTGTTGCGTGGCGTTGGGGCTCATTAAGTGGTGCGACTTCTTCAGGCCAATTAGATATAATTAGATATGCAGGTTCTTGCATGACTCTTGGCGGCTCGTAAACAAATAGGAATACATAAATCTAGTGGAATACTTTCAAAATACATTAAATTGAACCGGTTTAAGCTTCTGCTAAACCTGCTAAGTTGTCCCAAAACACATCTCAGAACACACACTAAATCGATGGAAATGCCAGAAGTGTAAACAATCCGTTTTAAAAGCCATACACACTGCGTCTGTCCGGGTGAGACAATATGCGATTGATTGATGGATTGATTGTCAATTTGATTGCCTTGCCTCCGCTTCTATTCAGGGGCATTAACAGCCACTTTTGTCTATGAACTATGACAAACTGGGTCTCGATCGATCCAATCCACTCCATTCCTTTGTGTGCCAGCGATGACAGCGATGCTTCCGTCTCCGGCTGGGATTTCTCTTGGATTCCCTGGGTCAAGTGGAAATTATATGCCTTGACCTCGCTGTTCGGTAATTAATTACACAGATTTACATTGACCGAGAGCGTACAATCTCGATACAATCTGAGGTGACAATTACTAGATAATAAGCGTGCTTCTGTTTGATTAATTAATTTATTATGCGGAAGAAATGTTGAACCTTGAAGGAGTAATTTCTTGGGAATATTTACAAATTGATTAGATATATTAATTAATTTTATTTCGCTTGGCGTATTTATTATTACCTATAATTGAATGAGTGTGTTGAAATAATTAAAATAAATTGACCGCAAAAAAGTTATTTCATTATTTTCAATATGTACAAAAAGGGATTATTCAAAAGGATGGTCTTGGCCACGTAAAGTAAAGCTTCTTATTTATAAAACAAACTGTTATACTCAATATTTATAGCATATATTTCGGGATCAGTATTATTTGGGTCTTTCTGAAATAATTCGCCCCAAATTAGGCTTTACAAAGACTACGTTTTAAATAATATCAATTGAATTTTTCGATTAATATAACCTAGGTATTTCGAAATACATTTTTTGTATAGAGTTTTTTTTAAGAGAATATATAGAACATTACTTAAATAAGTATTTAATTAAAAGACTCCAAAATAATATTGAAGTTGAAATCACTTTAACAAGGAAACAAGGAATATTAATTCTAAATTTATGTATAATTATACGTTTCTGTAGAAAATATATTAAAATTTTAACTAATTAGTTGCATGTTAAGAACCTGTGAAAGTGTGCAATTGTACTCATAAATTCTTTTCAATAGTCCAAAGAACATCAATAGACTATTAATAGACCGAATTTTTCGTTTTTGATTTTTAAAGTTTTTTTTTATAATTTGGTATGCGCATTTTAATAATAATCTATACCATAATAATGCTACCAACTTAATAACCCACATTTTTTAATAATAACCTACTTATTATTAAAATGTATATATCATTCTTATTATTAAAATGTGCATACCATGCGTATGAGTAATATATGGATGGGAATATTACTCATACGCACCGTATGCCCAGTAAGCCCAAACAAAACACCCAAAATAGTTCTCATCTGGTTAGAACCAATAAAATAGCAGCCAAAAATTTTCGGAACAAATGATAATTGCCGCTTGCTAATTTATTATTGATTATAATAACTTTAATTTAAAAATTAATTTAATATTTATATTAACACAATAAAAAATACCCATTGTTCTTAAAAAATTGTATTACTTTATAATATTATTTGTAAAGATGTTTAATTATAGTATATCAGTAAGTAGTTATTAAAATGTGCGTTCTATGCGTATGAGTGATGTAGGAAAGTGCACATTACGCATACGCACCGTATGCACATGCAAACCAAACAAAAGGAATATGAAAAACGAAAATAGTTCTGATCTGCCTGAAACAGGCCGATAAAATATCTACAACCAATTAGCATCTGGTATATAATGCATCAACAATAAAAATGTCGTGTCGAAAATGAGGAAACAAATAGTTGGTTTCATTAGTGGCGAATGCGAAACGAATAAGAAACAGGCTAGACGACTGCCTGGTCGACTGGGGTCATCAGTTTTGCTTTCTAAAAACTAAAGTCTCAAGCCGAAAATTGAAACTCTAAAACCGTTGATGAGAGAGATAATTTATGGGCCGTGTTTATTTATATAAACGGCGCTACTAAAAGCAACAACCGTAGATAAAGCTCTTAGGTAAATCATTCTTGGGCGTCCAGCGAAAGATAAACGTAATAATCTAATTAATTTGCATTTGCTGACAGAGATGAAGGAACGGGTTGCCGGCCATTAGATCATGCAATCGATTTCCATAAAGCAATTCATTTTGTCAACAAACGTTCTTCTTCAGTACCGAAAAACCAACCAAAAATATAGACTCAACTTCCTGATCGCATTAGTTTCACTTTCACAGCACCGTGGGCGGATTTAAGAATCTGCGGGGGATCTGCCGGTGTATCTGTATTCACACCTCCAACAATGCCAGCGATTGTCTTGGAGCAATTAAGGCATTGTTATAAATTATAAAACCGTCGTTTATTGGAGCTCAGCCACAGCTCGGGCCATAAAATTAGAGCTTATGGCCGTTATGGCTGCTCACTTCAATTACTCAAAGTTGGTTTTGTTTGGGTTTCTCTGGCGAGTCAATAAATCAAGCCGGAATCGGATACAGAGCATTACTCAGTCCCAAAAAAAGAAGAGATCAAAAAATAAACCCCTGAATGAAACTGTTCTGCCGAGTTCACAGATATTTTTAGCCGGCAATTATGTATGAGGCACTTGAGCCGAGTTCGCGGTCGTGCTCTTGCCCTCTCTTGGGACATAGGATTTTCCCCAGATCCCCTTGGGAATATTCTGTTACTCTAAGAGGTTTTTTAATAAAATAAGGAATTGTACGTTTGGCAGTGCAAAGCTTTATTCGTTTTTTAGTGCAGGCTCGGTAAACAATAAATAACTACAGGTAAATACACGTGACATTGGAAGACAACAAACAAATGGCTAGGGATGATCTGTGCTTAGAAGAGGAACGGCTGGGCAGGGGCATCGTAGTGATAGCCATCCTCGCTCTTGGACTCCACGATCTCCTGGGGCGGCAGGTAGCTGTTCACAGGCTCCTCCAGGGGTGCGGCATACGAGGGGATCGGGATCTTGAAGCTGGGCACCGATGGAGCCACATAGCGGGGCTGCTCAACCACAGGAGCGGGAGCAGGAACAGGTGGCAGATAGGCAGGCTTAGGTGGATCCACTCGGACAACTGGTGGAGGAGGAGGCAGATAGGCGGGCTTGGGTGGGTTGACCTACACCACCGGTGGGGGAGGAGGCAGATAGGCAGGCTTCGGTGGGTTGACCTTCACAACTGGTGGGGGAGGAGGCAGGTAAGATGGCTTGGGAGTCCTCACCACCGGAATCTCAGGCTTCACAGTCGCGGGCGGCAGATACACTGGCGGAGGCTGGGTCACGGGCTTGGGTGGCAGATAGCTGGGAACTGGGGCAATCACGCGCTCGGTCACTGGCTCCGGAGGCAAATAGGCCGGAGCAGGAGTGGGCAGGTCGAAGGGAATGCTTGGTGGGTCGTAGTTATAGCCAGGATGGTCATGATGTTCGTGGTGATCGTGGTGGTGGTCGTGTCCCAAGAGATGCGACACATCGGCGGCGGCCAGGGCCAAACTGCAAACTACCAGGATAAGGAATTTCTGCAATATATATAAATATATAATAAAATTCCTCAGATCCATTAGGTGATTATCCTTGAGAGCGTGGAAATACCATTTTGTGGCTGGAACGTTCTTGCTGCGACGACTGCTTCTGCCCAAGTGATACAGTTTCCGGCAAGTGCTTCTTTATTTATACAGTTAGAGAACCCGAACCTGAACCCAGTGGCCGCTATAAAGCCGTCTCGCCTCGCCATTACCATTACTTCCAAAACGCCAACGACGCTGTCGTCACGAGAGACGATCTGGCTGCGATCTGTCTATATAAAAATATATGTCTAAGCCTGTCAGATAAGCGGCGTTTAGGGGTCTCGCCCCTTTGACAGCCGGTATTGGCATAGGTATTGGTATTCGCGCATTGGTATTGGTATTGGGAATTGGCATTCAATTTTTTATTAAATCTCTTAATTCGAAGTCATCTCGTTGCGTTGGCTTTTGTTTTTTGGCCCGGTCGGAGAGCTTCTTATGGCTGGGAGCCATAAACGTGTTGGGGTTTACGATCTCCGCTGCGTTTGCCAAGTATTTAAAATAGTTTTTGGTTAGTCAACGATCGGAATTTAAAGTTGAGTGGCCTTTTGGGGCCACTCCAGCGGTATTTAGAGAGTAAAGTGTTGGGAAAGAGGTTGGAGTCCTCTATTAACTATATTTTTAAGATCTAAATTCCTTTGATTTCTTTTCTTAGTCGAATTACTCATTATTTTACTCTACTTACTTCATTTACTCTCTTCGCTGCCTATCCGGATAAACAGGATAATTTCCTTATTGTATTATCTCTACTATTTAATATAATTTTTAAGAATTTTATTTTAAGTTATTTATCTTAAATGTCAGCTCTTTTTATAGCTTTTGAGTCGATTTGACTTCTGCAAGCAAGTCTCTTCTGTGTAGTTTATAAATAATTCTCTCTTCTGAAGCTCGTTTAATAGTCTAATTTTTCCGTTTTCTTATTGGCTAACTAAATTTAGTAACCACACTTCGTGATTTTTATTTATTTTCTTCCATATACAGAATCTCCAATCCTTTTTTGTCTAATTTTATAAACAGGAACATTTTAATGACCAGATATTCTAACTCAACAAACCAATACCTCTTAGTAACAAGCACTATGTTTTAGTTAGTCTACTTTTGTGTTCAATAAGGAGTTTGTGAAGCGAACAACCTAGTCTCTTCTGGCATTTTAGTGAGAGTGTCTCTCACTCGTTTTAAGCTTAATTATTTAATTTAGTTCGCTCTTCTTTCAGGTTGACTTGCCCCATCTCTGTGATCTCTGGGCAACATTGAAAGAGGTCAACTGTCGCTCCATAGCTGCCGGCTGCAATTGACGATTAGCGATTTTGGTTTCTGTAACAGACGCCGCATCCAACCAATCAGTTCCTATATATATCCATATCCATAGCAAAAGCAGAGCATCATTTTTCATTCCCAAAGACAGTAATTATAGACACTGCAGGTGATGATCAAGCCGAACTAAAACTAAAATCGAAGCTGAAGCTAAAGCTGCTTGGCCACCTCGGTTGATTGGCCGCAATTAGATTTGGGGGTCAGATCGAAATCCACATGGATCCCTCGGGCAGGGTGACAGTGATTTGGAGGCGATATCTCTGACCTTGAGCTGGTGATGGTGAAAGAGCTGAAGTGTCGCAATATCTCTCTCGGGGGACACAGGGAACTAGCCGCTCTATTAATCATTAGTTTTTGTAGTTTAAAATGCTTTTAATTTGTACATCTTAAAGCTAGATGCAGGTGCTTGGCTTATGAGGTGGTGAAGAGCTTGTGAGTGGTGCTGGGGTGATCCTAGTGCCGGAAGCGACGCAGTGGTGGCTTGTAATGGTATCCTGGCTCGGCGTCGTGGCTCTCTACGGGCAGCGAGCTTGGTGCTGGACCCAGGGGAAGGGCGTAGGATGGAATGGGAATGTGGAAATCCACCTCGGGCTGTGCTGGCGGCAAATACTGTTGCTCCGGCTTGGGGGGCAGATACTTCTCCACGGGCCTGGGAGGCGGCAGGTACTTCTCGACGGGCTTTGAGGGAGGCAGATACTTCTCCACCGGCTTGGCAGGTGGCAGGTACAGTCCCTTGGGTGCCACTGGTGGCGGAGGAGGTGGTGGCGGCAGACTGGGCGCCACCTTAGGTGGCAGATACCTGGCCGCAGGAGCTGGGGGCAGATACTTCACCTCGGGCGTGGAGGGAGGCAGATACTTTGTCTCTGGCTGCCTGGGAGGCAAATAGGTGGGCTTGGGAGCCTGGACTGGCGGAGGTGGTGGTGGAGGCAAGCTGGGAGCAACCTTGGGCGGCAGATACTTGGGAGCCACGGGCTCAGGGGGCAGGTACTTTACTTCCGGCTTCGGGGGAGGAAGATAGCTTGCCTTTGGTACCACTGGCGGTGGAGGAGGTGGCGGTGGCAGGGAGACCTTGGGTGGCAGGTACTTCTGGCGCGGCTTCTCCGGTGCCCCATAGTTGTATCCACTGGGAATATCGAACTTGGCCTCGTGGACATGATGGTGGTGATGGTGCGGCTCCGGCTGGAAGTGCAGATCGATGTGCAGGTCGTGATGGTCGTGATGGTCGTGACCCAAAGACGAGTGCGAGGAGTGCGAGGAGTGGGCATCGTAGTGCTCATGATGATCATGCTCGTGGTGATGATGATGGTCATGATGGTCGTGCTGGTGTCCTCCGCCAAACAGGTGCGAGACATCCGCCCGAGCGCAAACGGCCAATCCGGCCAGAGCCACCAGGATCATCAGGGGTTTCTACAAGACAAAAGGACACCCATTTAGATAGACCAAACTAGGAGCTAATCCTCTGGCTATTTACCATGATCTCGTCGAGATTATCCGGTTGATGTTGCTGCCGTTTGCCGACAGCAGGTAGTAATGTCAATATCGCAGATGGCTACCGCTTTTATACCATCAATAGCGCAGCTTCCTCGAACTCGGTTTTCTTCACACTTTTCTCGGTTTTCTTGGCCTGAACTTGACGGTGGCCAATTATCGGCGTGTGGTATCTCCTCTCTGCCAAACAATTAATGACATTTCGACCAAATTAGCTGCCTGAACAAAGCGGCTCATGAATATGCAGCGTCCAGCGACGAAATCCCATAGACAATTGACGGTGATTGACTCGGCCATCTGGACCACTTTGCCCCGATCCAGTCCCGATATCCGAAATGGAGGCGATATCAATGCAAATGGGGTTAACAAAACAGCATTTATTTGAGATACGTTTAGCTTTAACTTATGTAAACCTTAGACTAGTGTGGAACGATCAAAACAAAGTCATCCGGGGAAATTTTCAGCGGGTTCAGTCCAGTGGGTCGGTGCTTCATTTTTTGTTTTTTTTATAGGTTTTTCTCTTAATTTTGATTAGAAGATGAATGCCTCGGCTGGGGCTTCATAGTGGTAGCCGTGATCGGGCTCTGGCTCAGGCTCTGGCTGAGGTGGAGGAGGAGGCGGCAGGTAGGTGGGCACTGGCGTGGGAGCCGGAGTAGTTGTTGTGGTGGTAGTAGTGGTTCTTGGTGGAGGTGGCGGGGGAGGGAGGTAGGTGGGAGCGGGAGTAGGAGCAGGTGTGGTGGTGGTGGTTGTGGGAGGAGGAGGAGGCAGGTAAGTGGGAGCGGGGGTAGGAGCAGGTGTAGTGGTAGTCGTAGTTGTGGTCGTAGTGGTAGTAGTGGTGGGTGGTGGGGGAGGCAGATAGGTGGGCACCGGCTTGGGTGGCAGGTAAGTTGGTGGCGGCGGCGGTGGTGGCGGCTTTGTGGTGCTGGTAATCACAAAGGGCACCTCCGGCTTGGGGTAGTCATAGCCGTAGCCATGCTCATGGTGCTCCTCCAGAAGCTCCAACGGCAAATGTGACACATCTCCGGCGGCGTAAGCCAGCAGGCAAGTGGCCAAAATAAAGAACTTCTGCAGATATAAAAAATTAAAAACGAAAATCGTTAAATCCAGGTGATTTTCGAGACCTAACTGACCACACTCACCATGTCCGTTATGATCTCGTCTAGGTCTGACACCTTGAGCTCTTAAACCGCAAATGATTGACCGTTCGCTCCGATGTCTGTTTATTTATAGTCAAAATTCTAAAACAGTTCCACACTGTCCATGGCTTCAAAGGCCAATTATTATCATTTAAATCGATATCGCTCCGCTAGCCTCACGGCATTCTTTGTATCGGTAAAACTAAAGCGTATCTGTAGCTGTATCTGTATCTGTATCTGCAGTTGTATCTGCGTTGTTTATATGAATGATTAGCGCCACAATGCTGCTCTGCTGCGTTGACAGAGGACAGAAGACAGAGGAGCAGTGAGCGTCATTGTTTCGGCATTATGATTTTATGGGTCTCCACTGTAAGCATTTTCATCGGCATCGTCACTCCGGCCACTTGGGCATTTGGCCACGGCCTCTTGTTACCACAGAGATTATTGTTTAAGGTGGCAAACTCAACCGAAAACTAAGCCTCTGCTTCCGACGGAAGAATGGCCCTAAGTCAAGGCACTTTGAGAAAATAAGAGCATTTTTACTATTACTAATATTACCAACATAATTTTAACATTTCAAAAATTTTAAGGTACAAATTACTGATCATTATATTATATTTGGCTTCCACTGAAATTAAGTTTTAATTATGATTGGTACTCTAATTTCGTATTGTTTATATGGGACGACATTTTTAGACAATTAATTTATTGCTTGCACTAATATATTACTTAATCTATTACTTATTTATTATATTAGGTCGCTTCCTTCCATGATCTTTCTCTTTTAACATGCAAACAATTTTAAGGGTGTTAATTATTACGCAAACTATTGAGTTCAGTTTTAACTAAAGTTCAAGGCATCATTTAATTTTATAATATTCCTAATACTACTATTAAGTAGTTACCTTTTATCATTCGTTTTTATTTAAATCTATTTAAATTAAATCTAAAAAAAACCGCGATTTACTTATTTTATGGATAGCTTATCTGTGAGATACTTTCTGCTTTGAATATTTGAATATAAAACTTCCATGCTATCTTAAACAAATAAATATAGTTTCGTTAAGCTTCTTTTTGAGTTTTAACTAAATTAAAAAAACACACCATAATGTGTTAATTATTACGCAAATTAATATATTTCAGCATCAACGAAAATTGATTTCATTCATTCGTTTTAATATTTTAGGGCACCTTAATTATAGTTTTTAAACACACAGAGACATCTTGATTGACATTTTTCAGAGTTAAAGCCTTTACCTTTTAAGTCCAATAAATACATAATATTTTTTGCCGTGCAGCTGAAGACTTAGTTCCGCCGCTGGGAGCGTTGTAAGCGTGCTCTGCTGGCTGTCATAAATCATTTAGACTTCATTTATAATAATTATGGCGCGCGCTGCCATTTGCAGCTCAAGAAGTTTCAGTCCGAGCTTCAGTTTAAGTGGTCAGCGTTTCATGGACAGCGGTGGACAATGAAGCTGTCTACAGTCTACTGGGACATGATCTTGCGGAAGCAATTCGGTTACAGATCAATGGAGATCCCCAGCAGAGGCGGACAAGATGGAGAACTATTCACATATTACAGACAGCGGGGGAAGAACAAGAGCATTTTCGAAAAAATATATCCAAGTATTATACGAAATATTATACGGTTTTTGTAATTTTAATGCTATGCCTAAGTTGTCTGAAATCGATATGTATGTTAAATGAGCTTTTAACTCAGTTTAAACAAGAAATAAAGCTAACTTAGGTGTGATGAATTCTCTATACCCTAGCAGTGAGCAATTGGATCTATCTATCTATCTATCTTTCTAACTTATTTCATTTTATACCCTTGAAGGGTATGGTATTTTAGTTTTAGTTAGAAGCATGAAACATAGTAAAGGAGTCATTTCCGACCCCATAAATCATATATATTCTTGATCAGCATGAATAGCCAAGTCGATCGAGACATATCTAGTTGTACATTTTTTTTTTAATTTTTCAAAATTTCAAATTTTTATAAGGGGTTACATCGTAAAAATTGTCAAAATTAGGCAAAAATTTTAATTTCTTTAAATTTTAATTTAAGTATGCAGATTTTTTAATCTAACAAAAACTAACATAGGAAAGCTTTCCGAATTAAAATTAATGATCTTTTGGCTTAGTTATGAGATTTTGAATTTGACTTAATGATAAAAATTGTCATATAAAATCTTGGTAAATATTGTTTCATAGAATGCGAAATTGTCAAGCGTATAACTAGGCTCTATCGATTTGTGCTAGAGTGAGTATATAAGTTTGGACTTTCTGAAAATAGTTTCCTTTCTTATTAAATGATAACTTTTTGGACAAATAAAATTTTAACAAAAAATATAGACCACCATTTTATTTTATTAATTTTAAGATTATCTAAGCCCTTTTAAAATGGTATATTGGTTAACACTCCTCGTTTTATAGTTAAGTAAAATTATCTCTGCCACCCGTCTCTGATTTGATTATATAAATATTTATAAAAACAAATATTTACCAAAATAAGTGTCAGCCTAAAAGAATGTGTTTACAGAACTATGAATATATTTAAAGTGATGTCCCTAACTCTTAAAAAAAATTCCATCACTTTAACGGCAGCGTTTAATCAACTAATTAGTTGGATTAGCGTCTCTTGCCGCTATAGTAAAACAAACAGACGATACTGGTCTAGGTTCAACTATCACTTTTTGTTTCGTCGGTTGCCAAAAATAAATAAATAAATAAGAAATACTACCACAAAAACTATTCGCAGACGGGTTGTTGAACCAGAGAGCATTGGTGATCTCGGAAGATCGATTGTCAAGTGCTGAAATTGGATGGCGTGTGCTGAACCAAACCATCCGCGTTTCTGCTCGGATTTCGGCAAAAATGAGCGAAATTTATGCCGATTATGAAATTAATTGTCGTTCTTTATGGGCATTAATCTCGCTGATCTTCGGCTAGGCCTCAGTTTTAATGGCAAATGATCGCGAATGTGTGCAAATTTCGTGACTCCTCAACCGGTTTGGACTAGAAATACTATATGGTCAAGCAGCGAGACATTTTGCTGCTTGGTTTTATAGAGTTTCAACCAAGAGCCCCTAGTGAATCTCGTTCTAAGCCAAGTCCAAGGCAACCACTATATTTGATCTAAGCCCTGCCCAAGGGCCCTTGGTGAAAGGAACGCAGCTAGATCTCTGGGTTAGATTTTAGTTTTATTTTTATTATCTTTACGAGAAACTTTGGTACAACTTCAAACTGTTGGGCGGGGTGTTTAGCTTTTGAAGCGCCGGCTTGGCACTTGGTACTTGTATCCATGGACACTGCTGCCGCCCTTGACGGAAATGCTGCTGGATCGGGACTCGGAGGAGGAGGAGGCAGCGGCTACTGGTGCTGGTTCTACTGGCTCCTCGGGCTCCTCGGCCTGGCCAAGTTCTGCGTCTGAGGGAGCCACGGGAATGGCATCCTGAGGGAATTCCTCTCCAGTGGGAAACTCGTTGCTAACCTCCAGTTCCAACTCTGTGACCTTGGGAACATCATACACAAATCCATTGCCAGATCTCACTAGCTGGGAGACATCAGCACGGGCTGAAAGGCAGGTTGCCAGGAGGAGGATTCCGATAATAGTAAGACGCTGCAGGTTGAAATAATAATAAATTAGTTATATAAATCTTATTGATTTTGCATAACAAATGCTCATAATAAATATAAGATTTTGCTTCCTGACAATCAATTCTTCTTTATTTAAAAAGACTTTGATTAATATTCTTAATAATATAGTATAAGAACATATATTTTATTTTGTTTTAAAATTAGAATTAAGTTCAATAATCTACAAATTGCTGAAATTCAAATATAGAGCAATATATATTCATATCAATTATTGGCGTGAAGACATTGATAACCTATACTAAATTATTCTTTTCTTTAAATATGAATATGTTTAAGCCAAGTATCTTATACAGGATTTATAATTATGAGAGTTTTATGGAAAAATCTTTGCATAATATTATATATCCAAGTATGAAGCAGACTTTTACGCTTTAGAAAATTACTAAATTTAAGTAATTGCTTATGTTTTTTATCCAAATGCTGCAGGTTAGCTTACCATGATGATCTATTGATGGAATTTGACGTAGAAAGGGAAACTCTGATCTGCTGAGAATGCCTCTGTAATGGTTGTCGCCTTCCAGCGGAGTGTTGCTCAAGCGAATGCAAGCGCCGGCGCTGGAGCCCAAACTATTTATACTATTCATACTTCTATATGCTCGCCTCATTTGCCTCACTTTATTAATTGCGCCAAAGCGGATCGATCGTGATGACGGTGCTGAAGCCAAGATACGGAGCCAAACACAGTGAGCGGCCCTAGATGAAACAAAACAAACAAAAAATCGTCGGAGAGACGAGTCCCCAATGGCTCGATGTCTTGGGCCAAATGGTGGAAGCAGTGCTACTACTGCTACCACATAAAATGCTACAACATCTCCATCGACAACCACATAGCCATTGCCAAGGCTAAGACTTGTTTTGTGGGGTCAAGTGTCAGTGCGTTTGCCTTTGTCTCAGCTATGCGGCGATTTGCATTCGAATTAATGATTCTGACTGATCTCTGTGATTACCTTAGGGATGAATATCTAACACTCGATATGTTATCACGTCGAAATATATTAAATATCGGTTACTTAAAGTTGGAAAAAATGAAAATCTAAATGTAAAAATATTGAAGAAAACGATATGATAAATATATATGAAACCAATTAATAACTGTTTCAGAGACTATAGACCTTTGCAAAGTTTTTGACAATATTTACAAAAGAATATCAAATGAAATTTTAAAAACTAAATATTCTTTATGTAATAACATTTCTTTAAATTCCATGCTAATTTTCAATATTTTCAATAGGTTTTATATTCAGTATTGACTTAATACCGATATATTACTATATTTTGTTGCCATCTCTAGTTCACAAATAGTGAGATCCACGTGATCCGAGTAGCTCTTCAAACATATTCAATTATGCAGCCCTGTCCGATCCAATGAGATCCGATTTGATCCCCATCCATCGAGCATTTGAAGCGAATAAAAGCGACGCCTCAACACGTTTCCGTTTCATTAACGTTTTTACGGCTGCAGATCCGGCGACGATCGCACAATTTATCTATGCCAATCTCGACATTTTGATTATACTAAGCATCGCCTTTGAGGGGACATCGAAAGATTGATGGCATTTGCTTGAGGTTGTTTTGTCTGGCAGAAATTCCACCTGCTGTGAACTTGCAACGGGATTTCGCAGACACACCCTCTAGTATCAATCACCTGAAGAAAGCCAAAACAAAAGGAGAACAAGCTTAACACGAACCATTGAACTTTAATAACTGGAATAATAATTCAAGCTTTACAGAATCTTTAATTAATTGTGGGAATTCAATGTATCTTTTAATGATTGAAATGTGATCCGGCTCAAGTCAAACATTTTAATTTATTTTTTCCGCCTTTTTAGATACTTGATATCTGGCCAGAGTTAATTGTTATTCAATTAATTAATATGAATAGGCCCAACATCCTTTTATTATTATTTCCATATACGAATTTTGTGGGTTTATAAACTCTGATAATTGTTCTGTCATCCCATTTCAAATTTGCCAAAAGATGATTAATTGCGTTTTAAGGAAGTTAAGTTTTTATTCAAATCTCAAACTTTGTGTTTGTTTAAACTTGTTTACTTTTAGGAGTCTCTGTAAATTTATATAATTTATAGCATAACAATAGGCATTCTATATAATTTTAAATACACAGTCTTATAAGTTAAAGATAATGACATTTTTCCATTAAAAGACCAAATGAAGACCACTTATAATTCCGAAGAAATATAATCTTTGAATTTCATATTCTAAGAACAACTTTTAAATGTTATTTTACCAATAACATATTAGATTAAAATAAGTATTGATCAATTACTGAAGTACTGAGCAGTCTGCACTTACTTTACTTTAGTTATTACTCTAATTAGCTCAAGAACAATTAATATTTCTAAGCTTCAATCATGGCAAAAACTTAGTGCTGGCGAACAAGTAAACTTGAATAAATTCTAGAAGAAGGTTTTAATGTTTATAGAAATTCAAACCAGATTTAATGAAATACGCTCTTAATTAAATAGACTAAAACCTCTTCAGTTAATGCATATACGCTTAAATAAAACTGTAGCCTTGAAATTTAAAAAATTTCCAAATTAGCAATTCGGTGAGACTGTTGAAATGACGCAACTTGCTAATTTGAATTATCATTTTATACTTTCACTGGCATGATATTCACATAATCTTTAATCCAATCGAATGTGCTAAAGTAATAGTTTTTAATACAAAAGAATTTCTTATATTTAGTTATAAGATCAGTTACTATTTCTAGAAATAGTTTAAAATAATAACTAAAAGACGGTTTCCTTAAAATCGCTTGATTTTTATTTTGACAGTTATACCAAGTGGATTCGGCTTTCCTGCGAAAGGCCGAACCACTCATTCACAATTCGTTCACAAATATGGCTAATACTTAATCTGTGTATTTACAAGGGTCTCGATCGGCCTAAAAGTGGAAAGAGGGCTGGGGGTTGTTGGGGTAGCTGTAGCCCTTCTCCGCGGGTGGCAGGTACTCGACCTTGGGTGCTGGGGGCGGCGTGTAGACGACCCTCTTGGTTGGTGGTGGTGGTGGTGGTGGGGGTGGGACGTAGACGACCTTCTTGGTTGGTGGTGGTGGGGGTGGCACGTAGACGACCTTCTTGGTTGGTGGTGGTGGGGGTGGTACGTAGACGACCTTCTTGGTGGGTGGGGAGGCAGGTACTCGACCTTGGGGGGAGTGGGCCTCACGTACACTGGTGGGGGCACGGTCACGGGGAAGGGAATGGAGGGCTCGCCATAGTGGTAGCCATCATCCTTAAGGACTCCCACTGGGGGTGGGGTGTAGACTACCTTCTTGGTTGGTGGTGGTGGTGGTGGTGGGGGAGGCACGTAGACGACCTTCTTGGTTGGTGGTGGTGGGGGTGGCACGTAGACGACCTTCTTGGTTGGTGGTGGTGGGGGTGGCACGTAGACAACCTTCTTGGTGGGTGGGGGAGGCAGGTACTCGACCTTGGGGGAGTGGGCCTCACGTACACTGGTGGGGGCACGGTCACGGGGAAGGGAATGGAGGGCTCGCCGTAGTGGTAGCCATCGTCCTTAAGGACTCCCACTGGGGGTGGGGTGTAGACGACCTTCTTGGTTGGTGGTGGTGGTGGTGGGGGCACGTAGACAACCTTCTTGGTCGGTGGTGGTGGTGGTGGTGGGGGAGGCACGTACTTCTTGGTCGGTGGGGGTGGCAGGTACTTCTCCTTGGGTGGCGACGGTGGTGGTGGTGGGGGTGGCACGTACACCTTCTTGGTGGTGGGAGGAGCAACATACACGCGCTTGGTGGTCGGAGGAGGCAGGTACTCAGCCTTGGGGGAGAGGGCCTCACGTACACTGGTGGGGGCACGGTGACGGGGAAGGGAATGGAGGGCTCGCCGTAGTGGTAGCCATCATCCTTCAGCACACCTGCGGGAGGAGCGGTGTACACGGGACGCGCCGGCGTGGGCTGTGGCTTGTACACCACCGGGGGAGCGGTGTAGACGGGACGAGGAGGAGTGGGCTGGGGCTTGTAGACAACCACCGGTGCGGGGGCAGTCTCATGGGGCACCGGCAGATCGATCACAGGGAAGGGCTCCGAGGGAGCTCCATAGTGGTAGCCATCCTCATGGAGGTTGTTGCTGTGCGAGAACAGGTGCGACACGTCGGCACTGGCGACGGCCACCAGGGCGAAGGCGATGAGTAGTTTCTGGGAACAGAGAACGCAGAACACTGAACTATAGTCGTTGCCTAAGCATATTCCAAAGTGCTCGCGGTCCCAGTTCGGTTTTCGTATCCACCACCGAATGGGCTGGGGCAAATCCTCGATCTCGATCCTGTGTGTAAGCTTACCATTTTGCTCAGAACCAAATCCACACCACGGATGCAGAGTTGTGACTGTGCCGCTTCTGCTCGGGTCTACATTATTTATAGTTCAGCGGCTCAGGATGGCGGTGCGGTGGTGCTGAGCGGCAGAAGCTTCTCGGCGGAGCCCCGAAAACTAAACAGAACCTGCTTGGGTTGGTTAACCGGCTGCCGTCGCTGACGTCGCCGGCGATGGCTGATTTTTGGTCGCGCTTCTCGCCACCAGAACGACACCCATAAACTTATTGTCCAGATTCCAGGCGATATACCTTTTCGGCCACAACAAATTCCGATTTTGGCCAGCTCTGGAACAACGGACGTAAATGAGCTGGAATCTAATAAAAATCATAAGCCACGGGCCAAAGAAAGCAAATCGCCAACTTTAAAATATATAATAACTTAAGAGCAGAGACAACTGTCTGAGGCGCAGAGCTGAAGCTAATATAAAAAGCAGCAGAGTTTAATTTGAATTCAAGAAAAACCGGTGAAATATGGGGATCATATGGGACCTATGTATCTTTTTTGGAGAACAGGTAAACGTGTGATAATCATATGCCAAGAAAGATGGGTTTTAGGGTCTGGAGATCTTAAGGGAGAACAGGGGAAGAACCTCGGCATGGAGGTCCCGCATGGGCTCGATAAATATTCTGAAATATTTTGCGGTGATCGATAATGCTGCGCTGCGATGCCAATTTGTCGGCCTATCGCGATGATGGAGCCACTTCGCACTTAACGACATAGACAATGGCACTCTTTAGCTGATCCCGCGCATAAATCTAGTTTAGAGCCGCGGGTATGGGTACTCGGGCTGGTTAGCGCGACGAGAGACATAAATTAATTTCGCATCTATATGTGGTTCTATAATAAAACTACTTCGGAATGTTTTATTTATGAGGGCATTCGGGGATTTGCATAAATTCTCCAAAGTTCCGCCTGAACGGTGCGGCGTGTGGCAGCGAATTAACTCCTCCCCTGAAGTTATACCAATTACTCACTCAAGGGCATCGGCAACCTTCACGCGGCATCATCCAGCGCTGTACATCGATCCAGTTGGATGAATCAACCGGCAACTGGTTTCCCATGCAGTTTCCCCCCGAATGTGGGATGACCTTTGCCTTGGCTTGCAGCAAGGACAACCACAATTCCCTTAATCTTGACCCACTGTTCCACTCAATGCTCCCGTTGTTAATTCGATTTACGCAATCGAAACTTGCACTCTCAAACTGATTTTAATGACCATCATTTGAATTCCTTTCCCCCATTGAAAACCCGATTGTTATTCAATCGAAATTCAAATTCAAATTCTAATTTAATCAATTAAAATTTGCAACCATAATCTTTCTCTTCAGATTGCCGTGTTAATTGCTTCTCGGCGCAAATCCATCCGTTATTATCCTCTTCCGAAAGCTTCGATGTTCACTTATGACGTCCAAGATGGCTGAATACCAAGAATTCCCACTAAATATGGCTAGGTCGATCGTTGACCGTTGGCGCAATTAATAAATTTATGCTATTCTTTTTTAGAATTTAAGGGGATTTTTCGCTTAATTTCCATTTCGTCAAATTTGTTACGCAACCGATAGGGCATATCTTTTATCGTTAAAATCGGGTTTTATAACTCGAATTAAGGCGTAATACACTGGTCAGCACGTAAGGGGTTTTGATAAGGAATTTAGTGGCACTTTAAAAATAAAAGGCATTGTTAAAGCGCTATTATCAAAACTATTATCAGAACTACAAAGATATTTAAGTTTCTGTGAAAATATTCTCCAAACTTCGATGAGTTCGAATACTGTTCAGTTTTATATAAACCTATATAAAGATGTTAGGTGTCATTTTATAAGCTAACCCCTTGTAGGACAGTGACTCGATACGTCATTGTTCAAACTAAGTCGTCAATCAGGCGGTCGTTAAATGTTACGCCATAGTCACTGGAAATTCGAGATGGCTCATTTGCGAATGACTTTTAGCGACTCATTTTGCTGGCCAATTTGTCGGAATTTGATGTCTGTTTTGACCTGAGTCAGATCAAAGATCAGTTTCCGGCATTCAAATGGGTTCTCAGGCCATTGTCGTCGATCCATCAGCTAATATTAAAGATTAGCTCTGATTACTTCATCCGAAATTATGGCTTGTGGTTTAATTAGATGGATCTTGGGTAAATGCCACACAACGGTAAACGAGTTTGTGATCTGTCCTCACCACAAAGGTATATATATTTGTTTTTGTGTATATATAGAATAATATATATCATCGCAAAACGTATTTGTTCGTCGTTTTGTTGAAATAGCCAAATATGTGCACCGCTAAACACGCGTGCGTCGGATTCGGATTCGGATGACGGGGATCGGAAATTGCAGAACCTATCCGATTCGATCCCGAACCGACCCGAAACCGGTTCAATTAGTTTAGTGAATGCCTTAGAATTTAGTGTTTATAAATTTCACATTAGGCATAATTAAGAACAAGTTTGTTCTATTCTTACGGAGTGTTCCCCCCGGCCCCAGAAAAACCAAAATTTAAACCCCAAACCCAAACCGAAACCGAAGTCAAGTTCGAATTCCAGCCGCCGATGCATGCAAATAAAATAATAATTTCAAAAACTGTTTATCAATCCAAGCATAATGCCAGACATTAATCTTCGAATGGGGAGAGAGATACCATAAATGTGGGCATCAATTAGCTTTCAGACAACGGAAGCCACGTTAACACAGCCCGGTAACTACGCGCGAATATTTACTGCATGTTTGGCCACTTTGGTAATTTTTTAAACAAAAACTCTTCTCGTGAAAAAACGAAACAAAATTATAATAATAAATCCGAAGACACAAAAACAAAGAGCTAAGTTCATTAAAAATACAACAAAATTTCTTTCTGCCTGAATAAATCTGCATTAAGAGCACATAAATTCGAAGTATAATTTAACAGCAGCTTTGACGTAGCCACTGTGGCTAACAGTGCGGGTTCGTGTCTCAGCTGTGCCATGACTGTTAACGCAACTGATCGCAGTTCACGAAATAAAGTAGCAACCGATCACGGTATTAATGAGCTATCGATGCCTAAGGTTCTGTTTTTAATATTCATGCAAAATTAATTTTATGAAAACCTTATCAAATGATATTGAAGCATATATGTTTCTTAGGGAGTTTGGTATGTGTCTTTATATATAGATAAATATATAAAGTATTCTAATAACAAATATAAATATATTAAAGCTTAAATTAATCTTTAGCCTTACTTTAAATAAAAAAATCTTTTAAATAATAAATATATAAATGGCATTCTGATGACTCAGATTATAGTAGATATTGACTTGATATAAATATTTATTTATATATTCCATTCGAAGTAGATGATATACGCTCTAGTGACTCAGATATTACCCACAAATAAATTAAACCTAAACTAGTCTTAAGTTTCAGGCTTATTGCCAACTTATTTCGCTTCTACGAAAAATTCCTAAGAAGTCTGAGATAACTCTTTGTAACTTATTTGTAACATTTATGTTACAAGTTCTTGAGAATTAGGGACACAAACGTGTTACATCGTATTGTATGCCAAAGATAGCAACACCAAAAACTCGTTTTTAAGTTATTTAAGCAAAGCAAAACAAAGCTGAGATATAATCCAATTAAAAGTAAGGTAATTAATTTCATCAGTTGATACCCTAAAATAGAGAATATTTGCTAAAAAGTACATAAAGTAACAGAAATATAGATTAATTAATAAAGGAAACCCGATAATTGTATTTATTTGTTTTATACAATTATTGTATGATAGTATTAGTTACCATACACCTGGTATCTGGTATCGGTGGAATCAAATAAATCGAACAGAGCTTGATTTAGACGCCATCAATGTTCGGATGTAAGGACACCCAAATCGAGTTCGTTGCTTAAGTCTTTTGTTATTCACACTCCCCAAATGGAAAAGATGCCAGAGTACATGGATAGTGCTTGCTAGTGTCCTCGACACGTAAATTGCCTCCAGAAATGTTAGAATAAAATATTGTATAATAATATGATGTTAATATAAACGCTTTGGCAATATTTATTGTTTAACATTATTATTTATCATCATAGCCTACAAAAGTTCCTTAAATTAAAAGCAAATTTAAAGTTACTTATGTTTTAATATTACATTTATGTATGTATATATATTATGTTTCTGTATATGTATATACAGCTGAATTAATTAATGGCGTGTTGACTTAGTTTTTAAAAAATTTAAATTCCATTATACTTTCTTGATTTATATTTCATAAATTGGCTATTAAAACTATTTTACAATGACTTAATATCAGAAATACCTATCCCTATCCCTATTTATAAATATATAATTATAACGAATTTGTTTTTATAGAGTGTCTAAGATTTCATTTTCTATTGAAGCACGGTTCTTACTGCTACTTATTGGTTAGCTCATAATCACATAAAAAAGTGAAAGCATCTGGTCAGGTGAATTTTACGGACTCGATGAGTTACTTCCAATTGAAACTGGGAACAATTCTAACTCATATTGATGTGGCTGATTGCTTTATTGCAGACAAGAAGCCCGCGCCCGAATTACCTGGTCTTATTTATGGGCAGCAGTCGTAATCGCATTTCATCAGACGCTTGCAATCTCGCAAGACAATGCCAAACATATGCAAATGATCCAGAGATTTCGTTATTATTTTATATACTTCGACTTATGTATATATTTTTCGGGGTTCTTCCAGAAATGTCGTATAAATACCAAATGTTCCGCTGGCAAAAAAACAGTTTAATTGTTCGACTTTGAGTGATCAACATGGCGGTGGGTTTCGTTCCAGTTTGGATTCATAACTTATCATCAAGCATCAAGGATTAATGGAAAGTTTTTCTCCTGACAGCGCGTTATATTCCTGGCCTTGGCAGTGGCTCTGTTGGGAGTGGTGGGAGCCACATCCCTCTCCAGGACCTACTTGCCACCGCAGGTGGTGCAGCCACAGCGCACTTACTTGCCGCCTCAGGTGGTGCAGCCACAGCGCACCTACTTGCCACCAGCCCCAAGAGTGGTGTCCGTTCCGAGGGTTCATGTTCAGCCTCAAATTGTCCATCGCCCGGTTGTCCAGCACGTGGTGGTGCCACAGCGCACCTATCTGCCGCCAGCTCCGCGGGCGGTGCCACAAGTAGTGTCCATTTCTCACCCCGCCGCTGTACGGGTGGTGTCTCGGCCAGCTCCACAGGTGATCCAGGTGGCTGCTCCCCGCAACACCTACCTGCCGCCCCCAGTGGCTGCACCACAAAACACCTACCTGCCGCCCCAAGTGGTGGCACCCAGGAACACCTACCTTCCACCCCAGTGAATGCTGCATCATCATCATCATCCAGTCCCAGGCCAAGCGACATTTCTCAACTGGTTTCGAGTTTGGTTTAACCCACGCCGCCAACTATATTCTGATGCTAATTCAAAGAAATGCAAAAATACATTTAATACGTCTATTTAAATGTGTGACCGAATAGCATTTGCATATTCCCGAATTAGTCGCGAGACTACAATAAAGAAAGCACAGAAAGATAAACAAAGGTCTTTGTGTGTTTTGCGGGCGTCTACTTAAATAGGATAGTATTATGTTTATTACGTTAAGAAGGGCCACAGAAGTTATTAACCCCAAGAGGAAACATTCGAAGCACCAAGATATTCGAGCAGATTTCAACGATCTTGAGGCTTCGCAGGTAATTAATCAAACAGTCAATCAATCCATTTAGCGGAACATTAAGTCATTAGCTCAAGCTGCTCTTCAAACTCTTCGGTTACGGTCTGGGTTATGGCTCACTGAGATAGTTTATGGCCAGCTAAGTGTCATACACATTTTGGCCTGGATTATCTAATTAATTTATCCCAACAGCCACCGAAGCTACTGTTTCCATTAAGGCAATAAGCATTTTACTCTCTTGAAAGATGAGAAAATCTCTACTAAGACCACAAACAGCTTTGAGACGAAACTAAACTATCAGGTTTGCGATAATTTTTGCTTGGCCAAAAAATAAAATACAGCTGTGATATGGCCATTCTTATGAATATTTATGCCTGGCGGACAGCTGAAAAAAATGAGAGTTTTTAATCCACAGTCCAAAGCGTACCTAGCTGATAAAAACAAGCCACATCTGCTGCCGGCCGAGGTATCTGTTTGCCTAATTAAACAAATTTTCGACGCGAAAAACGTTTCGTTGATTTATGATACGCCGCACTTCCGTTTGGAGCCGCGAATCCGGCGACTCGTATAAAAGTACAGGAGCTGCGGCCAGAAGATATTATTCGATTCGCTCAACCTAAAGCAAGCAGATCTTCGAAAATGGTAAGGATCTGTGGATTATCTTGTCTGTTCGTTGGCTTCATGTCTTCTCTTGTTTCGTTCCAACAGAAATACTTCATCTTGGCTCTGGCTCTGGCTGGCTGCGTGGCCGCCGACTCTGGCTACAACTACAACGCTCCTGCCCCGGCTCCGGCTCCGGCTCCGGTCTACCACCATGCTGCCTCGGCACCCGCACCTGTGAGGACCTATGTGCCCCCAGCTCCGGTCCACCATGCTGCCGCCTCTGCTCCAGCTCCGGTTCAGTCCTTTGCTCCAGCTCCTGCCCCAGCTCCAGCTCCAGTCTTCCATGCTGCTGAGTCTGCACCAGCACCCGCAAGGACCTATGTGCCCCCAGCTCCCGTCCACCATGCCGCTGCCTCTGCTCCTGCCCCCGTCCAGTCCTTTGCTCCAGCTCCCGCTCCAGTGGCTGCTCCTGCTCCCGCCCCCGTCTTCCACCAGGCTGCCTCTGCTCCTGCCCCCGTGAGGACCTATGTGCCCCCAGCTCCAGTCCACCATGCTGCCGCCTCTGCCCCTGCTCCCGTCCAGTCTTTCGCTCCCGCCCCCGCACCAGTGGCTGCCCCCGCTCCAGTCTTCCACGCCGCTGAGTCTGCTCCCGCCCCTGCCAGGACCTATGTGCCACCTGCACCTCAGGTGCACCACCACGCTCCTGCTCCCGCTCCCGTGCATCATCATGTGGCCGCCTCTGCTCCCGCTCAGTCCTTCGCTCCCGCTCCAGCGCCCGCTCCCGTTCAGTCCTTCGCTCCTGCCCCGGCGCCCGCCTTCGAGGCTTCCGGTCCCGCATTCGAGGCCGTCGCTTCCGCCCCAGCTGCAGCCACCTCGGGCTACGACTACCACCAGCCCGCCGCCAGCCAGCAGGGATACAAGTACAAGACCATCCGTCGCCGTGTCTACAGGCACCGCGCTTAAGGAACTAATGATAATGACACAACGAAAGCAATAAAATCGCACAAAACGTATTAAATGATGTAGTTTTATTCAACAATGTGATTATGCGACAGCCATAAAGGCTACACAAGATGCGCATTAAAATGATAATATGATAATTACGAATTAGAGGTAAAGAAGCACGAAAACAGAATATAATAATATAAGAATTATAGCTAAAATGAGCACAAAATGAAACACAAAACACTTCCAAGCACAAAGAACCTCAACCTCTAATCATAATTAATGAATATTATTAGTATGTTTAAGACTGGAATGCAGTTCGAGAGTGATTGACCCAAAAATAAGATGATTTAACAGTCAAATTTAGCCACCGTTAATCGAGCATAAAATAATTATAAATTCAGGAAAACATATGTTGTCGGAAATTGAAAGCATTTAAATATATTATTATGTCTTTAAATATAATTTATGAATTTAGAGAAACGATTAGGAGAGAATAACGCAATATAGAATACAATATTCTATAAGGATTGAACTCTCGCACTGCAAATAATATTAGAGCTATTTGTAGACTTTTAATGTTGAATTTAATATATTTAATATATGCCTAACGATTGGCTATAAAAGAGATAAAATATCAAGAGTACTTTAACTTGTACTTGACTTGTTGTCAAGCCAGGCTTGATAATTCGATTCCCGAGTAGGATCAAAGACCCCATTTGTTATCGACGGCGTGTGCAGAGCAGTTGGGCCGATAAATTCAAGCGCTTTGATCTGACAAATTTACGAACACTTTCATTGTGCTTTAGAATATACATTAGAACCCAATTTGCGGCTATTCAATAAGAACAAATGGGTCACATAAAGAGCCGAGTCAATTTCTCACGCTCGACAACTGGTTTCGCTTTCGATTTCGGTTCAATTTTTGGGGGCTCGATAAGTGGGGATAATCGATTGCATTGCAAGATTCTAAAGAGAGTATAAAAGATGCATTTGCAGAAGAATCCCGTCACTGGCACTTGAGCAATGGTGAGCAATCAACCTCAATTCTAAAGAGCTGAATCCTAATCGAGATTCATTTAATTGTTTCCCTTTAGAAACTTTTCTTGATCCTGTTGTTGAGCCTTTGGGCGGTTAACTGCCTGGCCGATGTTTCCCATGTGAAACACCATAAGCACCATGGCCATCACCGTTCCCAGGAGCACGAGGATGAGGAGTCGCATTATCTGCCGCCAGAAGAGGAACATGAACCCTTCTACAAGAAGGAGAAGCACACCAGCGAGCGAGTGGTCTATCACAAGGAGGAGGAGCACGAGGAGCCGCACCACAAGGAACACCATTATGTGGAACACCACCACGAGGAGCCGAAGAAGCAGCGAGTGGACCACTATCACCACTACGACAAGAAGCCGGAGGTGAAGACCCAGCACATCCACTACAAGCACAGTGAGCCACAGGTCCGCACGGACTACACTCGGGATCTGTTCACTCCGGCTCCCACACAGGTGGTGTACCGCCGTCGCCGACCCAGTCGCATCCTGTACGCCAGTGCTCCCAATTCGGTGTTCCACACCCACACCCAGATCAACGTGCAGTCCCAGGACTCTGAGTTGAACTCGCTCTCCCGCCCCGATTTTCCAGCAGGAGCTCAGGCTCCCACCGGGGCTCAGGCTCCCACTGGGGCTCAGTTGCCCACGGGAGTGGGTTTCCCGCCCAACTGCCAGGCGGTGGCTGGCAATGTTCCGCCCGGCTGCGGTCCATCTGATCCTCTGGGAGCTCAGCTTCCAGCTAGTGCTCTGGCTCCCGGTGCCGGTAACTTCCCGGCAAACCAGCCTGCTCCCATTCCCGCTGGCCAACTGGCTGTCCAGGGCAACGGTCAGCGACCTCCATTCCAACCAGGCGGCTACGGAGGACACGGTGGCAAACGGAACAACTTCTTCTTCGATCCCTCATTGGGTGCCCAGCTGGGAGCTGTGGGAAATGTTGCAGGAGGAGCTCAACTAGGCGCAGGTCAAGGATTTGATCCGTCCTTTGGAGCCCAGCTTCCAGCTGCTGCCGGTGCTCCAGTCAACCCTAACTTTGGTGCTGGCCAAGCACCAGTGGCCCAGAGACCAGTGGCTCCAGTTCAAGGTCCTGCTCCTGCTCCAGTAGCACCCCTGCAAAACCAGTACGATCCAAGATTGCAATTTGGTGCTCCATTGGATCCCGCTTTGGGGGCTCAACTGGGAGCAGCTCAGGGCGTTCCCAACCAGCGACCCAATCCAGCTAATTCTCCTCTGGGAGCTCAGCTGGGAGCTCAGGCCAATGTGGATCCTAATCAGGGTCTCTTCGACCCCTCGGTTGGTGCCCAACTGGCTGCGGGACAGGTGCCGCGCTTAAACAATCGTCGTCTGCCGAGTCGATCCAACTACCAGGGATTGAATGTACTCAACGGCAACGTGTTTGGACAGCCCCATTTACAGGGACCCACAAATGCCCTGGGCAACCAACAAGACACAAACATCATTGACGGCAACTTCTACAGTCACCCGCATCATGGTCATCATGGAGCTTTGGTGTCGGTCAATCCCAACCAGCGATCCGTCTTGGTGCCTGCTGACGATGATGTGGATGATGAGGTGGAGCCGGGTTTCCTAGGCTTCGCGGCCACAAACCAGAGATCCACCTATGTGGTGGCTCCCAAGAAACACCGATCCCACAGGCGCAACTCGAAGAGCAGCAACCTGGACCAGGGAACTTCAGCTTCGGAGCACGACACCGATTACCGCGAAGATGGATATCACTACCAGAAGCCCAAGCACTCGTTTGAGTTTTGAATTAAGTGAAAACTGAATCCATAAATACTCTTAATTAAATTATACTTAGCAGCATTTGCTACAAGAGCAGTCAAAAAAATGGCGTCTTATTTATAGTGCATACTTTCAGGCATTCCAAAATGGAGTTCACTTCCGTTTCCGCCTTGAGTTTGCCTTGAGCTGCTTTCAAGTTTGTCGAATATTTTATACTTTAGTTTATGCCAAGCTTTCAGAAGTAAGCTCTTTGCAAACTTTACACTGGTCTACATGGGAGTAAGATCCACCTATACTATTTAATAATTTTAAAGGTTTGTTGGCCTCGTAAATAAGAGAACTTCTGTAAAATATATATTAACATATTAACACACGTGCAAATAAATTAAAGTCTTAATCGTTCGATTTGATGGAAAAGTTTTTTATGTTTATATATAGCATTAGGGGACGCGGAAAGAAAACTAGTTCAGAGCTCAATAGAAATAGACACCCATAAAGATACACCTATTCGGCGCGAGAGAGGCCCCAAAATACAAACATGGGCGAAATGAATTGTCGACATAAATTTATGCAATCATTTAGATTCGATTCTCATGCAAATCCAATCAGCTGAAATCGAAATAGAAATAAAACAAAATCTATTGTTTCACTTGGCCCGTCGCCTGCATATAGAGGTGAGCCCATCCGTTTTGGCCAAATCACGAGCACACAACGATCAATGTGACCTGGCTGGCAAACAATCTTCAAGTGTGTAAGACAACGATCCGTGAGGTTTTGTTATGATTATAAGGCGGCTCCCCGCTCGAGGTAATGCTCAAATTCGCCAATCAATGTCAATATTTGCCAGCAGACTCCTAAATCAAATGTAGGCAGTCCATTGTTCGGTGTATGTGTCTATTTATTTTTGGTTATCTGTAGGTCACTTTTGGATTTATGCGGACCCCACAAGCACTCGGATTGCGGCTCTTGACCCAATCTCATCCCCTTCGCGGCCAATAGAAAGCCCCATAAATCAGTGCACTTCTCTCCTGGCGAAATTAGCTCGCTTAAGTGAGCCAAATGCCCGCTCGAATATAGCTGCAAGTAGCACTAAATTAAAATAATTTATGGCAAACTTTCGGATCAAACTCTACGGTGGAGCGCGGCATAAAATTAACGTGGACCGCTAGGGCATTCAAAAAACAACCCGCTGATTACACAAATAAATTTTCAACGAAGTCTGTGCGAATTTCGCCGGCTTCATTGTGGCTTGTGGCTCATATGCAAAGCGAGTGAGTGGGTTCAGCTTGGCGGGGAACAGGCCGAGTTCAATGATCCGATCTTCCAGCCACCCGCTTCTTAGGCAATTATTGCCATACAATCTTTCGGTTTTTCCTGCACTAAGAAAAACCTTTACAATGTTCTCAACTTATCTGTTATATATCGAAATTAAAGATCTTTTTATTGTGTATTTAAGTTTGTTTGCAGACATGGCAACTGTAATCTTTCTATTATTAAGAGATTGCCTAATACAATCTTAATGATTTTTCAGTTACACTGATTTATATCTTGTCTGATTTTAATTACAAGAAATCGAAGGTATGGTTATACACAGAAAAAACGGAAAAAGAAATCAATAACATTGCGAAATTAAATACATTTACTGACATTATAATATTTATCAGAACTAAACATTTTAAAAGCTAAAATAAAATAATTCAGTCTTTTAAATGCAGAGCATTATTTATTAATGTCTACGCTCAGGATCCAGACTATAAGGAAACTTTAATTCTAAAGAAATTGAATTTAGTATTACAATAATATTCTTCAAAATCAGTGCTATTAAGTATCTGTTAATTTAAGATAAGATTCATATGGATAATTTTCTATAATAAAATTGCCTAATCTGATATTAATATAACTTAACTAGAAGTTATTTAGTGAAAAATTTGAAATTTATTTTTGTTTTCGATATTTCTCTCTGTGTGGCCATTATCTTTGGCTTCACCAACTTACACCTGGATTAATGGTGCGTACAGAGTTTCGGGATCCCATCCCATCTGATCCGATCCGATCCGATCCGATTCGATCCCGTGTAATGCCGCCTTGCGTCATCCGTTAAACATAGCAAAAGTGATTAATTTTCAGCACTTGGCAGCAACATAATTAATTTTGGAGGGGCCAAAACTGAAAATACAATTTGAAACCGCGATCCACTTCAGGCCTCATGATTCCATCACCCATCAGAAAGCCGACATTAACCACTTGGTGAGCCGCGGGCAGCCTTAGAGAATCAGAATTAGATTCAGAATTAGAATGAGAGTTACATGAAAGGAACTTGCCAAATTTCGGCTGCCACGCGTATCCATTATTTATTGGCCCCGAGCCGTGTGTTAAAAGTGTGCGGAGTTCGTTTTTTTTCATTGCTGCCTGCTGGCCTGTTGCCTGGCTATGATTTTCGTATTTTTTTGATTTTGACTTTAGCTTTTTTCAGTTTTGTTTTGTTTTCGGCGAGTTGGAGATGCGCTCCACCTCGACGGCGGTGGCGGCGGTGGTGGCACTTTCTAGTCGCCGGCTTAGAAGAGTGGGGCGATTTGGAAACTGGTTTCCAGAATGATTTATCATACGTTTTAGTTAAACGAAAAAAGAGCATCAAAGCCAAAAACAAAAGTTAAATTTATCATAAAAGACTAAAACGTGTACTTGGCAAGTATTAGATGAGGCGGTTAAAACGTCGACTAATTGGTACGCTTTTATTAAAAAGACTTAAAGATTTCAGAAAGAGAAACTAAAAAGTATTGAACGATTAAACTTAAATCTTAATGGGAATAGAAAAATAATTATTTTTTTGAATTATTTAAAGATTTAAGAATATTGTTAAGGCTAACAAATAAGAGAATGAATTAAATTATGAATATCTAATATTAAGAAATATCGTAGGGGATTTTATATATTATAATAAATCAGCAAACAATGTTGTGTTATCTTTGACTATAATATACATATACTTTGAATAAGTTACTAAGTGTTTAATTACCAAAACAAACACCATCTCAAAATGGTTTTAAGACCGTACTAGAATCATATCCAATTACTATAATAAAGGGGCTTTGTAAATATCTCTAAGCTAAACAAGAAATAATTTATTGCCACAATTTATAAATATTTACCATTTACTATAAGTAAACGAAAAATTTCTAAAATATTTGATCTAGGACAAGCCCCCAAGATGTTTCAACCCTTGCACTGGCCCAAAAATAATCTTTTCAGTTAGGGTATCTAGAGAACTAAATTAACCAGCGCGTGTGAGTGTTGGGGGCACAAGAGACAAAGGCTGGGACAAAGGAAAGGCGGCTGCTGCGAGAAAGAAGTTGCCGCCTGTTAAGCTCATAGATATGGCAAAAAAATCGAATCGCTATAATATTAATTAGAATAGAATTTGCATAAATTAAGCCAACGCGAAATGGTTTTTGTTAGACAGAGCGACGCGGCCTGTGGGATTATGCAAACCGAGCGCAGACCGAAGACGGAGACGGAGTCTGGAGTATATTCGATGGGGTCTCCATTTGGGGTCCCATCCATTATCCGATAGCACAATCGGACTGGGGTTCCTTTCGCCAAGCCGATCTCCTGCTTTTGGTCACTTTTGTGGGTTACGCTAATTTCGGGCCCACGCTTAATAAGTCCAGCTGACAATTTTAATATTGTCTGTGGCCATTGTGATAGTTTTTTATTTTTGTCCCATTCTATTGGGATCCCGAACTCGCCATTCACTAATTTGCATATTTTGCGATTCCGAAATGGAACTCTTAAGTGTTCGGACCGGCTGCTGATGGGTAATAATAATAGCATCCGACGACTACGTCGATGATGATGCGCTGGCCGGCTTATCGTGATCTATTGACTGGCAGCATGCGTGTAGAACATTTATGGGCAAGTGGACTATGGAAGCGGCTAGAACTGTGGGCCGCCCCTAGATGCGGCCAGAGATTAAAATGTAGATTGGCAAAGGCCATAAATTTAGCTCGTTAATATTGTAGTTTTTATTTAGTTTTCTAGCTTGTAGTTTTGCGACTATTTTTTAGTGCTGCACACACACAGGAAATGAAATGATTAATCTTTGTCTCACGCGAGAACAATGGAAAACAAAACAAGAATTGTAAGGCTCTAACCTGAACGCAAACTTAATGCATTTCGGGGGAATAGGGAAAATGATATAGTTGTTATTTGATTCTAGGCAGCTTCTTAATGGCCGCAAGTTAATTAGCCAAAAAACCAAATCATAAACTGGTGCTATAAAAAGTTGAGAGATCTTTTCGTCTTCGAAAGTGAGGCGCCGATTGGTGGCGCGTGACAACCATCCATCACCAGCATCATCCCATCTTGAGGCCCCATCAATATCTCTGGTTTACCCCGTAAAATGTAGCCTTGACTTTCGCAATAGTAATGATAATAGTACCTATGTTTCCATATGCCGTATTCCGCAGAATCGATTGGTTAGTCATCGTTTATCCTTCAGTTTCACGGAACCGATTAGTTCTTAGAGCCTCTAACGAGCCTTCATGGCTGAGTTTCTCGAACCGAACCAATGTTGCAAATATGTTATGTTATATATCTTCAACAAAAACACAGAGAGGGGGAGTCTCTCTGAGTCTATCATTAATCATAGCTACTGCAATATACGGTTTACTCAGCCTTTTAATAAATTGATTAGCTTGAATTGATGGGTTTCCTTCCTCAAGCGTTAAATCCCCTTTCATCGGACTCACTGTTTTTATTCACAAATAACGCTCATAAATTACTGGAAATAAATAATCTTAATTTAACAATATATATAGTTTGTTTTGACGTGGGGCAAGTAACTCGGCTTAATTTATTTGAAGAACTTATGGATATTCAAATTAAATGATTAGTCAATTTTTAAGAAAATATGAACTGAAACTAGAGGTAATATACTGAATTTAAAAACTATAGAAATTGTTAACTTATTTCATAGTAACGTTTCTGTATATAGAAATTAGTATATTTTATAGTCCATCTTAAGTATTTCTTTTTATTTATTATATATAAAAAACTATCTAAGGACTTCTTTGGAATGTGTCTTATCTAATAACACCAAAACATAATATTTTTATAGATGTTAGCTCATTGTATAATATTATTTATATTTTTTAAAAGGGAAATTCGATCAAAAATTAAGGTTTTGGTTTTGGAACTAAACGTACTACAATTAAAATTAAAGCAAAAGGAACCTCCTTACTGGCTTGACTCACTGAATCACACTCTTAGAAGATTCTAGGAAGCCACAAGAGTCTATCTGAAGAGCTCACAGCTTAATATCCGGCATTCTGTTTACAAACTTGACCAATTCTTTGGCAGCTGTACAATTATATCATATTTTCGAAACAAAAAATAAACTGAATGGCCCCTCGTTCAGTTCCTATTTCTTGATTAATGAACGGCGACGACATCGCAACAATGAGAAGAGGCTGCTGCGATCAAAATAATCGACTGTCGGCCGGGGTTTGGTTTCCATTGAAGTGAGCGAGTTTGATTGAAACATATAACTCATCATTTGAATTTAAATCGAGCGCAAAAAACACAAAGAGGTGTAAACAACACAAGAGAGCCCAACCGAAAGATGCCCAGAAGTGTGTGTGTGAGCGCTCGACTTGTCCAAAACGTTGATGTCCATCAAATCTTTTGCATATGATTAAATAAAACAATTAAGAGAATCCGTGCGAACGATTTTGGCCATTAAACTTTTTTTTCAGCCATCAACTGCTCTCGAGCTCGGCTTGTGCGAATGTAAGCGTCGCCGCCGCCGCGCAGCCTCAGTTTTGGCTTTCAGCTTTTGGCCGAGCGTCTTTTGGCCGTGCTCGGTTTGAGCCGCCAAAGAGAGGCTTAGAACGCGCAGCTCTGGCCAAAATCCAAGCCAAGTCGTGCGAATTTACAGACGCCAGCGTCGGCAGCGGCGTCGCCGAAAGACGCCAGCTCCGTGGCTCTGTAATGGCCGGCGAAGAGCGGAGAATCTGTATAAATACCAAAAGGTTCTGCGTATTCCTCATTAGAGTTTCGGTTTTACTGCTGTGAACAAGCAACTCAACGGACAAGATGGTACGATCCTCGGTTCCAACTACATAGACCTAACCCACATGGCTTCCGCTTGGAGTCATCCCACTCAAGGACTAACCCCACTCACCCGCTCTGTTTCTTCCAGAAACTCTTCCTGGTCGCCTTCGCCGTGATCGCAGCCGTGGCTGCCGATGTCAGCCACCTGCCCTCCAACGAGTACCTGCCTCCCGTCCAGGAGCAGCAGATCATCGCTAGCCCCAGCAACGAATACTTGCCCCCCGTGGAGGCCGAGGCTGCCCCCGCCCACGAGCTGGCCGATGATGGCTACCGCTACAAGACCCACCGTCGCGTTGTGCTCCGTCGTCACCGCCGTGACGTCAACGAGCTGTCCAACGAGTACCTGCCCCCCGTCCAGGAGGCCGTTGCTCCATCCAACGAGTACCTCGCTCCCGTTGAGGCTGCTCCCGAGACTGTCCTGGCTGATGATGGCTACCGTTACAAGACCCACAAGCGTGTGGTGATCCGCCGTCACCGTCGTGATGTCAACGAGCTGTCCAACGAATACCTGCCCCCTGTCCAGGCTGCTGCTCCTTCCAACGAGTACCTGCCCCCTGTGGAGGTCGAGGCTGCCCCCGCCCACGAGCTGGCTGATGATGGCTACCGTTACAAGACCCACAAGCGTGTTGTGATCCGTCGCCACCGTCGTGATGTCAACGAGCTGTCCAACGAGTACCTGCCCCCCACCCAGGAGGCCGTCGCTGCTCCTTCCAACGAGTACCTCGCTCCCGTTGAGGCTGCTCCCGAGACTGTCCTGGCCGATGATGGCTACCGTTACAAGACCCACAAGCGCGTGGTGATCCGCCGTCACCGTCGTGATGTGAGCCACCTGCCCTCCAACGAGTACCTGCCCCCCGTCCAAGCCGCCGCTCCCTCCAACGAGTACCTGCCCCCAGTTGCCGCTCCCGTCCAGGTTGCTGCCCCCGTCCAGGTTGCCGCTCCCGTCGAGGTTGAGGCTGAGCCCGCTCACGAGCTCGCCGATGATGGCTACCGTTACAAGACCCACCGTCGCGTTGTCTACCGTCGCCACCGTCGTGATGTCAACGAGCTGTCCAACGAGTACCTGCCCCCCGTCCAGGAGGCCGTTGCTCCATCCAACGAGTACCTCGCTCCCGTTGAGGCTGCTCCCGAGACTGTCCTGGCCGATGATGGCTACCGTTACAAGACCCACAAGCGCGTGGTGATCCGCCGTCACCGTCGTGATGTCAACGAGCTGTCCAACGAGTACCTGCCCCCCGTCCAGGAGGCCGTCGCTGCTCCTTCCAATGAGTACCTCGCTCCCGTTGAGGCTGCTCCCGAGACTGTCCTGGCCGATGATGGCTACCGTTACAAGACCCACAAGCGCGTGGTGATCCGCCGTCACCGTCGTGATGTCAACGAGCTCTCCAACGAGTACCTGCCCCCGTGCAGGCTGCCCCCTCTGCCGAGTACCTGGCCCCCGTGGAGAACACCGTCGAGGTGGCTCCCGCCCACCAGCTGGCCGATGATGGCTACCGCTACAAGACCCAGAAGCGCGTTGTGATCCGCCGCCACTAAATCAAGCGATGTCGGCTTCACTCGGTGATCGATTTGTGCTCATTTTGGAGTGCAGACAATACTATTAGAATACCTCCTTTTCATTCAACAAATACAATAATACGATAACGAATCCATAAGCACAAGGTGTCTTAATTTGATGGGGAACTCTTAAAGTGAAACAAGGTCAAGTTATTATAAAAAGATCTATATATCTCCCATAAGGAAATGGGTTAGGATCATTAACTTAATGGATCACTTATATGAAATGGCAAAACTCGTTGCAAAAAATCCACCTCAGTTCTATAGATGCTTGTCGGAGGCGTGATAAGAGCCTTTCCAAATATGAAGACATCACAAGTGATTGAAGTGTTTCTATAAATGTATTCCTTCTAATCGGATCAATCAAATGATCTAATTATAATTATGGAAACATAGGGTTAGCCGCCACAGATTGCAAATTATGTAAGGCTGATCTATAATCGAATTAATTTCAAATCTATTTCTGTCAATGCTTCCGCACACTCATCTTTAAAAGATCGAGCCTGCGTGACGCTCTAAGACCGCTTAAGTCTCTGACAACGGGTATATATATTCTCATGGAAGGTATGATTGTGTTCGTTAATATATGAGATTATAAAATATAAAAACTCCAGAATTAAAGATACTATCTAATTTTTTAAATTATTAACCTATGGGTACAACAAATGGATTTTTAAGAGATTTATGATTCCTGAATAATTTAAACTATGCATTTAACCTTCGAAATAAAACTGAATATCAAATACTTATTAAGGATATAATGCATTTGCTATATTCAGCAGATTTAGATTGTAAAGGGATTGATCGAGTATCTAATAATGTAAGCTTAAAGTTCTTAATAATTTCCTAGATCGGGCTGTTTAGAAACAATAAGAACTTGAACTATATTTAATTGTTCAAGCTCAATATCCGCTATTGTTTTATTTTAATATGTTATGACTTCTTTGGACTTGATCTGTCCAAATGCTATCTCTTTTAAAAGTGTATTCAGTGCTTTTGTTTCCAGTTTTCATTCAGCTTTGACATACTATCGGCTTAGACAGTCAGAGCTATTGTTTCGGCATTGAGTTTGTGATTTATTTCCGCAACTTGATTGCCTTTTTTGGCAATCATTTCGCATTTATTCCCGCCCGGCCAGCCCATCTGCTTTTATTGTCCGAGTGATGGCTCTCGATTAACTCCCGGTTGATTAAGCCAAAGTATACAATATAATTATCGGTAATTAAGCAAATTGAGCTGGAATGGATCAGAGTCGGCACGCGCTGCCCTGGGAGAAATTGAGTGAGTGCGGCTGGGGTGCGGGAACAATGGAACCTGATCTTAGCCCGGCCAATAGGTATTACCAGAGTGGATCTTAGAGGTATTAACTGCCGGCCAGTGGCAGGGGGGCTTCCCCCGCGCCGGCTACCATGTTGTGGCTGAGGCTCAAAAGACCGAAAACCCGTTGCAAACCTGATTGCAAAAACTATAATGGATATGTTTTGGCGGTGTCACTAAATACAAATTCATAAATTAAAGAGCCAAATGCAAATTTCCTGCCGCAGGCCGGTGATTAGAATCATATAAATAAGCGGCAGAACTTTGGCCAGAGCATCACTTCCATTTGCATTCTCCGATCAACTGGACAGCCGAGCACCCAGCACCATGGTACTTCCCGGGCTCCCCACCTGTCCACGAGGATACCAACTAACACTCTTTTTCTCTCTCTGTATCTGCAGAAACTCCTGCTGATCTGCGCCCTCGTAGCCGCCGTGGCCGCCGACGTGAGCCACCTGCCCTCCAACCAGTACCTGCCGCCCACCCACTACGCCGCCTCGGCTCCTGTGGCCTCCTACTCGGCTCCTGCTGAGTCCAGCTACTCGGTGGCTGCCTCTGCTCCTGCTGTGAGCTACTCCGCTCCTGCCCAGACCTACACCGCTGCTGCCTCGGCTCCAGCTGTGTCCTACTCTGCTCCTGCTGCCACCTACACCGCTGCTGCTTCTGCTCCAGCTGTGTCGTACGCTGCTCCTGCTGCCTCTTACTCTGCCCCTGCTGCTACTTACACCGCTGCTGCCTCTGCTCCAGCTGTGTCCTACGCCGCTCCTGCTCAGAGCTACTCCGCTCCTGCCCAGACCTACACCGCTGCTGCCTCTGCCCCAGCTGTGTCCTACGCCGCTCCTGCCCAGAGCTACTCTGCTCCTGCTGCTACTTACACCGCTGCTGCTTCTGCTCCAGCTGTGTCCTACTCTGCCCCCGCCCAGACCTACACCGCTGCCGCTTCTGCCCCAGCTGTGTCCTACTCCGCCCCGGCTGAGAGCTACGAGACCGCTGCCTCCGAGCCCGCCCACACCTTCTCCTCCAGCGATGGATACCGCTACAAGACCCAGAAGCGCGTTGTGCTGCGTCGTCACCGTCGTGATGTGAGCCACCTGTCCAGCGAGTACCTGCCCCCAGTCCAGGGAGCCGCCTCCGCACCCAGCAACGAGTACCTGCCCCCAGCAGCCTCTGCCCCAGCTCCAGTCTACTCTGCTCCCGCTCCGGCTGCCTCTGCCCCAGCTGTGTCTTATGCCGCTCCTGCTCAGAGCTACTCCGCTCCTGCCCAGACCTACACCGCTGCTGCCTCCGCCCCAGCTGTGTCCTACTCCGCCCCGGCTGAGAGCTACGAGACCGCTGCTTCGGCCCCCGCCCACTCCTTCTCCGCCAACGATGGATACCGCTACAAGACCCAGCGTCGCGTGGTCCTCCGTCGTCACCGTCGTGATGTGAGCCACCTGCCATCCAACGAGTACCTGCCCCCAGCAGCCTCTGCCCCAGCTCCAGTCTACTCTGCTCCTGCCCCAACCTACACCGCCGCTGCTTCTGCTCCAGCTGTGTCCTACGCTGCTCCTGCCCAGAGCTACTCTGCTCCTGCTGCCACCTACACCGCCGCTGCTTCTGCTCCAGCTGTGTCCTACGCTGCTCCTGCCCAGAGCTACTCTGCCCCAGCCCAGACCTACACCGCTGCCGCTTCTGCCCCAGCTGTGTCCTACTCCGCCCCTGCCGAGAGCTACTCCGCCCCCGCTGAGAGCTACGAGACCGCTGCTTCTGAGCCCGCCCACACCTTCTCCTCCAACGATGGATACCGCTACAAGACCCAGCGTCGTCGCGTCATCCGCCGCCACCGTTACTAGACGGCCCCGCCGTTGAGGCTGCAAACCCGACAAACCGAGCCAAATCCTGTGTTTTGGCATCGGGTTAATCGGTCATTTCGACCGAAAATTGTTAGGGAACGAAAATTGAGAAAGTAATGAATAAAATTATTGAAAAATACGCGTCCCTCCAGAGTTTTATTTAATATTCTAGAAACAGGAAACACGGATCACAATAAATTGAAAAGTTTACTCCATTAAAGCTGACAACAATCTGGTTCATCTGAACCGAAAAGGTTTGTTTTTAATTAATATATATGTATATACAAATAAAAGTGATCCATCCCTCAATAAAAATCAACTCAATTAATATTCAAAAAACCGGAAACACGGACGCTCCCAATGGTAGCACACTTTTTTATCTAATAATAATAGCAGCTTAGTCCATTTGAGCTACCCATTATCAGGTAAGTATTAGCCATAAAAATAATATTAAGAATTATTCCGCTGACTTATTAATATTCTAGAAGCAGGAAACACGGATGTTCCAATGGTAGCACACTTATTTGTTCAATAATGAATCTGTATAATTAAGTAAAAAGTCAGACTATTAAATTTGGTTATTATTAAGTGAGCTGTCGTCAAGCGGAGGCAAGTCGGCAGTTGAGAAAACTAGTTCAGGTCGAGATGCGGAAACCCGTTTAATGACTCGAAATTAATTTTATTTCGGCAAGTGCATTGTCGTCTCGAGCTTCAAGTTCAAAGTCGTTGAGAAGATTGTATCTGAAGCATACTTTTTGGGCTCTGAGATTGTGGCATACTCGACGGCTTATAAGCTTAGCTTAATCCATAGATCCAAATAGTATGTGAGTAATATTTTGCCTCTTATTTATTTGATTTTTTGTGAATTCATGTTTATCGTTTAATAATTAGGTATTTGTCTTAACAAGCTACATTTCACTTAAGTTACGCCGGAAATCGACCATCTTATTTGTGTTTTAAAGCGTGATATTATTTGTAATTCTCAACGTTTTGTTTTTATAGCTGCCGATAACCAGCTGAGTTATTAATATTTAAATCGTGACAGCAACAGGATGTTTTTTCTGAACTGGTTTTTAGGTGTTATGGTTTATTTTGAAATTTGTCTCTTTTTTCTGAGTAAATTTATACAGGTTTTGATATAAAAGATGTTCATTTTTTTAATTCTTTGTTTGTCTTTCAAGCCTTTTTATATTTTTGTATATCCTGTTCAGTCTGGTTCATGATATAAGGCCTTAAACAATTATCTGGACGTCCTTGAGATGTCTTTAAGGCACTGAGATCATTTCACAAACTTCCTTCGTTTCTTTTTTATTATAAAGATTCTTTATAGACAGGTTCTTTTGTTTCTTTAGAATGCGTATTATTAAAGTGTTCTGCGGTATCCTTAAAGGTGGGTCCCTGTTCTTCAGATAATTATTATTCTGACGTACTGACAGTACATATCTTTTCTGATATATTATGCATTTAAATGTCTTATAAACTGATTTGTAGATTATTGATTATATTCCATAATTCATAACTTCCAACATCTCTTATCATTTAAATAAAAAATACAATGTAAATATTCACATTTATCGTTTTAATTCGTCAGCATTGCATAATCGTTAAAACATAAATTTAATAAACATATTTTAATGACTAAGTTCGATTGGAGAGTTCGCAGGCAAGATCCCTGGTACATCATTAAAGATAGGTATTAAATTAAATTATTACAGTTAATTACAATTATTCAATTTCGTACGTTCCTAAGGATCACTATGCGGACACAGAGGCAATTGTGTCATTTAATCAGTGATGAGTGGCCGGGCGGAGGATGAAGGAATTCGGGTTTCTGGGATTCGGGATTAGGGATTCAGGATTTAGGGAATCAGAAATCGAAGGCGATCGCTGGCTTGGGGTAGGAGTAGCCATCGATTTTTGGTGCGGGCGGTAGGAATGGGATGACTGGCTTGGGATAATCGTATCCCTGCTTCACCTGAGGAGGAGGAAGGTACTTGGGTGTGGGAGGACTGGTGGGCACGACAGGTGGCAGATACTTCTGGGGGGGATTCGTGGGTGGGGGGAACGGAATTGCGGGCTTAGGGTAATCGTAGCCCTGCTTCACCTGGGGAGGAGGCAAGTAGGTGGGTGGCGGTGGTGGTGGTGGAGCGGGAGTAGTGGTCACAGGAGGCAGATACTTCTGTGGAGGAGCCGTTGGTGGTGGGAAGGGAATAGCTGGCTTGGGGTAATCATAACCCTGTTTCACCTGAGGAGGTGGCAAGTACTTGGGAGTGGGTGGATTCGTTGCTGGGGGCAGGTACCTTGTAACCGGTGCCGAAGTGGTGGTCACGGGTGGCAAGTACTTTTGGGGTGGCGCTGTTGGTGGCGGGAATGGAATGGCGGGCTTGGGATAGTCATAGCCCGATTTTGGCGCCGGAGGTGGCAGATACTTGGGCTGTGGTGGATTTGTGGGTTTCACAGGTGGCAAGTACTTGGGCTGAGGTGGGGATGTGACCACAACAGGTGGCAGATACTTCTGGGGCGGGTTCGTGGGTGGTGGGAATGGAATAGCTGGCTTGGGATAATCATAACCAGACTTGGGTTGGGGAGGCGGCAAGTACTTGGGCTGGGGTGGGCTTGTGGGCTTCACAGGTGGCAAGTATTTTGGCTGCGGTGGCAGTGTGACCACAACAGGTGGGAGGTACTTCTGTGGTGGGTTGGTGGGCGGTGGGAATGGAATGGCTGGCTTAGGGTAATCGTAGCCCTGCTTCACCTGGGGAGGAGGCAGGTATTTCGGCGGCGGTGGTGGTGGAGGAGGCGCAGGTGTAGTGGTCACCGGAGGCAAGTACTTCTGCGGTGGAGCCGTTGGTGGTGGGAACGGAACAGCGGGCTTGGGATAGTCATAACCTGACTTTGGCTGTGGTGGCGGGTTTGTAGGCGGCAGATACTTCTGTGGGGGATTCGTGGGTGGTGGGAATGGGATGGCGGGCTTGGGATAGTCGTAGCCCGACTTGGGCTGCGGCGGGGGAATGTAGGCGGGAGTTGGTGGGGGAATGTACTTGGGTGCTGGTGGGGTGGTGGGGACCACGGGCGGCAGGTACTTTGTGGGAGCTGGAGGTGGGAATGGAATGGCCGGCTTGGGGTAGTCATAGCCCGACTTCACCTGTGGAGGTGGCAGGTACTTCGGTGGTGGCGGTGGTGGAGCAGCAGTGGTGGTGGTCACCGGGGGCAGGTACTTCTGTGGCGGAGCCGTCGGTGGTGGGAACGGGATGGCTGGCTTCGGGTAATCGTAGCCCGACTTGGGCTGTGGTGGTGGATTTGTGGGTGGCAGGTACTTCTGCGGTGGGTTTGTCGGTGGTGGGAATGGAACAGCCGGCTTGGGGTAGTCGTATCCCTGATGCTTCGGCTGAGGAGCCGGTGGAGGGAAGGGAACCGCAGGCTTCGGGTAGGAATATCCATTGCTGACAAGCTTGGGCTCCTGGGGAATTATCTGCTGAACCGGTGGCTGGTACTTGGGCTGCTCCGGCGGGAAGGGAATCGATGGCTGAGGGTAAGAGTATCCACTAGACACCACCACTTTGGGAGCTGGCGGTGGCGGGAAGGGGATCGCTGGCTTGGTGTAGGAGTAGCCATCGGTGAAGGGCACCTTGGGCTGGGGATAGTCGTAGCCCTGCGGAAGAGTCAATTAGCTAATCGCGCCCAGATTGATGTCACTCCAAGCGGTTCCACTTACCTGGGCCCCGACTAAGTAGCTCTGGCTTAGGGCGATCAAAGCCAGACTAAGCACACCGAGTGGCTGCGAAAAGCAAAGAAAGAGACATCGGTTAGTAATTGGATGGCGAAAACCTTAATGGTCTTAAATCAGAGTCTCGGACATTTATTTTTATATCTATATATATCTCTCTATATCTATATTTCTGCGTATTTAGCGAGTGACGGACAATATTTACGTGGGCCTCGGCCGTTTATGGCGATTTTCAGTGCCGCGGCAACGGCGTCAAAAATTTCCGCATATAATTAAGGCTCGACAATTTGGCAAATGGCTGTGTCAGCTATTGACACCAGCTGCTTTTGGCCAAAAGGAATTCGCCCCGCCGCCACGAGGCTGGCGGTCCAATTAGGCCACCTTCGGCGAAGGCTCTCCACGCACATTATTGATTGGCCGGTCGAAACTGAAATTTAACGCATTTTTTGCGCTAATTGCCTGCGCTTGATTGATTATTTCCACAGGCGGAGACCCAGCCCGCATGTGATTGCATTTTAAACGCCGTTTATACAACAAATATGATTTAAGTGCTTACAGCAGAGTCAAGGTCGACGCATCTGCCACTTGACACTGGCCATTGACGGGTTTATCGAACCGCCTAGAAATGTTCTAAATAGTTGGCAAGTGTGAATGGCCTCGTGGCGACCAAAACACCAGAGTCACGCCGGCCGGTTCGATAAACCCGCGAAGATGCTAAAATCTAATTAGTTTTAGGCTCCACTCGGATTTTATGTAAATATCAAATCAACAGCAAACTAATTGAGCTCCCGATAAGAGAGACTTTCGGAGCAGCAGCTGTCAGCTTTATGCAATCTTTGGAACCCGGAATTCCATTTCCCAAATTGAAACACATAAATTTGGCAAACAAAAAAGAAATAAAACTAAAAATAAACATAAACTTAAACGGCTTCTACGAGTGCGCTTCGAGATGGAGAGTCGTTAAAGACTGGCCATTAAAATGAAACCTTAATTGAATCGAGACAATGGCCAAAAGTCATACAATAAAGAAACAAAAACGAGACAAAAGCCGCCACAGATCATCTCAATCAAATGGAAATAGTCTAGAGCCTCCCACGCAAAGTTCTTATGGATTTATGATTCTTCAGGTGTTGTTTTTTTCCTGTCGCAGACTCTTCGCCGCTGATAGATGGTTATGGAAAAATGCCACTCGTCTCACTCAAGCGGCTTGTCAGCTGTCGGGCCTTAAACTCCGGCGGATTTGCCAATCTCTCCTCAGTTTGTGGCAAGAATCGAAACTAGTTCTGACTCGAGCCGAAAATAATGTATCTTTCTGTGTGCTTGTTGTTTTTATTTCGTTATTAGTTGACAACTCGCGCTGAGATGTGTATGTCCATTAAAGTCAGAACCCAATTAAGTTTTTGTGTTGAAATATTTTTATGGCACTGACTCAGGTGTCGCATAACATGAATAATTCTTGGGCGTAGTCCGATTCTCCGCTTTAATAATCATTTAAACCAATCCCAAGTAGGTAATCCGGCGGACTTTTTGGTAATCCGAATAAACATGGTCCGAGCGAATTAAGCGATACATATCCGTTTTCCTGTTGACCTTAATTGAATGCTTCTCCAAGTCGGGCTTACAAGCCCGCAATTAAAGCACCCATTACAAAATGCCGAGCAGACCGAATGTGCGGCGTCATCTCGAGCGGGGCATACATAATTCTCGAAACATAATGTGTGTGTAAAGTGGGTGAGGTTGTGCAGCTCGAGGTGTGCCTTGGCAAGAATCTGCCCCAATCATGTCGAGTCATTCTCCAGAGACAACGAGCAGAAAACGGAGACAAAACCTTAGGCAATTCGGGCGACAAATGCCGCCAACTGGGGGGCGTTAATTGTCACAATTGAGGCGTGTGAAGTGCCATAAAGCCAGCAGCAGCGCCAGCACATCTATTTGTGTGTGTGGTGTGACGACCTTGGGGGAAAATCAGTTTCTATGCTCGGCGTTAATTGCGGTTGCTCAACACTGGCTGACTGACTGAGTTCTGCCGCCCATTGACTCATTCAAGCGTCAGAGCCGAAGCTCAAGCTAACCAAGACTAGAGGCCACCGGCAGGTTGCCAAATCTGCTGGGCCCTCTTCTGGGCCTCTGGGCCACCGCTCTTGAAATGGCCAAGAACACGCGCATGCGTGAAGATCACTGTGTTATGAGCGCTTCCGGTCGCAGCGCGGATTCGCTTGGAGTCGCCCTCGAGTGAGTCAGTCATTGGCGGAGATTCGGAGGGGACGCGGTCGACTTCAGAGTCGGCGTAGTCACCCAATGCAGTTGCCGTTGCGGCAGGTCTGCACGGAGAGAAAATTATAAAATTCATATTGGGGATTTTTTAATTTACTTGAAAATGAAATTACTTGAAATTGGTATAGTAATTAATGGTAATTTAAGTTTACGCGGATATATCACTCAAGACAATTTAAGAAAGTAAATTCTTCATATTTGTATACTTGAAGTGCGTTTTGAAATGTTGTGTGAATCTAACAACAAATAATAATTCCATAGAGCTTCAATGTTATCAGAAAAATATATTGATTACATCTAAATTAACTCAGAATATGAATGTAAATGGAATAATTGTCTGATGACTGAAATTCCTGTCTGAGATTATAAAATGTAGATACGATTTTAGCTAAATATAATATGTACTTTGGATGTCCGTGTTAGGGACAATCATTTAAATTAAATAGAAACATTTCAGGCAATGATCCAATTATTTAAATTAACTTTTAATATTATACTGAAGGTGGTAAAAAATGAATTCATCAGAAGTATAACAAATTTTGTATGTCTTTTTCCATTTCAGAATATTAACGTTCTTCCTGGTATAAGTATCTTTACTTGTTTTATGGAAACTTATACTTATCAATCTCATGTAATCTACTAATAATCAAATGAAAATCGTTATATTTTCTTTGCGTGCATGTCTCGGTCTTCGTCTCTGACTGATGACTGCTGCCAGCTGTTTTCTGTTATTTTATTTGTACTTGTACCGATTTTCCTCAATTGTAGCGCCATTTATGCAAATTTACCATGCGACTCCTACTACTCCGCTGGCTGTTCAGCGTCGCGTCGCCAGAGTTTCTGTTAGTTTGTTTGTTTTTCGACGCTGTCGCTTTTTAGAAACTTGGCGTTGGGCAATTTTGTTTGACAGACAACTCATGGGATGCCTTTGCCTTTGCCTTTGCCAGTGGGCCAGCTGTAAGTGCAACGGCAACCTGCAACCTGCAGCCTGCCACTGGCAACTGCACCCCGAACAAAAAAAGTGTGAATTCTCTGGGATTCTAGTTACGATTATGGCCTGATTGTTCAGCTATTTCTAGGGGCTATTCCTCGCCACCCGGTTCGCACTGCCACTCACCATCTTCATTCTCGATTCGTGATGCAACCCCGGTATTCCACGGATCAACTAGAAACTTTCAGCACTTGCGTCAGCACCTAAAATATACATTTTCGATCATTGGTTTACATCCGAGCGAGTGTTCCATATAGAAGTCACTCTGTTTATGGCAACAGCTACCCACTTGTAAGCGACCACACACACTAAATCGGTAGAGCCGCGTTCAGGCGGCCAAAATCGCTAGGAAAACGCGCGCGTGTCGCCAGCGACGAAGCGAACTCGAGCAGATTTGAAGTTCAAATAACAAAAACTGCGCCGACGCCCGGCGTATTTATAAGAGCGACCGCTGCCGCAGCCGAAGACCGCCGACGAAGGCGACGCTCGGCACCTCAGACTCTGCCTCTGCCTCTGCCTCTGACTCCGACTCTGACGCTACGCCACGCATGCGCAGTGCAGCCAAGTGAGCGATCCCACAGATAAAAAAATATATCCTAAATCTAGATTGTAAGAATCTTTAAATAAAGTCGGTTTAGTTTAGATCTTAAGCTGTTACAGAAATTAGGAAGATGTTATACTGTCTTGGTCCTGGAATTCTAGCATTAGTCGAATGGTAAACACGTTGAATCTTTATTTAGTTGAGTTAGGGATACGAAAAGTTTAAATTCTTTAAAATATATTTAAAAAGTTTCATTGACATATTCAAGGATATTTTGTAAATTAATTAGGCTAATAATTTATAACTGATAGTAGTCTGTACATAACGATAAGTAGATATTCAAAAGAGCTCCCATAATATGATTAAAATGTCACATAAAATAATTACATTAAATACATGTATAGATTCAATATTTTCAAGTGACGTTTTCCCGGATATTGATATTATTTTCTCTCTGTGCATCTTTGCTGTGCTTGCAGACCACCTGTAGTAGTGGAATTCGGAACTAGAGCTGGGCTTCGTGCGTGCCCACAATTAGCCAGACATCAGGGTGCTAATCGATCTCGAAACTCCGCCCAGTCTAACTTAAGGCAGTCTTAGACAAAGTGGAAGTTTGCGCCTGGCCAACTGCAGAAGAAGCACGCAAATTGGCTTACAAATTGCCATCATTATGCGCCAAAAATAGCAATGGCATGACCTTGGACAGTTACAGAGAGCTCAGGGCGGGAAAATAAGGAAAAGTAAGAAAATGTACACAAAAAGATAAAGAAACGAAAGAGATGAATGGGTATCTTAGTTGGGAAAGATATTAAGGGAAAGGTAAGATGTGGTAGCTTACGATTTGTAATCAATAAGGATGTAAGGATTTTTGTTATTTATAAAATTTAATATGACTTTAAAATTAGCATTTTAATGTACATTAAAGCTTACGTTTATTTTCAGACAGCTTAGCCAAAATTAAGTCAGCATAATTAAACTTTCTAACGACTCCCAGTTAAAAATTTCAAGATCTCGGACAATATACTTTGAGCTCATGATTAACAAGTTCAAGGTAATTAAATTAAAGCATTTCGCCGAATGACGAAAATTTTAAGCCACTAATTATGACGAATTTTGAGCTTCAAATAAGCTAAAAACTAAATGAAATCCATGTGGCTTAGTACAATAAATTAATTTAAATATAGTTACCATTGAAAACTATTTTTAAAACGCCCTGTCATTCCAAATTAAACTCTATCATTATCCAAAAAACCTCCTCTTTTTATTGCGAGTGTGCCAAAATACTTCGTTATCTTCGCCTTGCAGTTGTGCTACCGTTTGAAGTGAGCTAAGATGCGATGACCTTGAATTTCCGAAAATCGTATCGAAATATCGATCGGAGTGCAAAAAGAACCCCACAAAAACAGAAAATCGTAGCTCGAAGCGGTTTTTGCTTTTATTTGGGCTGTTGAATGACCTTAAATGGCAGTCCAAAAACTATCAGGGGAAATGAGGCAGAAATAGAAGTGGAGCCGGCCAAAAGTGTGAAAAGCGATCCGATAGCTTCGGTTTCATCAATCAAACGGAACTGCACCCTTTGTGATCGATCTGACGAGGGGTGAAACCTTGTTCGTGCCGCTTCTAATGGCTTATTAATGTTGATCTTCGTACTAATCCTTTGGCTGACAAATTAGACAATCGATCAAGCCAACGGTCTCCATTGTTGATTCCATTAAATTAAGCTCTAAATACAAAAAAAAAAAAAAAAAAAAAAACTACGAAAAACCTTAAACCCTGCAAGCGAAACAAAGCCGCGGAAAGATGCTGGTCTGTGTTCGCTGCTCGTCGAACAAATAGAAATTCAATTATTAATAATAATCATAAATCGAACGAAAACCGGAAGATTGCCCGTACAAGATGCGGTGTATACAACAGCCATTTGATTCGACTCAAGTATTTCAACTTTCAAAACTATGTTTTTCAGACGCACAGCGCTCATAATGAAATGCCATTAACGACTTGAACTGAAGCTGAGATCGTTTATTGCCGGCCGATAATTAAAAACTGCGGAGCTGGAGCAGAGATGAGCCGGGTTTCCGTCGTTTCCAACTAGAAATTCTATTCACCTAATCCGCTTAGCACTAAAAACTAAACAAAAACTAAAGCCCCGTAACAGCTTTTTAGCATCCCCTCGTAAAGGCGAAAACAAAAACACTTAAGAATGTTAAGCCTTTGATTGCACACATTTGGCTAAGCAAAATAAAACAATAAATCAGCCAAAAATATATGCTTATATAAGCATGCTTTATTACAGCACTAGCCACTAGGATGCGACTAGAACCCGGTTAAAATTCACTGGACTCGTGCCATAAATAATATAAAACCTTCCGAAGTTTTTATGCATTTCGCTGCGACAATTTCGCCCATGGCATACAAATGATTCGAGATGACGACCGCAAGGTAAACGCTCATAAAACCAACAACCAACGGAGGTAGCAAAAATAAAATAAATAAAAAAAAATAATAATAATCAGCAGGTGATTCAGCCTCAATGGTTTTCACCAAAAACAAATCCGCCAACAGTTCATTAAACCTCCGGGCGCTTTAGCACTTGTATAAATCGAACTGATACAATATACTCACAAATAAATAAACAATCAAAGATGACAAATGAAAGTAAAATTTGAGAGGGCGCCGTTTCTCATACTCTGAAATGAGAAATGTATTTGATGCCAGCGATGAGATAAGCCAGCAAATGTTTATCAAAAAAGATATATTTCACAGAATTGAACTAATTAAATTTAGGTTAAACATATATTGAGGGTTCAGCACGTGTGTAAAAAAGCTACTCAAAAAGATTATTTAAATGCTAATAGAATTTGAAAAGTTTCACAGGTACATCAATAATAATAAATTGGTGACACTTTGCACACCTTCTATATAAAATAAATAAATAAATACAAATCACTTTCAATAATTAATATTTCTTAGTGTGTTCGCAAATCTGTTCCCACATTATTACAATCTCTCTGAAATTAGAAAATACCTTTTTTAAATAATCCAATCATTTGCTACTGTTACCAACATTCCTAAATAGTTCACATACCCCTCCATGCTAAAGGGAACCACCCACAAAGGTCCATTCATCAAGATCTAATTACGTTTGTGACAATGGATCCGCAATTGATGTAATGAATTTAACTGACAAATTTATAACAACTTTCTGGGCGATTAGCTGAAAGCGAGGGGAGATGGATGGTTATTTGGATGCCAGGTTGGGGCGAAGTCGGTTCGTTTTCGTAAAACACATTTTTGTCGGTCGTAAAGCCCGGCGACTGGTGAGTAAACCGAAGTGAAACCGGCGACCATAACAAGTTCAGCTTAATTGCAGCCTACACAGAGATCGAGATGGGGATCGCGATGCGAGGCATCGGAGCATCTGAACGGATTTTTTGCACTCTCGTTCCAAGGTCGCTGCGGGTTGAGAACCAGAATCGGCTCGCTTAATGGCCAGCACATGGAGGGGAATCCGAGCCAGGGTCCGAGTGCGATCCTGTTACAAAGGAGGAAGTGACTGGGAACGGGTTCTCCGGTCGATTCTCGAGCAGAAGGTGACCTTAGGGGCACAGGATTTCGCCTTTCTAAATCGTTGCGCTTCGCTCGCTGTGGCCGACGGACAAACTTGGTCATAATTCATGGCTAGAACCGAGATGAGAACTTCCTGTCAGCACTTGGAGCTTGCAGCTAATGGAAACTTTTGATTTAGATTTCAGGCAGAACTGAACAGCGCTTAATTAAAGCCTAAACTGGCCTGCCAAATCGAAGTCGAAACAATTGCCGTAAATATTTATGGAACTTGGCGTTCATAAATCACTTTCAGCCAGTGAACGCACCCACAGCGAATAAATGGATATCTTGGTATGTAGATACTACATGACTGGGAGTTGGCTATACCTCTCTGTATTTTTCTTATTTTGGCAAGACAGGCATTCTTTGGCGCAAATGTTGCGGAAGTTAACAGCTAATTAAAGAGCTTGACTGGAAATTAAATAACGAGCAGACACAGATACGCGCTTATTTTCTTTATTCGGGCGCGTTTCTGGTCGGTTGCATTTGGAGCGGACTCTCCGCCGTGTCTGCCACAATTGATTGCCCTTGCCGCCTGCCAAGTCGAGCATGCCACACACGTTAATACAAAGAAACTGAAGCGCTGACTGAGACTGTATCCGAAACAGACACAGAAACAGTCCCAGCTCCCTGCGGTGCTCTATTCACCTACGCGATCATCGGGCTGGGCAAGGTCAAAGCCAAAAGATTTTAATGCCTTTGGTATGCAAAATGTTTACCATTACAATCCGGCCAAGTCCCCCCCTTCCCTGTTGGCTTTCAAGTCGCCTCGGCTCTTAACCACAAATGCCAAGCCAGCAGCTGCCACAAAACACTATCAGAAGCCGAGGGAAAACAAGTTTCGATGCAGGTTCAATGGACAATTTCGAGGGCCAATAACAGGATGAATGTACCGAAAATGAGAGAAATTTTGTCAGAGGAAATTTGCATTAGTTTATGAAACGGAATTGATTACTTTACTAGCAGCTAATCAAAGAATTTAGGATCATTAAAATGCTCTATCTATAAATATATAAATATAGCGAACATGAAGCGTGTTTTACGGATCTACAGATCTTCTTCAACTAAGATAATGTTGCCGCAAGAATGTAATATAAAAATCATAAATGAAATGCTCTTTATTTTATATTCAAATTTCCAAATGTATTAAGATACTAAAACATTAATAAATTATCAAGTCATCAATGGTGTAAATATGTCTTCAATCTGCCCATTATGATCTATTTTATTCTTTTATTCTTCTAAAACATTGCTTATATTCACTTCATAAGAAAAATAATACCAAATTTTTCTCTCTGTAGAATTTAGCAGGGTTCAAGTGCGTCCAACTCGTAGCGACCTTGGTGGCAAGGAACAATCGAATCGGGATTGCCACAAGATTGCGGATGGGGATAGTTGCTCGACCGCAAATGCGACGTGCCTGACATGATAATTCCCCGCCAGACGAAAGACTTAAGACACGAACCTGTCGCAGCAGGAACTTCTCAGCACGAAAGCTGAAGCCCGGGAGATTGCGACACCTTTAAGCCGTCTTGCTGACGGGGTCTTAATGCCTTTGGCATATAGATTGATAATTTACAATACTGAAATTATTAACAAATCAAGTGCTGAGTGCATTTTGAATGCAGTCGCCCCATGGTCCGCTAATGATGATCGCCTTAGCATCTAATTGAGTTATAAAGCAGCCCACGCATGACTGGGCAGACAAATACTCGGATACGAATCAAATTACTAGTTCGGTTTTATGTATAATCTCAAACAGAAAAAACTATATATATGGTAAGTGCACAGTGGTCAATAAATATAATAATTTTATAGAAAAAGTGAGCAAAAAAGAGAAATAGAGACAAAATCATTAAAACTACAATAAACTTTAAGTCTTTATAACTATTCTATACTACATTCAATTCATTGTTTCAAGTTATTTTATTTATAATTCCACTGTGCTCTACTTATCTCATTTCGTGCACTTGAACTCAAGTGGCCGTTGCCCAAATTAAATACCACACAAGATACAATAACTCAGCGAAACAACAATGAAGACCATGCCAAGAGAATTCCAGTGGTTTTTCCACTTAACAATGTAGCAATGATTTCAATGAATTTCAATATCTCTTTCTTTGGCCTAGAAGCGGTCACAAAATGCTAAGAGTTATAGGTAAAATTGGCCTAAACAAAAAATCAATTAGCCATATTATCTAGCTGATAGTTTTTGGTATATTGCTGAATGATCTAGAGAACTCAGAACTACTCGTCGACTGTGAGAAAGTGCAATGAATGTCCGCTTTTGCGTCAGCTGACTTAATTTATTTAGTCACAAAAGCAAAAGGAAAAATAAAATAAACAAAAGTCTTCCCCAGTCTAATTAAAACAAGTTTTGCGTCTATTCGGACGCGATATTAATGAAATTTGGACCTCGAGTGAGTCATGTTGCCGAGATGGCTAAATCAGAAAAATTGATGAATAAATAATAATCATATTTAAGCAATATTTATCTGCTTGGTCACGCTTCGGATCAACAATGAAATGCTAAACGATCTTTTAATGGCCAATTTAACGCTATTATTAAGACTGACCATCGGAATATGAATACGAGTCCAAAAAAAAAACGTTCTCGATTTCGACAGAAGAAAAGTGTCAACCGAAATACGGTTCTCGGCTACCGAATGACCTTTGATCCAGCTTATTCACTCAAAGGTTTCTCCGTAAAATCAAACGATTATTGTCGCACCATTCTCGCCGTCCGCCGGCCGTTAATCTTCAGAGTGTCCATCGTCCATTGTCCATTGTCCATCACTTCCATGACCTTTCCGACTTGACGTCTGTCTGACTTCCAATATCCGATTGTTGCCTGTCAAAATCCGATCAAGACAAATTGTTTCGGGCACCGCCAGCATTCAGCGGGTTTTTTTTTTCAGAATTTGAGACACTTGGCTTACACAACAACCGCGAGATCCGCTCGTCTTAAGCGATTTATGGTAAGCCACTCATAAATTACGCATACGCCGTGTTGAACACTTACTTGTCGCTCTGTGCTGTGGCGTCCTGCCCATTTTTAACGACTCAGTTCTTGGCAATTTGTACAGTTAATGTGCTTCTGAAATAAAACCCCTATTAATTAGATTAGGCCAAAGATATAAAACAAATGTTTGCCTGGCCCCATTTGAATTGCTAATTAGCTGGGTGCCCCCGTGTGATTGACTTCTCAGAGCGGCTTTTACGATGACATAAAATAGCCAGCGCACAGACTCTGGTCTAAAATAAAAATAAATACAATCAACGGTAGCAATCAGAAGCGCTGGCATTAATTTGTACAAATCATAACATTTATTTATGTAATATTCAGTTGGCCTGTTTCGGTTTGTTGTACTTTTTTTTGATTATGTGTTTTTGCTGCTTAATTGAAGCAATTATCCTTGCGCAAGGGGGCAGTGCAATTAATCTGTTGGCCATCCGGTCAAGAACGCATCGTCTGGCTATTGAGGCTAGTGCCGGCTATTAACGCTATCTTCAATCTGATTCTATTTCTCTACTTAGGTCTCTCTACACGAGCTAGTGCTAGATGAAGTTTGGTGCCGCTAAAGTTCTACTGAGGCTGGAATAGATTCCTTTCTCTATTTGTGTTTTGTTCTTTGAGGCTTCAGATAATCCCGCCTTAGAAGTAGTGTCCATAGTGGCCATGATGGTGATGCAATCCATAGTAGCCACCGTAGTAGGGATAGCCTGTGGATTGGGTTCACAAAGAATAAATATTAAATGGAGAATCGCAGAGGAAACTTGATCAATTGAATCTATGTTTGAATATATTTTAGTTGAAAACTTGTTCAGCGCAGAACTTAATGAAAATGTAAAATAAGAACATCCAAAATGTAACCTCTACATTTTCGAAGCTTCTAATTTTACAAAAAACTTCTTGATCAGTTAAAACCAGATTCCTACTAGAATATTTTATATATCAATCTTACCAATTCCGTAGTAACTGCCACTGTAGTGCGGCCAGTATCCACCGCCGTAGTATCCACCCAGGTACGGTGATGAGTAGTATCCATATCCAAAGGAGGCGGCTCCATCCAGATCCTTCTCCTCCGCCTCCACGGCTGCCTCCTGGTCACCGCCCTCCTCTCGACCCTCCTGGGGACGTGGCAGGGCCTCGGATCCGCCCAAGAACAAAGCCAAAAGGCCGAGAACGAGCAGCAGGCACAGGAATCTCGATTGGAACATCGTGTTGAGGATGGTTTTACGGCGGATTTCCTTTAAGCAATATTAAACGTTGACGGTGGAAATGCCACTCGGGGCTTACAACAACTGACTGACTGACGCTGGGAGCGTGCAGCTGGCTTTTATAATGGCCAAAAAGCGATTCTTGCAACGCCGTTGCCATCAATGCCCAGCGACAAAACAATTGTCTAAGCGAAAACGCTTTTCCCCTCCAATTTGGGCGATTCCACCTAAACTGCGTGTGCTTCTAACAATGCAGCAGCCCGCGCTCCGCCGAAGATCCCTCCAAGTATCAATGAATTTCTTGCATGACCGACTGCTAATTACAATGCTTTGGGCCAACTTGCGTTTGCTTGTTTTCTTGCCCACATCTAGCCCTCTTGCCTTTACCTCTGAATGCCAGCCACCCACCGCCCACCTTCTGTTACCTGTCGTCTGTTGTCTGTGATCAGCGGGGTCAATGTCGCAATGGGCAGAGCCTCTCTTGTATTCTCTTTTAGCCTTTCTTGAGTTCTTTTCACTGAAAAGTCACACAACTCGGCGAGCAGTCAGGGGTGCATAAAGGTTGAGGGAGTTATTTGAATTTCCCTTTCATCGCTTATATTAACTTATTTCATTTATATCACAATAACATTTTGCAAAAAAATCAAACTTAGATTTAATTTAATTTGACACCCATAAGTCAATTAGATAAACCCAAAAGAGTTATATAATTTCCTCTGATAAATCAAAGCCACAAGAAATTCTCAAAGTGTCTCGAAAAATAAACACACATTTCTTTGGCCATCCCCTCATTTGGTTACATAATATGGAGCGATTTCTCTTCCCTATGCGCGTTCCACTCTAATTTATCAGCAGTCCCCGCCAACACACTAAATAATAATCATAAAAAACTAACACACGCTCTATAAATTAAATAATTCTTTGTCAAAGTGGCTGGACAACATTCTAATCCCATAAAAAAGAGCAGCCCAAAAAGTGTCTGTCCGCTGGGTTTTTTGCGGGTAACCAAAAACGAATGTGGAAATGAAAATGAGATCGCTCGGCTAACATCAACATCAAACATCTTAAAGCTGGCATCCCCATAAAATTTGCCACGAAACCGTATGCGCATTACCTGAAATTGGGCTGAGGGCGTGGAAAGAGAGGTCAGGTGTTTTCTTCCGCTTCATCTGAGCCATTTGATTTTCCTGTACTGTTTCCCCCCAAAACTATTTTAATAGCCACGAAAATCTTCTCACAAGTTTGCATGTTAGGCGGGGTCAGGGCTCCATACAATGCGTTTCGCACGTCACGTCGACCATCCAAGCTCGGGGCTAATTGCCACTTTTCGGCTTGGGCTTATCTAAATTGCCGCATTAGCCAAGAACTTGTGACTTGGGCTGGGACTAGAGGCAGAGTCGTTGTAATTAGCAGAATTAAATGCTTGGCTGCCCAGCAAGAATCCCCATGCCCCCCTCCGGAGATGTAGCATTGAAAGAGCTTTGGGGGAACTTTGGAGTAAGGTGAAGAATTCCACGTCTATTATGCGTTGACTTCTAAGTAAATAATAAATACATCAAGGAAATCAGCATAATATTCCCCTTCAAGTTTGAATTTTTGTAAATATCTTAAACTAATCCAAGGGATTTCGTCCGTAAATTAAACACGTTTTTAATAAATTAAGTTATTAGAACGTATTTGAATTGTAAATCTATATAAAAATCCCCTAAGTTTGGTTCATACAAAACCTAAAATAGATTTCACATCCAGTTTCCTCTCTGTTCTTTTGAATTATATTAAATCCACACTTCTATTGGTAATACTTTATTCCATCTAAATAAATTAATAAAAACTAATTAAACAAGACAAGAAATCGGACCTATTCCCAGTCCAATGTGGACGCATTCTGTTTGTTCTCTGGCATATCGGGGAATCGATGAAACAGAGTCGAAGATGGTTTCGTTTGACTGTCCAGCCGGGTTTCGTAGATCTTACCCTCCTCGTTGATCAAATACCAACTGGGCGTGGGTGTGGCCCGCTCCAGTTCCTCTCGATTGAGCCCAGTTATGGGGGCCACCGTGGGCAGCTTCTTGGCCAAATAATCCAGCTCCTTGAGGTAGACGTCAAGGGCGCGGTAGTCCGTGTTGTTGGCCACCTCACCGGGGCAATGGACCTGGGCGCCACCAGGAGGTCGTGCTCCTGCCACAAATTGCGTATATTAGTCATCACATCCGCATAGAGTATGGAATCATCGCTGCGAGCAAGGTGGTTATTTGGCGATTTGGTTTTGGATTTGCGTGAATTGACCAGGCGACTGGCGAGCGGAGTTGCGGAAGCACTCGAAACTATTACCGGTGGTGATTTGCCAGTGGTCGTGGTTGTCGTTGTCGTTGTCGTTGTCTCGGTTGTCGTGGTTGTTGCCTCATTGCGGAAGTTGCGCCGTCTCTCCTTAAATTTTTCCCGCTCCGTTGACTTGCCCTGGTGCTTAAATAATCTCTGGCGACGTCGCCGGCTGTCGCAGTTGGTGGCGTTGTTGCATTGCTGTTGCAATGGTGACCTCTTGGGGAAGGGGGTAACCTCGTTGGTGGCACCCTCATCGGGCAAGTATAGGGTGGCATTCTTCAGGAGGTCTCCTATGTGAGCCACCAACTTGAGACCCTGTGCCACATCATATGCCGCTTTTCCCTGCCTTTTGTTGCTTACTCCTTCGGGGGTTTCCCTCTCTGGCAACTCCCTCTTGACCCTTTTGTTCCTCTTATGCTCCTGATTACGACTCAGCATTGCCCTAAGTTTGTGCTGTTGACCACGATGATAGAGTTGTTGCTCGAGGCTTTTCTGGGAAATCAGAGTGTGACTCTGCCTTTGGATGTGGCGTTGTCTCACCAGCGGACCCTTTTGCCTCTGACGCTGCAGCAAGCGCTCAGTTTTCCTCACCGAAGCCAGGATTTCCATGGGTATTTGCAGCTGATTCGGAGAGTTAAGATGGTTTTGAAGCTGAGTCTCCTGGGTCAGCAGATCGCCGGGGGACACTACCTTGGCCCTGTTGGTCACCATTTTTCGAGGCTGCTCCCAAATCACTGGCGAAGCACCTGGCTGCCGGTGGCGCAGCTTCTTTAGCTGTTGAAAGTGCTGCGGGGGCTCGATGATCCTTATCACATCGCCAGCATCATCGTCCACATAGCCAGGACGAATGTCCTGCAGATGTGCTGGAACTCGATTCTGCGGCTGCTTGGGTTCCGGCTTGGAAACCCTATACACCGTGGGACTCACAGTACTGCTCGAAGGAGCTCCATCCTCCACTTTGATGGCCTGACTAAGGTGTAGAAACAGAAGGAGCACCGGATAAATCCTGAATGCCATTGCACTTTTACTCTCGTTCGGGGAAATTCAGCTTTTCACTTTCGCGTTCGGTGGCCGAGCTACAACTGTGCACAAAGTGTGCTATCATTGGGCCTTTATAAAATTTCCTCGCCGTTTTTCCAATTTTCCAGTTTGATTGGCCCGACACGAGCCTTTCTTTTTGTTTCTTTCGCTCGCAGCGAGATGGATGTGACTTTGGAGTCGTCATCGGAGTCTTCGTCGTCGTCATCGGCAGCAAATGAAAGCGAAACTGGCCGAGTGACGTTGCAAGTTGCTGGTTGCTCGTTGCAGGTTGCTGCGTTCAACGTCCAATGTTATAACTGGTCAAAGTCGGAGCTAAAATTGAAGCTAAGTCGAAGACTCCATTTCGCTTTAGAAACCCACTTTGCATACGTATATGCAAAAGTCTGCGGCTTGGCACATTTCAGCCACGGTTTCTGTCTCTGCGCATGCAACTTTCTGGCTTTCTGACTCTTTGGCTCTCTGACTTTCTGGTTAAAAACTAGTTTCAATTTTCGTCGATCGTGTGTGTAAGTGTTTTTATTTTCGCGGTCTCGAATCTCATTAGCGAACGCGCCGCTTGACCCTCAACTTGAACTTCGCCGGAGACCCGCAAATATTTATACGAATAATATGTATTTGTGTCATCCGGGCGAAAGGCGAAATAATTTATGCACTGGTCTATTAATTTGGTTGTTTAAAATATTTCCAATGGACGGGAATAATGGGGACCGCTTCATGGGCTTGATTTATGAACGAATTCGGAATATATTATGGGCCTAACAAATTCAGGAATTCATGATCTTCGATATAAATATAAAATGGTTCATTTGCCGACTCTCGTAATGGGCATCATTTTTGCCGTTGTTTTTTATGGACAGTAAAACTGGCAGGGATCCAGATATTAATAACAATTAAGTTCACACAATGGAGAGCTTAACAGCTCATATGTGCGAAATATCACGAAATATAGTATAGGATTTCCATTTTCATGAGTTCTTAAAATGTATTGGAAAATGGAGTTTAAATGTATTATATTAAGGGGTGCTCCCTTTTACGTTTTTACTATATATTCTATATATATATATATATACATAGATACACATTTTATAAGACTTAAATATAAGCTGGGGAATACCCCGTTACTGTCATTATATTTAAAGAATATCTTTGAAAATTCAGAGGTTACTTATTTTTCCCTTTCAGTGTTTTTAATGTTATAGGGCACACAATTTCCAAAAGAGTATATAATAATTCGAAATATATAAAATAAAAAATACATATTTAATATAGTTTAATATAGTACAAATATTTATTTATAGAAATATTTATTTATAACATTAAAGTTACGTTTAACAGTCGCCCGTCCACCTAGCCTCAACATTTTCAAAGCGCCTAAAAGATGCTTTAAATTTTTTTGAAATCTTCTTCCATTGCATTAACAGCAGCACAGTAACCACTATCAGTATCCATACGCAAACCTACTCTTTTAGCTTTTCGTCAAATAGTTTACCCATAAAAACATAAAAGAAACACAAAAAATGTTAAATAAATTATGTTTATTGCTAAAACTCTAGCTTTGACCAAGTGAACCTGCCCAACAACGAGGTCCTCCCGTATATATTTTACTACTCACTACAAATAAATAAATAAGTAAACATAGTTGGTTAAACATTAGAGGGATTTTTGCGGGCGGGAGGGAATTGAGATTAGGAGCTGGACCAGCTGGACCACTACGAGATTAGGCTCCTGGCGAGAACGACAGAGATTATGATTAATGCGTTAGATTTGCGTGGGTTTCAGGCTCAATGGAATCATGCGACTTAGTCTACTCCACAACCATTGGTGTCCAGGCATTGTCACTGGCAAAGCCCAGCCGCCCAGGAGCACCTGCACCCGGACGATGCCCACCACCACCCACAGCAATGCCGCCGCCACCACCACCGCCACCGGCGCCGAATCCCATGCGACGCTCGTGGGTCGTGGGCACCGGTATAGGATGCTGGAAAACCCTCTGCTCCACGATCCGGGACTCATCCGCCAATGCCGTAGGATGCACTGTGGACGCCGCCGCCTCAGCCCGCCGGTTCTTGTCGAAGAAATCAATAATGGGATGGTAGTTGTAGTTGATCCTCTTGCCCGCCGCCGACTCCGCACTCGTTCCGCCGCTGGTGAGGATCGAGCTCACCGGATAGACGGCCGGCGGCTGTACTGCTGCTGGTGATGCCGTCGACTGATCCCGCTCCCGATCCGGCTCCCAGTGTGCGGTGTGCTGGGTCGGAAGTGTCGGCGATGCTGCTGCTGATGATGATGCTGAGCCGGCTGTCGTCGTGGCTGGTGGGGCATAGAAGCGGGGTCGCGACTTGCTCCGGCCGGGCTGAGGTGGCGCAGCTGTGGATGCACCGGGTGCTGCGACGGCACCTGCTTGATGGGCATGGGCGGCAGGGCCACCGCCGGCACCGATGGTGAGGCTATAGCCGCCTCCCGGACCGATGGCAGCGGTTCCCGTGCGGGCTGGTAGACTTGTGGTCTGTGGAAATCGTACGCCAAAGGCAGCTCCTCCTGGTGATGCGGATGATATTGCGGGTGGGGCTGTGTGGGTGGAGGCAAAAATACGCTTGCGATTGAGCGGGACTCGCGGCTTCTCGGCAGCACCACCAAATGGGTTTACCTCTTGGTCCGAATGCGTCTCGCTCGGCGCCAGATCCAAGTCCAGCCGCGCCTCCGACTGCTGCTGCGGCCGCCGGCGGCTCGCCTGGGTGTAATACTTCTTCGAGCCGAAGCTGGAGCTGGAGCTGGAACTGGAGCTGGAGCCCTTGAAGCCGCCTCCATAGCGATCCTCGTCGTCGTCCGGAGGGCTGAGGTAAGGACCCACGCTGGTGCTGACACCAGGTAGCTTGACCCTCACCTTCTTGCTGCTGGCGTAGAGCTCATTGGTCTCCCGGTTATTGAACGAGGGATAGCGCAGGCCCAGCTCATCCTCCTCGCTCTCATCGGCATAATCCAGATCCTCTTCGTTTATGGTGCTATACCCATTGTTGTTTGCATTGATATTGGCCAGAGGCGAGTAGTCCTTGGCCTGGATGGAGGAGAGTGGCGGAAACTGCTGACGGTAGCCATCCACCTGGCAGGAGCAGCAGGTGGGCACCTTGAAGATGTCCACGTGGAGACCGCGGACCTTGTCCCAGCTGAGCAGGCGATGGTAGTTGTACACCTGCGAACAGTGCGAACGATAGGTCTGCGCCAGATAGGAGCAGCTTTCGCCCGGATTGCTGTGGATCATCGGAGATGGAAAGATAGAGTCAATTTTATTTTCACAGGGGTAAGAAAAAACACCCACCTGCACTTTTCCAGCCGCAAGGTTTGCGTGTGCTGGCCAGTATTCACTATGTACTTCCACTCTCCCGAAGCGGACTTGGCCTTCTGGGGTCGGGCATAGCGGACAACGCTCTGGCACATGCCACCAGCACTGCCTTCATCCTCACGTCTGAAATATAAAATAATATAATAATATATATATATATAAATTCAATAATTAAGTGAAAAATAATACATAAAAGTTAAATATTATATTTTACTAAATTGGCTACACTTCTCTGAGCTCATTTCAGTTAGTAAAATCACTTTTAAAATGTATTTGACTCGCTTTTTCGATTCATTTATGGTGCACAGTAATTTAAAGTGCTGCTTTTAAAAAGTTAACAACATATGAGCAAGTTTTTCGACACACTTTTATAAAGCTAATAAATATAGTTTATAATTCCTATAAATGTATCACAAATATGCTACTTTTAAAATAGTTTTTATAACTTCCCCTTGTAAAAGTATTATAAAAACGGTTTTGCCTTTTTTATGTAAGCTAAAATTGATTTTCTCTTTTGAAAGATTTCATTGCTTGTATATTTTTGTTTAAAACCCTTTTTAAAAATAATAAATATGGTTGGGCAAACAGATATAGTCTCTCCATATTTGTATATCATGTTTATGAAATTGAAATTATTTTACGATTTTCTTCTAACTCACCTCTTTTTGCTCAAGCTGAAGTCATCGAATTCGTCGCCAAACTCCAGATTATTGTTGGGCTTGTCATAGAACTCGGCCAAGAGGGCGGACATGGCATTCTTGTGTCGTCGAATGCTGCCCATGATCTGTTCGCTGTGTGTAGTTTAGATTTACAAGATAATATATATACTATCCAAGTGATTTAAATAGAAACTCTTACCAAAACCAGTGCTTATAGTTTAAGTCCTACCAAAAACCAGTGACTAAGCATAAGTGCAAGGGATCATTGGGCAGGTGAGTTGAATAAATTACAGTTTTTATTAATAACTAAAATTCGGACTAAAGTAGACTAAAGACTAAGGACCGAGACCGAGAACGGAACCAGGAACCAGGACCCGGGAGCACCGCTCACCAACTAGCTACGGGAGGGGGATCTTACAGCGGATAGTCTTCGGTGCGAATGCACATATTGCTGGTGAATCGCTCGCATTTCTTGTGAGGAGGCGACACTACCGGCTTGTGGGAACTGGCGGCGACCTTGGGCCGTCCTGGCCGCCCACTGGCCACCGTCTGCACCCGCTTCCGCTTGATGGGCGACGCCGATTTCTGGCCGGGAAGCGGTCGCTTGCCGAGGCGGTAACGCGGTCCTGCTATGAGTTCCTCGGGACTGGGCAGTGGCTCTTCCCGCTTCTCCAGATCCTCGCCACTGTTCCGCTGGAGGTCCAGTCTTTCATTCGCACTCAGGGGGAGTTCTGTGCCATTGAGGCCAGCGAAGGCCAGGTCTTCCACCTCAGCATAAGACTGACTTGAACCCACAGCATCCTCTTCCTCCTCCTCATTAGAGGCACTGGGCTGTTGGAAAGCTGTGGTATTCAGTTTGACAGTGCGTCCCGCAATGCCACCCAAGAGCTGCTGTTCCGTCACCGAAATGGGCACAGATCGCGTGAGTTTGTGGACAAATTCATTGGCCGAACGTCGCACTCTTTGTCCATGCATTTCCTCCTCCAAAGGCTTTGTTTTATTATTTCGAATATCAGCCTGCAGTGCTTCGTTAATCATCTGCGGATCCAATACCTCCGCTTGCATCTCATCGAAAAAGTCTTCCAGGGAATCGGATGGCTCCTCATCATCGGTTTCCTCCTCTTCTGGCTTGACTGTCACGGCAATGGTACCCACTTGGTCATCAAGCTGGGACTCTTCTGCTATGAGGACATCCTCCCTACGATCGATGGGTTTGTGGAAAAGAGCAGCAGAGGCCAAGTCGGATCCGAGATTGATATATTTTCGGGTGGAGCTCTTTAACAGATTGGCCAGATCAAACACAATGGGCAGCAAGAGTTTCTTGTCATTGCCAAACATCATGCGAACCTAAGGGAATTGTTTATTAATTAAATAATTAATTACAAGAACATTTAAAACATTTAAATAATAAATATTTCGTTATTTTAGACCGCCTTAAACTCACCTGTTCTAGCTTCAGGTCGTGTCCTTTCTTGGCGTTCATCTGGGCGGAGATCAAAGCGGACAAGGCCAGTCGCTGCTGCGAGGATAGAACCCTCAGGATGGGCATCACTTCAGTGAACTTTTGACGCAGTCCCTCATCCGCTAGAGCCTTGGCCAAGGCGTTCCTTAGAGCTCGTTCCCGCCAGTCAAAGGGCGGCACCTGACGCTCTGGCTCTGGCTCGTCAAGATCCACGCTGAAGTCCAGCATATTGGACTCCAGCTTCTTCTCAGTCTGGTCTCCCTGATGATCCTCCAAATCATCCAGTTGCCAATTGTCTCCACCCACGACATCCTTGGAGTCCGCAAAATCAAAGTCCAGGAGCTCATCATCGGCGGAGTTTCCGCTGACAAGGTCCAGATAGAGCACACAATAGAGAAGGGCCCAGAAAAGGCAGCCGAAGGCGCGGCCCACTTTCATTTTCAGCTCTTCTGTTTTTCTGGCTTTATTTTCGCGGCTCAGTTATTTCGTCTGCAAAGGAAAGTTAATTCAGGGGGCGGTCAGTGGCTGTTACTAAGCTTGGCTTAATTCCCCGAACCGAACAATGACAGCTGCTTAATTGTTTATTTATGGCCGCACTCACACGCTTTCAAAAAACAAAAAGCAAAAAAAGCACCTTTGGTCTATTCTTGGACTTGTGCAATTTGCTTAGAAATTCATAACCGCTTATTTTCGGCTTTCCATCGAAAGTAAGAGTCATTAGCATGAGCGTTAACTATTACGACTGCGGAGCACCCGGCTCATAACCATCGTCGTCGTCGTCGGCGTCGTCGTCTTGGCCAGGCCAAGACACAAGCCTCTCAAGACTATAACTATTGCTATTACGAGAGTCGCGTCTCCGCGTCATCTCGCGTCGCCAGCTTTTGGTAATCGCACTCAGCCATCGGCGTCGTCATGATCATGATCATCATCTAAGCCGGAGTAGGAGTCGACTGTCATATCTGTTGACTGCCCAACAAGGCGTGAAGCAGCGAAGCCGCTCTGGTTGTTGTTACTTTTGCCATTTTTATTGCCACGCGAGGTTATGACTCTGGCCTGCAGTTTTACGGCACTTTTGAGACTCTCCGAAAGGTCGTGTGATTGATTTGGCTGTGGCCCTAACTTCCTATCGTCATAATGAAGACATTTGTCAAGCGCTAAAGGCTTGGAGAGACTCCCCCAGGCAGTGATGGCAGCCAAGTAACACAAGACAAATCAATTGAAACAGGCGGAACAAGACAATAATGCAAAAACATTATTACTATACTTAAGACTTATTTATTAATAGGATGTATTTTGCATATTCCATGTTATGGGAATTTTTTAAAGATATGCATATGCTTTAATATTAGTTTACTTCTTTTGAAAAGTACTTGATGCATGATAGGTTGAAAGAAACTCATAGCGTATAGAAACTATACTAAGTAATTGTATAATATTAAAAAATGTTAGCAGACTCCCCGAATATATTAATTACTTTGTATTAAATAAATTCAGAATTTTGTGAAATTCTTAACGTTTCTTCTTACTTAAATAAAAGGAGAAGTTGGAGATTCTAGGTTTAAAGATGAATTGCTATATGTTTTAGCTTCGTTATTACTAATAGATTTTCATTACAAAATTATTATTATTATTCAATCTTGAAGTTCAACTTCATTTATTTTAAATAACTTTAAAGGCACCTAATAAGTAAACATAAAATTTGATAATATATTACGGAAACACTTTCACAAAACAATTAAATTTTAATCCTTAAAGGGATATATCTCTTTAAAAAACTGTCATCACTATTCCCCAGTGAGCCCTGTCTTTTCATGAACTGCCCTGCGGTTTCTCTTCTTAGCCATGCAAATGTTTTATTTGCAAAGGAAAGTCTTTCTTTCTTTCATTATTCCCCTGAATAGACCAAGGAGCTGACAAATCTGAATGCTAACTACACCCAAACCGCCGAAAAGACAGCGGCAAACTCCTCGGAGGCAATGGCACTCACGGCACAACAGCTGCAGCATCGATGTTTGCCAAAGATGCTGTGAACTCTTGTGCGGATGAAAAGTGAAAATTTGGCGGCATCTCCCGAGCGGCAACCGCAGTTGACAGTTTAGAAAAGGCAGCTTCCAAGGCCGGGCCTGAAGACTTATGGCAGACGTGGGCCGGAGATTGGCGAGATTCGTTTCTTTCAGGCATCGCAGGCACCCAAGGCAAATAATTGAATGAAATGATGCGCAATGTTAGCTGCACGAACGTGAGGATGCCGCCGTTGTCATGCTTGCGACTCGGCGAGGCCCGCAGCTTTAATTTATCTCGCACACCTGCGCAGGAGACCATCTTCGCTAATGGTCGCAAAGGCTGAAGGAAAATGCTGGTGCTTCTGGTTTTATTTTTCTTTTTTTTCGTTTATATTGTGTGGCCTTTGCATATATATATATAAATGTATATACTGGTAACCCGCAACCGGCTGGGAAAGCGTTGTACCACGATTAATCAAATTAAGCCAATAAGTCGCGGCCGTTTCCCATATGTTGCAGCCATTATTTCGGTTCCCAGGCATCCCAGCAATTTGGCGTGGGTGCCATTGCGGGAGAGTACAAATAAAAATCAAATTACAAACGGGAGGGAAAGGGGAGTGGGATACAGATACAGATGCAGATGAGGAGGCAGCAAAAGCTGTAGAAAATATAAAACACAACGAATTGAAGAAAACAAATTAAAGCAGCATCGGAAAGCAAGAAAGTCGCGCCTGCGCTCGCGCTGACAATCTCCGCAGAATCCCACTAAGCAGACTAAGACCAAGACGCAACTAGGTGCTAACCGACTAACCTAGTAAGCGAACCCGCTGAACCACTAGCCACCACTGGCGACGACAGCTGTCCCCATCGGAATCGGTATTGAAATCGGAATCGGAATCGGAATCGGAGAATCAATATCACCGACGAGACAAAGCACGTCATAAAAGTCTCAAGCAATTTGCCGGGCCCTAAACGAAAGACTCAGGGCACGAACGCGACACGAGCATAAATACCCACCGAAAAGCTGCAACTCATATGTATATATACAAATAAACAGACCCACACGCACGCCTTAAACAGCTCGGACTGACACAATTTCCTCGGGCGTAAAGAATAAAAAGAATTCAAATTTTTGTGCGTCGCTGTAAGCGCTCTTTTTTTCCTCCTCAGCTCATTTAGAAAGTTTTTTCCATTTCACATATTTGGCTAAAATAAACACACACAAGCCGCAAACAACAACAACCACAACAAATAAAATCGTATTTTGAAATTCCAATTTCGATTTTGTTTCTTTGTTTCTCGGTTTCAGCTTTCCGCTCTTTTTTTATGATTAATTTATAAAACGAGGCTGAGCTCAAGAAATCACCTCAGATCAGCTTCAGTCTTGGGTTCTTCTTCACCCAGTCACTCCGCTCCCTTCTCCAATGGCCTGGGCTTTAAACTTCTTTTTAACTGATTATTTCCTGTTGCGGCACAAGAACCGAGTTTCCATTCCACTTCCACTCTACTTAAAGGCGATAATTTTCACTTTTTATGGCTTTGGGCCAGTGCCGTCTGGCTGATTTTTGAGTACGGATTGGCGGATATTGAATGCAGATTTTTCACACTTTTCACACGCGCCTTAATTAACAGATTTTCTACTTTGCCACACTTCTTGGCATTCACCTTCACTGCGCCTCACTGTTTGTGGACCTGGTCTTGTTTCTTTGTCCGCCTGCTACGTCTTAACGCTTTCAACACTCGCCGCCGACTGATTTGCTGCCTCAGCTGCTGCTCACTGCTTCTTTAACTGCTGCGGCTTTTGCTTATGTTGCTGCTGCTGTTGCTGCTGCTGTTTTTGCTGCTGCTGCTGCTGCTGCTGCTGTTTTTGCTGCTGCTGCTGCTGTCGCTGTGACTTTGGTTCGGTTGGCGTTCTGGACCTCTTGCTGCAATTTCAACTCTCTGCAACGTGTTGTGCCTCAGCAAATTGCTTTTCTCGTGCAGCTCTGCAGTTCGCAGGTCATTGAACCGTTGCCTAGATGGCTCCCATTTGAATATACGAATATATTAGCGTTAAATGCGGAAGCTTTTCATTATTTATATAAATAATTTAGCTCTGGCCCAGAGTCGCCCGTCGTTCGTCGCTCGCCAAGTTCGTGTCTGAAGTCATTTGTTTTGGGGACTGGGTCAGGAAGCAAATCGCCAAAAACGGAAGCATGCTAAACCGTATATTTAAACTGCTTTCTATCGGCATCATTAGCCATGAAAAACACTCTGACCACTCCATCGAAGGGGAGGGGAGGTCAGTTCAGGAGTTGAGGAAAGAAAATTAATTTCACAGCCAGCCGCGGCGGCACTTTCGTTTTTTAAGACAGCCCTCGGTGGCAACATTGGGCAGGTTGTTAGCGCCTCCGCCTATCCGTCAGTCAAAGTACAGTGGATCAAATGTCGGTTAAAATGTTTTTAAGGATTTAAATCAGTTCGATTAAGATTTTATATTTATTGAATATTGATTTTATATTTATTAAATTAACTTAGACTTTTAGATTGTTTCTTTTATGTATAGAATCTAATATTTAAAGAGCGTTGCTTTTTTACCAAATTTTTAAACATTTAATAATGATTTATAAATAGAGATTTATTGGGAAAAAATAAGGGAACTTCTTCCTTAGTAAACTAAATATTCTGCTGAAGTCTTGAACTCACATCAAACTTCTTATTTTCTTAGTAAAAATTAACTTGTTAAGTTTGCTTACAAAGTATTTACATAAGGTTTCTTTCAGTTTAAAGAAAATGAACATTTACAACCAAAAATAGACACTCATGAATGGAAATTTTTCCTTAACCATCTTTAGCCATCTATAAATATCCGCAGGTAATGACTTTAAATCGTCGTGCTCCCCACTGTGCGCTGTTTTGACTCCACTTCTATTAATGATTGTTCGTGCCTTTGTCGTTTCGCTTTTTTGCGCTTTATTGTTATTTCTTCATCATTGGTTAAAAGCATAAACTATAGCGTCAAGTGCTCCAGGGCAAGTGCCTCCAATGACCACTTAAGGAGCATTTTCTTCACACTTTCCTTGGTAGCCACAGCAGCGGCAAAACGGCACCATCTGGATTTTCATTTCGTTTTCATTTGCACGCAACGATTTTTCCAGCCTCCACGCACTTTATCTTAATGTCCATTTGTCGAGATTACCGCATCGTTGGACGTGTGTTTAATTGCAGCGTCATCAATCAGGCAACCATGGCCAAAACTGTCGTCCATTGAAGCCAACACAACATGGCTTTGGCTTTTCACGCCGCATATAGGTAGATTTTTCCGCTACCGGCGTTCATCTCGGTGGCCATAAAGTAAAATTGTAAAACCGCGATGCACTTGGCTAATTTGCACATTACAGTTGTATTTTTATACCTATTTCTTTATTTTCCGACTTGTGTGTGTTCCGGTTGGGG